CGTCGTGACGTGGTGTTGAATCTCAACAATGACGTTCGATGACGATCCCATCAAATCCTAACCCCACCAAAAACCGCCCCTACAATTACCCTCCCCGATCGACAGAAATGTTCAGAACAACAATCAGCAGGTCTTCAACCCTCTTCTTCCGGAAATCAATTACATCTTCAATCTCATTTAAACCAACCACACGTACGTTCACTCACACAATTTTCAAGATGAGCGACAACAAAGCCCCCGTTACCGCATACCCTTCCACGGAGATCACTCCCCAAAACCAAGAAGGTGGCCCAGGTCTAGACGCGAGGACTGAGCAGAAAGCAGAGTGGTCGCGTCTTGAGTTTTGGGATGAGAACCAGAAGCCGTACCTCAAGGAGTATGAGGGTCGTGGTTTGATGCAGGGCAAGGCTGCGTTGATCACAGGTGGAGACTCAGGTATTGGACGTGCTGTAGCCATCTTATTCGCGAGAGAAGGCGCGGATGTGAGCATTGTGTACCTGCCCGAGGAAGAGGAGGACGCGCAGTATGTCAAGAAGAAGGTTGAGGAGGCTGGCCGAAAGGCGAACCTAATGCAACTCAACTTGAGGGAGAGGAAGAACTGCGAGCAGGCTGTTGAGCAACACATGAAGGTCTTTGGCAAGCTGAACGTACTCGTCAACAATGGTAAGATTACGCCACTTTCTTCATATCTAGAAGCAATACTGACAGCACGACAGCCGCAATGCAAGAAGCCTGCACAGACATAACAGAAATCGACCTCGACGTTACAGAAAAGACTTTCCAGACAAACGTCATCTCCATGTTCGCCATGTCAAAATACGCGCTCAAGCACATGAAGCGCGGCGACTGCATTGTAAACAGCACCTCCGTCGCTGCTTACATGTCCAACCCCATGCTTCTCGATTACGCATCCACCAAGGGAGCTATCGCGACTTTCACCCGTGGTCTTGCGCAGCAGCAAGCCCCCAATGGTATCCGTGTTAATGCTGTCGCACCAGGTATCATCTGGACGCCGTTGCAGCCAGCCACTAAGAACAACCCAGCAGACGCTATGGATTCTCTTGGTGTTGGTGCTTGCCCGTTGAACAGGCCAGGTATGCCTGTTGAGATGGCAACGTGCTATGTGCATCTTGCTTCGCCACTGGGATCGTACTGCACTGGTGAAGTACTTCACGGATCTGGTGGTATTGAGATGCAGGGTTAAGAGAGATATGAGCTTGTAGTGGTAATGACGACATGAGAGAAGAATGATGATGAAGACATCTTTTGGAGTAGTTCGAATGAATCTAATTTCAGCGCATGGTTGATGCACGCCGGCATGCGAGCACCTTTCTCAGAACATTCCCTCTAACTTGAACACAACAAAAGAACGACACGGATTGGATTCTTTGATATCTTGATCAACACATTGGCCCGAGTATTTGTCACACCATCCGATGGCGCAGGCTTACGACACTTCCTGCACTCATGTTTGGAACAGGGTTCAGTTTTGGATAGACCGTGCGCAAAACAACATTTGACGGTCGAACGTGACTTTTGGGTTGGCAATACTATTGCAGTTAGATAATGCGAGAGAAGAAAAGGAGGATTCACGAAGGACTTTATACACTCGTTGCCAAGAGATCCGAGATAGTACGAACCATGGAATCGTGGGCCTTGTGCTTCGGTACTTGAAAGGTAGCTACATGTAGCGACACCGTCATACTTTTGAGCTTCTCAAAACGGAGTCGGCGCTAAAATGAGCAGATAGACGTCCATCTCGATTCCAACGAAGGCCGTAGACACATGTGGTAGGCTGGTGTTGGTTTTGGAGGACAGTAAAAACGACGATCATGCCTTTGCTCTGCACACATTCTAGGCATTCGGGAGTGAGGATGTGTAAATAAAGAGTGAAGGTATAATCACTTAATAAACTTCATATATATTCTGTCCGCTGCGCGCTAGCAGGAAGAGTGGTATTCGTTCCTCGCATCTTTCACGGTCGCACATGGACATATGTATACTGATTTTGTGGATGTCTCCGTCATTAACGGGTAGCATAAAACCTTCTCCTCCACCAAGCAGCACAGGGCAACATGAGGTCGTTTGTGAGTATTTTTAATTTCGGTACTCGAGGCATTCATCAACCTGGAGTTAATCAGGGACTTTCGTCGAGCGCAAAGCCATGGACAGAAGTCATGGATTTTTGAGAAGAAGACCAAGAAACCATGAATTCATTCAGTATGAACTTTCAACGTATAAGCGAAATCGAGGTGTGGTGTAAAGCAAGAAGAGAAGAGAGAACAGGTTGACTTTATATCGCGGTCAATGTGGAGACTCGATGATTACGCGCTACAACTCCAGAATTTCTTATGGCGATTGGTTTGCGAACGGACGACACACGAGGACATGTCGCCATCGGCTTGGGCGTCGCTTTTTCTGTGTTCGAGAAGAACAGGAACCTAGGGTATTCGTGAAGGAGGAAGCAAGAAGAACGTGAGATTTATATGGAGATCGAAATGAGGACTCGGCATGTGTCAGAATCCCCGTTCTTTTAGGTCGAAAAGTTATCGAATTGGACACCAATCCTTTTGATAATCGAATCAGGAGGCCATAAAGCCACCACAGTGATCTTTTGGTGTACATATGATGACAGTGTGAGCTTCCAGTGAAGGAAGAAGGAGAGGGTAGGCTTTGTATAGCATTTAAAGTGGTGACACCGCATATCTTGGTGCCTCTCGAAAACATGAAAGGCATTGAACGTGCCTAGGTGTATTTGTTTCAAACGTGAGCAGAGAGACATGTCCTAGGTCGGTATGCATTCTTAGTCTCACTGCTTTGCGACGAGATTGTGTTTTGAGGAAACGGGAATCCAACGAGAAGACGTCCTTTATATCGAGCTTGGAATGGAGACTCAGGTCACTCTAGAATGGTTGGTGCATTCGTGATGGTCTCTGCCGCCGCATACGCAGCAAGTTTATAGCGACAGGAGATACCCTGCTTTCCTCATGGCGGCTGTAAATGTTCATTTTGGCAGGTAATTTACGACAATCGCACGTTTGATAAGTCTTTCAACTCGCGAGAGCCTTCCACTGCATACATTGCTGGACGAGCAGTTTTGATAATACTCGTAGGAACGAGCCAGCGAACCATAGGAAATGCACCCCTAACTTTTAATCTTGGAACCCCTTCCCCACCTCGTAGGGTGCAAGAAACTACACATTCCAGCGCGAGAAGATATATTTTTACCCATGCGAGCCAGAAGTCGCCGCACATAGTTTTGCCAGGGTCGTTTTGGTACGTTCGTATGGACTGGAATCTTTCTTCCTTTGTGTTGTAAAGTCTTCCAGCCACCGGAGAGACGACATATGAGACAAATACTAGGGTTTGGAAGGGCCGAGACCGCGCAGAGACATGGCGTAAGCCCGTCTTACGTGTCAAGCAAAGGAGGCGACGAAAGACATCCGGAGATGGTTTTGAAGTTCTGGATCGCTCACCCCGCCCACAAACGGGCACCCGCAAGGTTTTGGAGTTTCAGAAATATATGTGGATGATAGGAGACGAAGTGTACGCCTCGAGAAGGGTGTTTATATACACTCCGCCTCGTCGAGAAGAGTAGTGACAGCTGGTACATGACATTTATATGTTTCAAACTCTTTTTCTATATCTCGCGGAGTGTTGCAGAACACATGGGAAGTGAGGGGCGGCGTTTTGATGGTAGACTCCAACAAGGGCTGAGGCGAAAGGAAACATCTCAATGCGACTGCACTTTTCTGACAGGGTTGGAACTCGCTCCTCCGCATATGTGCTTACCTGTACGTAGATTTTGGAAAGTGCTTTCGCATAATGCCTTGGCTCTTGTGTTTCCTAGAAGAGAAGGTAGGAAGAGCAGGCACTCATGCACCTTATCGCATGATCTTTCAAAGAAAGAGAAAGCGAACATAGACAAGTCAAGAATGGCTTTTGGTAATTAATGAATAAAGCGAATGTGATAAAGGAGAGAAGAACAGCGCAGATAGACAAGGTTTATATGCATGCGCGTCCAGATTCAGTGACTTCGAGACTCCGCTGCTCAGCACGAGAGCCATAGCGATGTTGTAGATGAGTTTTCATTAACTTCTTCGCAGCAGCGCGGAATTATACTGGCTGCTTGCTTGTGCCCCGCATATAGAATTCCCGAAGACATGGTTTGGCGTTCCGACAGCAGACACCATCGATCGACCTTGTTCGCATTTTTGGACACCGAATACTAGACACCATCGGGAGTCCGGTGCAACCTTTCGGTCTCGCACAGCAAAGACACTCCATGACCCTCATTTGTTCCGATCTTTTGGGAGATAAAAGGTCACCGACCATGTATCTGCACCCTTTGTGTTTTCGAGCGACGCGAAGAACATACCACGTTTCCCTTTTCTTTTAAGAAGACGCGCAGGAACGAATGTGGACGGTATTCAAATTTCCTTTGGTGGTAAGGAGAAGTGAGAAGATGAAGTAGAAGACAAGAAGCAGACTGGAGCAAGTTTCCAATTAATAGGATTAATAGCCAGCTCTCACTCCATAGGTGGATTTGAATTTTGGTTCTGGTGTCACGGGCAAGTCGAGGAGGTCGTCAGAATAGAGATGGGTTCTTTTTGAAGAAAGAGAACGGGATATTAGTAGTAGAGGTACGTTTCTGGAAGGATTCCGCAGACATGCCGGGATTTTAACGCCATTTTGGAAAAAGGGATGGAAGAGCGGTTATGAAGGAGATCCGGGCTCATATTGGTAAAAAAGTGTGGATGTGGTGAATAAGAAAGGAAGGAAATGGGGAGCTGAGCGGCTTTTATATCTGGAAGCGCAGGCTAGGTCACGAGACGCACATGATCGACCAACTTTGGAAGTGAAAGACTTGATATCCCATCCAAGTCAGCCCATGATTCTCCAAACTGAGCGTATAGAGACACCATGACGCTACCCCTCCTCACCCACGCTTAAAAAGCATGATACCAATTGTCGTCTTCCGGTAGCTCACAAGGCGAATCCTAACCACCCTTCTTCTCCGAAATCTCAATATGCTGCGTCCTCGGCCCGTCATCCTGCGCATCCTCCATTTCTACATCCGAAAACCTAACCTGACTCTGTAACTTATCGCCATCAACATCCATAGTGTCGTCCCCCCGTCCAACCGTCTCACTGCTAGCGCTACTCATACCCCCAGCACCAACACGATCCTCCACTCTGCCCATTTCCTGCGTCCCCGTCGCATCATCATCCTCAATCTCCGTGTTCGGCGTCAGCGTCGCAGAACTCATATTCGAATCGTTCCTCGGCCGACTGCTAGAAAACTCCTTGGCACTGATCTCACTCCACCCATTGTCCCCATCTGCATTGTCAAAGGAAGGATTAGAGGTAGTATTCATAGAGTCGTCCCACCCTCCTTGTGCTACATTCCCGTAATCACCGCCATAACTCTCCCAACCTGTAGCGCTCTCTTGCAGTTCACGCAGGAAGTTAAGGTTATCTTTCTTGGCGAAGTCTTCGAGGGGTTTGGGTAAAGGCAAGGGATCGGCGGTTGTAGCGTCAGCGTTCGCGTAGACGAGGAGGGCGGATGCGGATTCGGTGGTTGCCCGCTCAATGACTTCGGACATGGAGAGGCGGTCGCGGCGGATTAAGGGGTTGGAAGATTCGCTGTCGTATTGCATGCGCCACCATTGGGTTGCGTTGGGCGTGTTGGAGGTGATGTCTGGGTGACGTATGTAGACTACGTCGCGTCGCGTGGCAACGCCCCAGAGCTGGTAGGGACGGTTCATGGCGTCTTCGGGAGATTGACCCTCTGGATATTCAATGTTCGTGGGCTCGGAAGTGTCGTTTGCAACGTTCTTGGTGGTTTCGGTCGTAGTGTCCATGGCATTGTCGTCTGTAGTGGTCGCTGCTGTGTCATTACTATCGTCTACGCGGGGTTTGAATCGTCCGGAGATGCCTGCGATAGCCTTTTGCGCTTGTTCGGTCTGCTCCTCGAGGGTTGCAAGCTTGCTTTCAATGCTGCTGTATAGCTCTTGTAGCTTAGCTAATATTGATGCATCCTCCGGAGAGCTATCAGACATTGTAGGCTCGAATGCGGTCATGCTTGTTTTCAGCAACTGTAAGGAGTCCACCTTTTTCGCGCCTGCTTTCTTCGGGGTGTAGAACTTTAGTTTCTGCACCTGCGCCTTGATAACATTCAGTTGTTCCTCGTGCTGCTTGATATCACTGTACATGCCATCTATGACATTTTTGTTCTTCTCGAGGTATCGGTCAATATAGAGGGTAGCCGGAATGCGAATTCCCAGATCAGATGCCTCCGTGTTCGATGCGGACAGTCGAAGTATCAGTACGTTGCTGGGCTCGCGAATATGCGCACTGCCTACAACCGAAGAGAAGAGCGAGTCATCCAGGACGTCGTATAAGCTGAAGTCAGGCCGGGATGGATCGCGTGTTACGACAGTGTCAAGCACAAAGCTCTCTGCAGTGGTGCCCGCAACATTCACTGTAGATCGAAGAGTACCGTCCAACTCGGCATTAGGCATATGGCTCTGGAATGCGAAGCCCCATAACACAAGGAACTTAAGCAAATCATCGTCCGGGTCCTCCACAGTCGAAGGCAACTCTCTCCAGGCCTCGCACTCAAGCAATCCATTGACCGATCCGTAAATCCGGTCAGTGTTGTCTAGGAAGGCCATGAGTCGCTGCGCTTCGTGAAGGATTTCTAGATTATAAGACTCCGAAAGTCCCACGTTGGCATCGAAAATGCGCGAAGCCGGCTTGGGATTGCCCTTCCACCATTCTTCGCCCTGCCAATAATCCTTTTGTAGTATGCCCGGACATAAAAGCGCATTTCGGAAAAGCGGTATCGAATGGAGTATGGGGATGAGGTTAGGAAGGTAGTTAAAGTTGGAGGACGGTTTGAGGATTGCGGGTTGTCCTTCTTCGCGCTTTCGCTGACTAGGGATTGGGTCGGCGATAATTTCGGTCGCGGTTGGTACCAGGGCCCACTGAGACGTATCGTAATTGTCTCTAGTGGCCGGCCCAAAGTTGGTATTGGAACCAGTGATACCCGTTTCTTGTCCTTCTATGCCTGAACATCTGTCAGCACTTCCAGTTTAGTGCTCCTGGCGCATCCTATGCACTAACTTTGTATGGGCGCGTCACCAGCTTGAGCTTGTGTAGAGGCGACACTCGTTCGAGAGGGCGGGCGGGTAGGTGCTCTGCTATTGACGTTGCTATGCGGGTAATTCTCATGACCTGGAGCATGGTCAATATTAAACGCTGAAACCGGCCGCTGTCAGTCGTGTTATCGTAGGCAGTCTTCAGAGCCGGACTTGACGTACTGGGAACATTTGTATCGTCGATACCATACCCGGCCCCCGCAAAAGCAGTTTCGTCCCACTTGGCTTGCGAATTGCGCAGATGGGTCTTCAAAGAAGAAATCCCTCCTTGTTCCATGCTGGTAAAGTATTTGTCCATGGCGGCCTCGACGCTTTGGCCATGATTCTGTATACTTGGTTAGGGCTTTGTCGCAAGGCGCAAACAGATTGCGAGCTGTTTGGGCCATACCGCGAGAAGCTGTCTGGCTTCATTCCTGTCTAGCTGATCCGCTCCAAAACTGAGTAGAAGGTCGATATTGGCTTCTATGTCGGCGTCCGCCATGGTTGCTGTGGGTGTGGTGGAGCGAGGGGATAGTGATGTTGGCGCAGTTGAGATCTTCGAGGTGGAGCGGCGGCGAGCAAGCGGGCGCGAGTAGAGTCGGAGAACGACAACGCGAAGCTAAGGTGGGCGAGCAGCAGTCGCCTAGTGATATTTGGCAGGCGTTTACAGGTCAGATGTAGTGTGGAAAGGCGCACTCATGTGTATGGTGGCATGGTGAGGAGCTTCTTGAAGAACGAGCTTCGCGGAGGTGACATGCGGGCAGCGGAGCGATGATGTCGCCAACACCGGTGGAGCAGGGGTCGTGCTTCGATAGCCGACCGTTGTCCTGCGTGCCACTACCAAAACACATTCCCCTCACGTGCAAAACAACCATGTGGTATCGTAAGGCTTCAAGGCAGTTCATATACATATGTTCAAATCATCTATGGTATCATGGGAAATAGTAATCCAACTTCCCCCCGCCACGCCCCTAACCATTCCAACCATGCATATGTTCAATCAGAAATATATAAGGAAAAAGAGAGAACTGCAGGCAACACCCCCCTCCCAGTGTATGCATTTCCCCTTCGTCGTATTGTTGCATGATGTGAAGAAAGAGAAGAAAGGTGAAAACGCCGAGTGACCCCTGGTGTGAGGGGGTTTATATGCAAAACAAGCTCTATATGTACATGAGGGCGCGGGTGATCGTAATCGGAAACATGTAAACCCGCGTGAGAGTTTGCGTCATGGTATCGCGTTGGGTCGTCTATGTGGGGAAGGGGAATGCTCTTTTGTTGTCGCCAAAGGACATTTCCAATTCCTTTTCCAGAGGCGTGATATCGTAGTCCACTTCCGTCGTGGGGGTCGATGCGCCTGGTGAATAAAACCGTGGTGTATAAACCCCGAGCTGTACGTCTTTTTCGGCTGTCGGTGTGCTTTCTATCTTGACCTTTTCGAGGATCTTGCCAAGACTACTTGCTGTGTCCGGTCTCTCGAAGTCTTCTTCGTCGACGTCCATGGCTGTTGGTATGCCGTGCGCAATGTTGTGGTTTCGTTGCAGATATTGCTGGAGACGGTACTCTTGCCTCGCCCAGCTTTCATCGACAAGGCCCAAGGCGGCTTTGATGTCCTGGTCGGAAAGACCCGATGGATAGTTAGACTCCTTTTTCGAGTTACTGACTACGCGGTTTGCGAGTCTGCTTCGGACAGAGGCAGGCTTTGGTTGCGTGGGTATTGCTACGTCGTCTCGCATAGACTTGACCTGCTCTTCAGTCTGCTTCAGTGCCATCTGGCGTGCTTCATGCATACTAGGAAGGAAGAGGAGAGTGGTGTTTCGATGAAGCGCATTGATGAGATCAGTAAAGCCTGTCAAGGCAATACCGTTGTCCTCGCAGTAGAGGTATTGCAAAGTAGTGTTGACCTTCAGAACGTCGGCCAAGGTGCTCGCTCCTTGTACGCCCAGCTTTTGATCTGGTATAGTCAGTTGTTTGTACAGTCAATATGTAATACATGTCAACTCACATCTGATGTACAAGGCGCGCAAGGTTCGATTGCGCTGCAAACCCCGCAATGCTCGATTGATGCCAACCCCTAGCTTGGTCGTCTCAAGGCGGGAGTCCTCCCCAGAGATGTCAAGCCACTCGAGACTTGTATTGTCAGCAAACATCTTCTCCATAGCATGGCAGGTTTCTTCCGAGGCATCGCATGGTAATGACGCCCGTGAAATGTCAAGCTGTCGAATGGTGTTGTTTGTGGCCAACGCAAGTATCATTTTGCGGAAGTCGGCGTCTTCTTCGAACTCTAGCAGACGGAGCGTAAAGTTGGACGGAGCGAGGCCGTTAGAGATTGCCTTGGTTAACTTGTCCAGGTCTTCCTCAATGTTATTCTCACTAACATCCAAATGTAGCTCGCGGGCTTTTCCAGGGTGTTCTGTCATCGAGTGTAGGAGGTATGCTATGTCCCTTCCAGTAAGGAAGCAATGGTCCAATCTCAATTCCCGGAGAGCTGACGATTGCTTGTAGTTGACGAGGTAACTGTAGGATGATCAGCATGGATCTTCAATATGTCAAAGTGATCGGGTGACTAACCCAGCGATCGCGTCGACCATGGCAGGATTGAGCGAGGTGCCACTCAGGATCAACTCCTGTAATCTCCAACCAGCAAAGGTTTCGACTGAGATCAAAGACTCAAGACCCGATGAGCGCGCAACATGCGACAGATTAAGACGTGTGAGATATCCAAAAACGCCAATCTGAGAATCGAAGATGCTCGGTGATAGCCTGAAAGGATTCGACGATAAATCCAAGGCCTCGAGCGTAGTCTCCTGCGCGCGGATTGCATCCAAGACAAGAGAAAGCGAGCGATCCGTGAGGCCACATCCACTCAATTCTAGTCCACGGAAATGGCAAGCTCGCTCGACACCCGCTGCGACGAGGTAATCCAAATCTGTATCTCCAAGTTGTATTTTGTTCAGAGCTATCCAATCGACATTGGTTGTTTGGTACTTGCACAGTGGAAATAATGCTTCCACGATGCCGCAACCCTGGTCTCTCGCGCTGCCTCTAGCTTCTCCGTGGTCCCTGGGTTTTCTGGAAATGCACGCGGTGAAGTCCATTCTCCGCAGCTTCCGGTTTGTCAAAGCCAAAGCGCGAATCTCTTGCACTAGTAGACAAGACCGTTCTAGCTCTTCGACGTCTAGCCGTGCGTATGTGCCGCGTTTAGTTTTAAGGCAAAGATGCTCTGCACCGTTCGGATCCTTCAATCCGTTCAGGACATCTAACCGTACGTCTTTGAATGAGATGCCTCCGAAGGTCTCGTTGTAGCGTAACGCACGCATGACAGCAAGTAACTCAAGGGTGTTATACTCTTTCCTGCGCAGGCCGACAGGTGGTAGAAGCTCGAAGCGTGGAGCATCTTCGTGTGGATACGTGATTTGATAGCTGATATTCTCTGGCTGTACGTCATACGCAACACAGTATCCAATCAAAGTTCTATCCAAAGAATCTTGGTCCATTGGATGTGGGCTTTCTTGGCGTCCGATATCATGATGCACATCGTCTGGGACCAGGAAGTCGAAAGGTCGTGTCTCCCACTCGGGTCTAAGAGTGGCTTCTATGGATCGTAGACGGAGAGCAATGTCCCGTGAGGCCAAAGATGCCAGATGAAGGACCTTGGGACGTTCAAGAGGCTTTCTATGTGTTGTTAGCAGTGACTTCATAGTCCAAGAAGAGGCACTTACCGGAAAGTCAATTGGAAGGTATCGTCGATTTCATTTATGCGCACTTCAGTCAGGGTTAGGATACCATGTGATGACTGAGTGTTGTGGGACACCAATGAAGGGCTTGATGACCGTTGTGAAGACGGTTTGAACAACGGAATGATGTGTACTTTGTGCACACCAATAGCAAGGAAACATACTGAAGCAGATACTTTGGCTAGGTCATCCGTTGAGGATCTCGTCGTTGTCTTCCCTTGCGGTCGGAGGACGACTTTGTATATGGCGTAGTGTGGAGGTACATAGTCACGTTCTGCTTCAACCACACGAGCTGCCAGATGGGAGTTGTGTGCGGATATAGGCTTCGCGTCAGATAGTCGCGCCCTGTTCGCGGCTTCTCTTATGGCCTTGAGCCAGGAAAACATCTCTTCTGGGTCCCCAAATTGCAGAGTCATGGAGGAGGCATTATTTGACTCATCATCCAAATAATATAGTTCCAGCGCAAAGTGTGGCCGACCGTCGTCTAGATGGTACACGGCGACGATGTGACGCAGGGGTATGCCATGATGACGATCTCCGGACGACTCTGAGGCCATGGACTGGAGTTCGTGCGCCGATCCAAAAGATGGACTATGGCTGTGGCGGTAGTAGCTCATGCGGTTGTTCGGTGAAGGTATCCTACGCTTGTTAGTCTTGTCTCTAAAGCTTGACGTCGTTGGAGCGCACCCAGGGAAAGCTTCAATCGCTTTCGAGAGGTTCTTGAACCGGATCAGATGCTTGTCGGTCAGCACCAAGTATTCCCTCTTCTTCCTGAACATGGAACTGCTCGTCTGAACCTCGCCATGCTGTAGCACCTGACGATCTTGCACGTCCTCCCAGATATATTCTCCAAAGCCAGTCGATGTTCGCGTCGAGGTCGCAGAAAGAGGTTCCGGGTCGTCGTCTGCGGAGAGTTTGTAACCACGAAAGGAGCTGAAAACAGAGCTGGCGCGCTTCAGGCTGGCTTTTGAAAGGTTCGGTCGCTGTGGATCTGGCGGTTCCATCAGGGTGCTACTTCCCGCTGTCGTGCTGCCGTTAGAAGTCGCTGCTTCGGTGTATTGCGACACATCGGAGAGATTTGACATGAACGACGCCGTGCGCCGCTTCCGCAGAAGATTCGAGGGTTGCGATTCATCCTTGTGGCTGCGCGACGCGAAAGCATTCAGGGAGCTGCTGCCAAAGATGCTTCTCCGCTTGTCTTTGGACATTCCGAGATTGTCGATTGGCGCGCGAAGCCCAGCACGAGCTCGGCGACACGACTATCGCATGCAGAAGGGTTCGTGAGAGAGGGAGACAGTTGTCGCGCCGGAGGATATTCTCGGAAAATATGTTCAAGGGCCTGGGGGTGGAAATTGGAGCAGGAGAGCAGAGCTGGGCACAGAATGGCGGTGGGACCAATCAGGGCGTGGGCGCAACGGGAGACAATGTGGAGGACAACGGCGGAACGATCAGACGGTAGCAGTAGCCCTGATGCAGCAGATGGCGGGCTCGGCGTTTTGCGGGAGGGGGTTGGCAGGCGTGCTGTAATCACGACATGTCATTATTCCGTGGCATGGATGAGGATTTCCAAGGTTTGCCGCCAGCAATCCTCCTCTCCAATGTTGTGTGAGTCTGTGAGAGGACGCGGGCTGCTTCACCGGGCCGACAACCACGGCGCGTTTGCAAGGAAATGACAGGACAAGATACACGAGTACGATGCACGAGGTGTATGGGTGGACTGCAGGGTGGGTCTCTGGTAACTGGCAGCTTTCCGCGCGTCCGCCTGCCCTGGCCACTTGCACGCGTACGTCACATGGCTGATCTCAATGATCGCCCGGCGTTAACAAACGCCGACACATTTTCTGAGACAGGCGCGACCGAGCGTCACTGCCATTGCAGTCAAACGCCACCTGCACGCCTTCCCCCACCACGCTCCCCTCAATGCTGCGTCGCCAGCTGTCGCCAGCCTCACTATGGCCTAGAAGCCCCGTATGCCTATTCTGCGCTGCCCGCAGCCAGATACATCCGCTGCAACGCCAAACAATTCGATTCAAGTCTGAAGGCGCTGTCAAAATCAAGAAGCATGTTGTCAAAAACCGGAAGCAGAAGGCGGCTACTCAAGGGGGGGAGGTAGACGAAGAGGACGGATCACAATCGATCAAGGATGCCCTTCTTGGTGGCAAGAAGAAGAGAAAGAAGAGAAAGGGCGAAGAACAGGACTTTATCCCAATCAGCACCCTATACCCCTCTGACCTCAAATTCGAGGCCGTCGACGTCGCCAGGCCGCCTGTTCCCATGTTGTCCTATGGGCTCGACCGCGTTCTGTTCAACCCCGGTGTATATCGCCTACAGGACCCACGCTCGCGAGTGTACAACTTTGATCCATACCTCGAGAAAATCATGCCGGCGAATGAGTTTGATTTTGACGCCTTGAGCGAGTACAAGACCTCTTCCAAGGACAAAGATCTGCTGGCCTTGACAAAGCGAATTGGCACAAAGTTCACCGGCTCTACATCCAGCATGTCAAGTATGCTTCAGCACTTTCATTATATCCTCTCCAACTTCCGCAAGCTCAATCACGGCATGCTCTCTCGCCAGTTTCCGGAACCTTCACCCAAGTTTTCCAGGATCACACTTGGTCCCAGTGCCGTCTTCCTCCGGCACAAGGATGGCACCTATGCGATAGACGCCGACAAGTCTTACGATAATCCCAACATCATGAGCTGGCTGGGTCACTCGCTGGAAAAGCTCCTCACAACCGAGCGCAGCGAGTTTGAGAAATTCCGAAAGTCAAGCCCGGACAAGGCACCTGCTGAGGAGAATGCCAGTCGTTGCTACCATTATTCGAAACAAGGTAACATCATGATGCGCTCACAATTAGACGCAATTGACCCGCGATTACCCGGAACTGGAGTCTTCGACTTGAAGACGCGAGCGGTTGTTTCGATCCGCATGAATCACAAGGATTACGAAGAAGGTGCTGGTTACCAACTTCGTCACAGTCTAGGCGAGTGGGAGTCGTTTGAGCGCGAGTTCTACGACATGACGCGCGCGACCATGCTTAAATACTCTCTGCAAGTGCGCATGGGGCGCATGGACGGTATTTTCCTTGCTTATCATAACATCGAGCGCATCTTCGGCTTCCAGTACTTGAGCCTCTCGGACATGGACGCTGTCCTCCACGGCCAACATGATACAACTCTGGGAGACCAGGAGTTCAAGCTTTCTCTAAGTTTAGTTGATGAACTTCTTGTCAAGGCCACTGAAAAGTTCCCCGATACAGTAAGCTGTCTCTTCATTATTACAAGTCCATCGCTAATCATAATAGTCTATCCGGTTACACTTTGAGGCCCGCGAAGGCAAGACGCCCTTCATGTATGTCTTCGCCGAACCTGTCACCGAAGAACAAGCAGAAGAGATCCAGAATGCTGGGGAGGCAGCTCAGAAAGAGTTCGCACGGAATGTAGTTGGTGTAGGAAAGGATGATCCTGAAACCCAAGCAGCTTGGCAGGAAGCTCAAGATGACGTCGATGAACAGATCGATGTTGACCAGAACCCTAAAGAAGTCGCTGAGCAAGAAGACGAGCCTTTGACTAGTTCCGGAGAGTCTGCCGAAGAGACTGCCGAGGAGACAGAGACTCTCACCGAAGACATCGTGGAGCCCCCATCAACACCTCAGGGCCCCTTGATGGGCTGGACGCTGACTGTCCGCAATCTGGTCAACGGAGGCTATGTTGAAAGACCAGAGCAGCTCAACGAATTCGATGATTGGAAGATGGAGTACCATATCAAAGAGATACCTGAAGAGACCCGATGGAAGCTGTACAACGCGCTCAAGGCGCGAAGGCATCAACTTATTGGACAAGATGAGGAACAAGTCGATAAGGGCCTCAAACACTACCGCGATTTAATTCAACGCTATAGCAACCGCGGACGTCAATGGAGAGAAGAGCAAGACAGGCTTAACGCCGCAAAGGGTGTGCAGCTCTTCCGACCACTTGGCCCGGGCTCAGACGCCATTGCTTCGCATCATGAAACTACACTGGAGAACGATCGTACCGAGGAGCCTTACAGTGAGGAGTCCAAGCCGGACGAATCACTCTCGAAGGAGAAGAAAGAGGAAGTGCTGCATGGCTTGCCATCAGTGCCATCGTAGGGATTATGTCTAAAGAAAAAAGGTGACAACGGCGTTCTGTCTCTATTGAAGTATACGAAGTGCATGGTCGCATGAGTGAACGTTCTATATAATAGATGTAAGAGTATATGTATATTTTAGAAGGGAAGGGTAGCATGCGCAGATACCAGAACATGCGAACAAAGATTCACGACCAAAAAGTAGTCTTCTGTCAACATTTCCACATTGCATTCATGGCAACGAAATATGTCCATGAAACGGAAGAACATGGATGCGGCGTAGTGAGGATCGTGTACCCGATCGTGAACTGAGATGAGATGCACCCCACATCGCACCCCCACTAAACAAGCTCATGTCCGAGCTCCGACCGAAAATGTACGTTGACATCACCTCATCGATGTTCTCATCTGCACGTCGAATGTCCAACGTTCCAACACTTTCTTCGACAGAACAAGAGACCGATCCAGCGTTTCTTTAATTAGACACGCATCACCAATGATATCTTAATCATGGTGAGACAACATGGCAGTTTGGAAAAGGACGAGGAGACCAATCAGGCGGCTTGGGAAGCTGCAAGGGGCGCGTTGATTGGTAGTACGAAGGTATGTATCATCGATTTTTTTTTTTCATTGTGATGCCGATGGTCATTTCGTCTCCTGGAAATACGAGAATGCGTTGAAGAATGTGAGGTCACAACGAGAAAGAGAGGGAGGTCGCGTGCGTCGAACTACCATGTATACTCGTATCAGTATTCGTCAAATGGCGTTTCCGGATATGAGAAAAAGTCATGCGATCTGTGAATTAGATAGAATAGAGGGGTATCCGAAGTGTTGATGTGTGTTTGCTGGTATCGTAGCTAACTTTGAGGAAACAGTGGGGCGCTTTCTTCGCCGTAGCAGGAGGTGTCGCATACGCCTTCTCACCAGTATACAAGGGTCTTACCGTTCAGTTCAAAACGTATGTGGTCTTCCATAACCCTCTACCTACTGTGTTCCCCTCCAGCATCCCATCCTTGTTTGCTTTTAATCCCAGGTGCTGACTTGCGGGACCATAATCTAGCTACATACAAATGTCTGGCATGATACTCGGCGGCTATCTCGAAGCAGATAAACGCATGATCGCCTACCAGCATCGTATACGACATCATAAGAGAGTAGCCAGAGACATGGAAATTTGGAGACGGTACGAAGATTCTTATGAGGAGAGGGGGACGCCTGGGGTGGGAGCCGAGAGTGATGTTCATGGTACTCAGGGAAAGGGTAACTGAGACAACACATGGCTGTTCTGTGTGTAGTATGCAACATGTTCTCACGTAACAAAGCTTTGTTAAAGATATACAAGACAATCAAACGGAGTGTCTCTGCTTTCATGTTATATAAAGGCAGCTTCATCTTCCTTACCTACTTTCTTTATCCTACCTCCCTCACTCCGCATAACCCTTGTATCTGCCTCGCAGTGTTCATTCACACGCACGGACACAATGACAACAACTCCTTTGGATAAGAGCGAGCGCGAATCCTCCCCCTCTCTCTCACTGTCTCTATCCCCCGGCTCCACCACCACTGAATCCACGGCTAGCGAATTTTCAATCACCGGATCCACAACCGACGGCTCTATAACCGACGGATCCATAACAGACGGATCTATAACCACCGAGTCTTCAACTACCGAATCTACAATCGCCGAATCTACAACTACCAAATCTAGAAACAGCGACTCCTCAGACAGCAGTTACAGCGAATCCTCAGACAGCGGTTCCAGCGATTCTACAACTATGGGATCCACACCGCAGCGTAAGGGCGTACAATGGTACGAACTTCGCGAGGGATGGACTTTGCATCGCTTCGAGGAGAAAACGGAGTTCAAGTGCCATCAGTGTAACAAGATGAAGAAGGACGTGCTTGTAGCTATGAAGCCCGAGAATAACCATGATAACATGTGTTGTAACGCGTGCTTCTGCATGAAAATAGGCACGGACTCAGATCAGTGGAACCTGGTACCTGTTGATGGAATCGACCATATCTGGTAAAGGATAAGTCGATAGTTATGGATGAGAATCTAAATGTCATCATGTTTGTATTCGTGTAGCTTCATTTGGTGGAGCGGTGCCTGGAAGCTTCGGCAACCAATGACGTGATTCGGCGCAGATGCGGCATAGCGCCCCCACCACCCTCGCCGCGGCCTTTTAAGCCACCTTGCGAATTCGCTTGCTCTTCCTTCTCCAGGCAGCACTTGCTGATCCTCGTTCACGACACCTTCACACACACAACTGCTATAGCTTCACGTAACGATGGATGTCTTCTGGACACTCCCGCCGGTCTCTAGGTAAGCTTCTTCATTCCTCACCGAGCTCTGGCAGCTCGCAAGCTCTCAAGCTGCTTCGCAAACACGATCGAGCAATCGCTGACAGCTTCCCCACAGGACCATCACAGCTGCAGCAGTCGCTGTATCAGCTGCGGGCTATGGCGGCATCATCAGCCTGTACCATTACATCTTCGCGAGCCACTATGTCTTTACGACGAAGGTGTTCCCTCAGCTCTGGCGAATCTTCACGGCGTTTCTGATCACGAAACCGAAGTTCGGTATCTTGCTTGATCCATACTTTTTATACCAATACGGCAGCTCGATCGAGCGGGAGTCGCCTCGCTTCTCGCAGCCCGGCGACTTCTTTGTATACACCATGTTTGTCGGAAGCGTCATTGTCGTAAGTACTTGCATGCAATCATCATTCCGCAGCCACCCTGTTGCAAATGCACGCGTACATAGAATCACGCAGCATCACATCGCATCGACACAACTGTCTGCGAAACGACTTCGGTCAACCAAATCACCTCCGCATATCTGCCCGCCCAGCCTGTTATTTCTAGCTGAAGCGGTTCCTGGAACGGAGGAAGAATACCCTTGCACATCATGCGGTTCCGTCATTCGCAATCATATAAAGGGACTTGTGTGGTGTGTAGGCATGGTGGGATTGTCACTTGAGAAAGCTTTGCGAATGCTCTCCATTTCGCAAGGCGGTGTTGGCTCCCTACATACTTTTTTTGACTTTGTTGATCTTCTTGTTCTGAAGTCGATGTGCTGTGGATGGACTTGTGCTAACAGTCCTGTGTAAAGGCAACAGCAGGTGGCATCCTAAACCAATACACGTTCCTCCCCGCGCTGTCTCTCGCCTACGCCTACACGTTCGCCCAAGATAACCCCACACGCTCCGTATCCTTCTTCATCATCACTTTCGACAGCAAATACCTACCCTTTGCCATGCTCTTCATGTCTTTCATCATCGACGGTCCTGATGCTGCTGCCGGTCAACTCACCGGTCTCATCGCTGCGCACTTGTACGACTTCCTGACACGCATCTGGCCTACATTTGGTGGTGGAACAAACTATATCCGTACGCCGCAGATGGTCAAGGGTTGGTTTGGTGCGGCGCCAGGGAGTGTACAGAGTAGGGGGTTTGGACATGTTGTCGAGGGACGGGGAAGGACGGCTGGTGCGGCTGGAAGTGGTGCACCGCCGCCCAGTGCGGCTAGGGCTACGGGGTCTGCTTGGGGTGGCATGGGTCCCGGCAGGAGGCTTGGAGAGTAGATGGTGCGTTGGCTGAGAATGTCGCGTATGATCATACTTCTTGGGCTGCTGTGGACAAGTGTGGGCTTGGTAGCATATCCGGGCTATACTCGAACGAGGCTACAAATGCCGTAGAGCAAGCATGTATTCGATATTATAGTAATGCATACATGACTTCTCTACGGCACTTGTAGTCTCGTTTGATTACATGTGTGACTACAGGTGCTCAAGTAGTATTTTGACTGTCACACTAGATATGAACAACCCAGCTGGCCCACCAAATCATCAATGTCAACAGCAATGTCATGACCGGAAATGACAATCATACACCCGAATATATGGTAACGATGATAACGATTATGATGGTTCATCCATTTAGTTGCCTCTTGGCTATAATACAAAATTCGCTTCTTCCACCTCTTCTCTGCCTAAAAAAGAGGATTTACTTTGAGCTTCCAGCAGGGTTGCTGGGTCCATCAACAGCCCTCTCGACATGTCCAGCGATACCATTCTTGCTCGCATCGAACTGGCTTCCGATAACGCCGTCCTTGCTGAAAGGTCCACCGACCGCTTCGCCGATTTGACCAATAGCGCCGTCAGGGTTGACTATTTAAGACTTATCAGCATCCATCCAGTAAGTATACATGTGAGTTGGCAAGAACGTACACTGCTTTCCAATAGCACCTGCGCTGCTAATCACGCTAGGGTTCTGGCTAGGGATAGCATTGGTATCCTTGTTTGCGCCGAGCTTGTCAGCGGCAGCGGTGGTCTTGTCCGTCATGTTGCCGGGTTGTGTTGCGTTGTTTGGTGTAGATTGGTTTGCGGTGCCGAGGCCGAGTTGTTCGCTGAGGGGACCGGTGGATTTGGGCATTTAGTTTATGGTTGTAAGGAGTTGTTGAATGGAATCTATTAGGTGCAATAAGGGAAAGTAGCTATATATATGTCATGTTTGCAGAGTGCTGGATGGGTTATGCGCGAAGGGTACGTCACAAACCCCCAAGTGATGATGGTGATGTCATGATGAGGGTGGTGGGAGCGCATTATGCGAATTGGGGAACACCACATGCGGATTGAGAGCAAAAGTCGATGATGTATCTAGTGAGTAGCTTCCGTGGATCTCGATATGCCTTTGCGTGCGAAATTGTGGGGTTGGGTTCTGGTTTGAACGGCTGTGATTTGTTGCTAGGTGGTGTTATTGCGTTATGCAGCTGTCATGTCTGGGAGATGGTCTCCACGCGTGATCTACATTAAAGGTACCCGCACGGTTGACATGATTCGAGGAATTGTGACTTCATTGATGCTGACTGGTATCATTGCTGGTGGCCTCTTCTGGATCTAGGCTGGAATTACATGCGCGTCATGTCTAAGCGCGTCTCTTTGCTCGTGCTCCGCCTACCCTGGGGAATGACAACGGTAGCTTCAGCTTGGCGATGAAGTGATTGGCGCTTTCGGCTTTGGTGAGCTTCATGCGTGTGAGGTCGGCCTGTGTGGGTGCGGTGAGCTTGCATCCGAGCTCGGCGAAGTATTGCTTGATTCTGCGTAGCATTAGCATTAGCTTCAAAGGGTAGTTTGGGTGGAAGAACGTACTCCTTGTTCTCCAGCTTGAGGTCATCTCGGAGGTCATTCACGTCGACCTCAAAGTCATCGACAATCAGTGCCGCCGCCGCAATGTGTGTCATGAGGTTATCGATGTTCCAACGAGGCATCTCGCCGTTACTACAATAGTCAGTGCATAGATCATGGCGAAAGACGCTGGTACAACTCACCCTCCCTCGGGAGCAAACTTCCTCCTAATGGCCATGATTTGACCAGCAGGCGTATCCTCACCCATTGCTGCCTCCAGCTTTCCTTTCATGGGTATCTTCTTCGGGCGTGGTCCACCTCCTCCAAACAATGCAGAATTGAAGTTGATGCAAAGCAGTATGAATCGTAGGACCTTGAGCTTCTGTATCTGCTTGTTTTGGGCAAGCTTGACGATGCGTTTCGCGACGTATCTGCTGGGGACGCTGACACCTTGGCCAGCTGCTGAGGATTGCACCCAGTCCTTGACATCCAGGATAGTCATTAGCTCGCTTCCAACTACGACATCTGTAGAGTAGACGTCGGCTGGGTATTCGGCTGCAAGATTGGGTGTCGGTCGGGGTTTCGAGCTGTCTACGGCTGCTGCGAGATCGTCCTTGTTTGGCATAATAGCTGTCGCAGAGTTCATTTGCTGTAGGACGTTCTCAGCAACAGCGTCGGTTCTCGCGGCGTCTTCGGCGCCAGTGCCGCTCTTGATCGCGTTGAGCGTTCGGTCTTCAAGTGCCTTCCTTGATTTCTTGGATCCAAACTCTGCGGCGAGAGCAGCTCTCTTTGCCGTGACAGTGTTCATAGCCGCGTCCAACTTGTCCTGCTCTTCTCGCATTTCTTGTGCCTCACTGCGCAGTGTGCTTCGTACAACGACTCTCTTGACTGGAACGATTTGTAGCTTGCTTGTCGCAGGGTCGAATACGCCAATGTAGTCTTGTAGCTGGCTTTCGGCGCTGCCATCGTGCTCTTCTTGTGCGGTGTAGTCTAGACGAGGATGATCGGATGACTGAAAGAGTAGCTCGCTGCTTTCGCCTTGTGGTAGGATCTTGGTGCGCTTGTATGGCTTGAAAGATAGCTTCGATGGGATGTTGAGACCGGGTGTGACAGCTTGCTGGTGTTAGACAGAACTCGCTTGCATGTTTCATAGCTTCTGTCTTATTGCGATGGCTTTGGAAGTCATGCGACAGTGTCCAGAGTGGCTAGCATACCTAGAAGCGGACCCAGAGTCTCTTTATTCTCTACCATCTGAACGCACACATTTCCCTGCGGCGCAACCGCGGTCTTCTTCTTCGGACGCTCGCCATTCTGCTCCTGTCTCTTTCTCTTCTTTTCACTCATGTCGGCGTTGCGGTTGCGATAGGGCAGCATTGGTCGCGAAATGTCAAAAAGTTCAAAAGTTGAATCGCGAATTGGCAGAACTTTCGGGCGGTGAACTAGCAGACATAGCCGAGCGACAGGGGTTGGTGCGGGCTAGCATGTTAGTGCAGGCGTGATGACGTCCACGCGACGGACGCGTTCCACACTGCCGCACTCCCGCACACCAAGTGCGTCCACGGCACACACGGATCGTTCCTGGATTGAGTTTATTGTATCCAGTCAATGCAGCTGCGCTGAAACAGCAAACAATTCAATCTTCATCACTGTCCTTCGTCTTCCCCCCCACATCATCACCACCATTGTTCCATTCATCACTGAACTTGCTTCCAATCGTACCTATTCCCACAGCCTTTACCATGCCTACCGTTCTCCAGACAGCGGGCGACATGGTCGATAATCTTGGAAACAAGATCCACTACACCACGAGAAGAGTGGGTGATCAGATCGAAACCACCACTAATCAGGTCTTGCCGCCCAAGCAGCGCGAGCACATGCTTGAAAGGGCTCGAGAATACGCTCACCAGAATCCGAAAGCAGCTGTACGTCAGTGGAAGCCTCTACGGAATGCCCTACTGACATCTATTCACAGGCCTTTCTTACCACCCAGGCCGCATTGACTGGTCTTCCGCTCGTCCTCTTCCTCGCTTTCGCAACAATCACCCTCCTTGTTTCCCTATCCACCTGCCTCTTCCTCGGCCTGCTCGTTTCAATCGCCATAACCTTCTTCCTAGTCGGCTTTGCACTCCTCTTCGTCGTCCCCACCGTCATCATCGCCAGCTGCTCAGCGACCTTCATCTTCATCTGGGGCTTCGTAGGCTACATCATCCTACGCAGGTTCAATGAGGGTGAGGAGCCAGCTAAGCTTGGCACGCGCGTTGGTGACAAGTTGCACAAGTTGACAGGCGGTAGATCGGGATATTTCCAAGGCGATCAGACATCTTCGGAGAGCAGCCATGACCGAAGCGGCATGGGTTCTAGAGCGTCTACAAAGGGCCATGATGATGGTGCTGGGCACGCACATGGTGGTGTATCGTCGCACACGCGTGATGGCGGGCCTGTAAATGGCGTGACTGGCACGCAGGGCACTGTTGAGTGGGAGAGGAAGTGGGATGGTGTGAAGTCTGAGCCGGTCGTCTTGGATACAGAAAACGTCTTTGAAGTCCTGAAAGCGGTAAGTACGCTCCCGGTTATTGTTGAATATTTGGCTAATTGTAATAACAGGAAGCTCCAGTTGCTTAGAAGCGTGTCTGGAAATCGAGGACTTGACGTACCAATCTTCCTATAGTACCTATTTCTCCGCCCTACAATGACCGAACCTAATCTTCTATAACACGACAGTTTACATAACATATGGTGTGCGCTTACTTGACTTGATGCTTATTCATTGTGCCGTCTCCAAACTTCGCATCACGTGCACCTCTCCGACCCTCTCATCCTTGATATAAATCTTCCCTCGAGCATGCTTCTTCGTTCCTCCATCAATCTTGCTACCTTTCCAATCTTCAAATTACGATCCAGAAGACACATGTTGGATCGGTGCATTAAAAAAACAACCATGGAAAATATAATGGATTGCCGAAATGGAGCTTCGCCCGAAACCTCTTTCAGGACATGACGTTTGCGCGCTCTTTTTCATTCAGTATCATCAATACACACAAGCCTTGCGAGCTTTGAACCCGACAAGTCTAACGGAATGCGCTGGGGTAGTCTTCATACATCGAAGTAGAAGTCTGCTTTGGAGAACGTCGTCGAAGCTGATCGTCAGCAATCCACAAGCTAGGCAATTAAGTCAAAAAACAATCTCAAACACCTTCATGTCTGGCCTTTTGCCTTGAGTGAGTTCGGGCTTGACTATGTATATCATTTTCCAAGACACCAAAACAACCTCTGAAATTTCTCATGGTGTCGTTGGCTGCGAACAACATCACGATCGTATGCACGCCTGAAATGAACAAAACAGTTGGCATACAAAGAGCGCAAATGCCTCCTCAGTCGTTCAGTGTGCGCTGAGTACACCTAGCCTTGCGATACGATGTTTTGAGGTGCTCCACGTTATACCATGGACCGAGCACACTACGTTTTCGATCTCAGACTAATCGGCCACTATAGCTATATAAATACCTTCTTTCTCGTCGTATTTGTTTCTCTTCATCACTACCTCTTTATCTAAAAACCTTAAAAAAGATCAACGGGGGTATAGATGTTTTGCCTATGCTGTCGGCCACGAAAAGACCAAAAAAGCTTCTACGTGTCTAGGGGGACTTTCGCAATTCACAATCACTCGTAGCCATGGCGTTACCGTCGTGCTCTTTCTTATTTTCCAGAAACTAAGCATGTGGTTGGGCCCGGAGAATTTCTTCCAATCGATACAGGCCCGTTTCGGCGGCTTCTCGTGGGTCATCAGAGCACCCCATGGCGCGTCGAGTGGTTGTACTACCGTTTGCCTGCTGAGTGGGTATATAAATTCTCCTTCCCGGAGCTTAGGGTTCGCTATCTTCGTCACACTCGGATACCAAAAATCCAAGAGTCCAAAAGCAATATAACCAGTGGCTATGTCTCTTCCAAAAGCCACAACAGTGCTACAATGTTTTCGGCGAGAGAGTTTTGTTCTAAGAACTGTGACCCACTACCCTTGAGCGGACTCGAGAAACAGCCTTACACAACTCTCATGGTGGCTTCTCCGAAACCACATCCGTTTATCATGATCCTTTCTGGGGAAAAAATGCCACTCGATGTATTCACGGACTCCTCGGTCGCTTGTGTCACAATATCCAAAGAGGGCGCGCTGAGATCGCATGGCGCCGTTCTTCTGCACTGATCTGCGGGTATATAAAGCTTCTCCTCTTACCTCCTCTAGTCTACCTTAACGAGAATCCCCCTGATTATAAGCCTCAAAAGACGAGGGAAAAAATTCATGGGCTCTAGAAAGAAGCACCAAAAAGCCGAATGATCTTGCCTCTTCGAGTAGACTTCGGAAACGTTCGACACGTGCGTCTGCTGTTATGCCTTTTGCTCCTGATAATCTATTCCTTGACCCTCGAAGTTTTCGATAGATCTTATGAATTCAAAAGCCATCATCGCAGGCTCACGTTGATAGAGCAAGGTGGTGATGGCTAGGTGCAAGAGGGTTTGTAATGACGTCAGTAGACCAAGAACCTAGCAGCCGAGACACCCGTAAGTTCTATCTGAAGATGAACGTCTTCGATAGCTATTGGATCCAGAACGAGTTATCGTTTGGTCGCTGAGGGGAAGTCCACTGGAGGTATCGGAGTTCTCGAGAGAAGCGGCGCAATGAACCCGGGCTGAGCACTTGGCTGCTGCCTAAACTAGCAACCACAGCATCATGGCATTCCTACATCAAGCTCTACACCACCATGCTCGCATTCTAGATCAGCCTCGTTAATCTTGACACTAAAGATGGTACTTCCACAATCGGACCTGGCGCGCACCAAAAGACGCCTGAGACAAGAACTCCGAAACATCACCAACGACCCTATAGAAGATTGTTCCGCCGCGCCCACCGATCCTTCAAACCTGTTTTTATGGCAGGCAACAATCAAAGGGCCGCCGGCAACTCCCTACGAAACAGGCACTTTCCACCTCACCATAGAGTTTCCAGAGGCCTACCCACGCGTACCACCCAAGGTAACATTCACCACCAAGGTCTACCATCCGAACATCGATCATGAGAACGGATATATCTGTTTGAATATCCTTACCATGGACTGGAGTCCTGTGTTGACGGTTTCGACGATGTTGTTGAGCATAAGGGCTTTCCTTGATAGCCCGGATACCGACGATCCATACTATCTGGGGATTGCTGATGAGTATGTACGCACGAGAGAAGTGTTTGATGAGACGGCTAGAAGTTGGACTGAAGAATTTGCGAAGGATTGAGGGGTAGTTGGGAGAACGGCTGAGGGAAGTGAGTTGATAAGAATTAGTCAGCTCATTCGAAGCCAGTCACCTGCGCACTTGGAGCAGATTTTGTGATTTCATTGTTGTACTGGCCTGTCCGATATCTAGACCAAATTCGAAACATCATGGGACGTAACAACACGGTCCGATCGGCTCTCGACGAAGCTGTCTCGATCAACAATTCCCATGTAACCCATAGTCGAGGCTACCTGTATATACCTCGTCAAGCAATAGTGCTATCTCCGTCCGCTTCAGTAGCCCCAACTATCCTTGCGAACAGACGTGTAGGGCTCTATCCCTTTAGATGTGTAGGGTAAAAAGGATACATAGCCCGGATCGTAGCCGCATCACCAGCAGAAATATCGAAGTGCGGATAAGGCCTGCCACCTTTGAGAGGCAAGAGGAAAGACATAGTTCGCTCCGGATTAAACGTGAACAACGGGTACAACGTAGGATTTGTAGGATCATGCCCCCACCTAGCATGATCAGCACCAAAACGACAATCGTAATGCATGATGGAGTTGATATCATATGGCGTAATGATATCCGCGGAGAGCGGCTTGAACTTGATGAACTCTGAGCCGAGCCACCCGTACCTTAGAGCAACACCAGGCTGCTCGCAGAGCTGTTCGTTAGTGTATCCATCGGCCTGGGCCTGAGCCAGTGCCTGTTGGTAACCCTGCACGTTCCTACAATCGAAATGAATGAAGAAATCTCGGTCGGGGCGCTGGTGCTCGTGTAAAAGGCCAAAGACATGACCAATTTCATGTGCGGCAGTCCAATCCATGTTGTGGGCCTGGGACATGATAATTTGGTGTCTCCCCGGTCTGTTTTCCGGATTGTAACCCACTGTAGCTCGTGCCTGAAACCCTCCGAAATCGTGGGTATAAGATACCATGACGGCATCGGCAGGCATTCGGTCATTCCAATGGCCGTTCGCGTCGTGGCAGTATGGGTATTGGTTTGTGTTGTATGGCATCCAACGCTTGAAATGCAGATTGTGGCCGTTTTGAGGGGAAGCTAGGCCCAGCGTACGTGTCCAGGTTTCCCAACCGCGGTCGATGGCTGGGCCGATGGCTTGCTCGGAGGCAGCGTCTTTGAAGCACCAGGGGATTATGACTTCGAAGGCTATACTCCGAGGCCACCGCTTCTCTGGGTTAACGGGGAATCTGTGCGAATCAATAAGCATGAATGCAGAGTTTGTCAATGGCAAGAGTAACTCACCCAGCTTGACCTCCAGTGTCAGACTCTTTGGGTTTCTCGATGATTCCCGCGAAAACGAGCCCCAGAAGCGTGAAGAGCAGGATCGGAATCTGCATGCTTGAAAGTAGATTCATGTTTTAGTGTGCGGCGTCTGGGGTTGAAAATTGTAGATATCTTAGTGCATAAAAACGCCAGCACATATATTCATGAGCTAGAAACTGCCGCTAGGCAGCGAAGGTCATTGCGTTCCGCGCGTAAACTGTAAGTCAGAGTGAATCATGGTGTGGCGATAAGAGAATGGGATGAATTATGTCTGTCTGACGGCTCTTCTACCTCGGTGGTTCCTGTTGTGGCAGTGAAGATCTACTACAAATCCATTCCTTTCGATTCACTCGATCCGCCTTGGCGCGATCCTCGACTAGATTCATGAATAGTGTATTAGACCCTTCCACGCGGCATCTTCGTACGGACCCCCACAGTTCAAGAGGTACCTAACGACCTCCGAACCTACATGTACATGTTTACCGCGATGATCTATGAAAGCAAACTGGCGAATACGTGTGTGCGCTCATAGATATCTGAAAGTCTACAGACGTGAGTTGATTGAGGCTTGATTATCAGCGCGAAACCGGTAGCGTTCTATTTGTCTGCGATATAACATCTCGAGAAGACCATGTGTCTGCTACAAAGGTAAAAAAAAAGTACTTTGCACGAACCATGGTGTGACTATGGTTAGCTAAACGAGCTAATCACGATGGGAATCAAAGTTGTAGTGTATTTGGTGTTATCGGAGCTTAAAAGCTGCATTCTATTTCTGGACGCAAACTATTCTAGATATCCAAATGTCATGATGACTCATCTTTTATCTCGCTTCTAAACCCATGTCCAGTGATTTGCCTTTTGAAATGAAAAGAAACCCGACAGAGCTTTTCCGGAAAGTCTACTGCCGCCATGTGAGTATCTGCAGGACCAACACTTCACCACCAGAAGGCTGTTTACTCCCACGGATACAGCATCTTGATGGAATCTTCATCAAACTTCGAGATCTGCCAGTCTGGATATGGCAGTGGTAGCGGAAGCAATGACTTCTGTCTATTCCTTCCGCCAGTAAGACGAACCAGTGGGTATTTGTCAAGGTTGGTCGGATCAGCATCAGTAAGAGCGGGGTTGTGGCTCTGCCATGAGCTGTAATGCATGATTGAATTGTAGTCGTAATCCGAGCTGTACTCCATGCCTTTATTTTCCCACTTGTAGTATTGTGTAGCATCGAATTTGTAGTTATTCGCGACGTTGAAGTTGTTGCAAAGTTCATCCTTGGTAAAGCCGTCGGTAGTAGCCTTCTCCAGGGCCTCGGCGAAACCGATGAGATTATGGCAGTTGAACTGAACGTACTCGTCGCGGTCTCCACGGGAATTTTCATGCATCAAACCGAATATGTGGCCTAGACGAAGATTGTTAGTTGATTTAGGTATAATGTTCGAGAAGAAACGGCCTTACCGAGCTCATGGGCCACGACTGCCTACTTGTTAGCGCATTCAAATGGCTGAAGATTGTTACTCCACTTACCCAGGCCCTATCTCTACTCGGTGCTTGTTCCGCGTCGCCAATGCTCAAGTAATGACGACCAGCTTCACTTGTAGGATCATATCCCAAAGAAGACAATGCTGCTCAGCCTCCTGGAGCTCCACGCTTAATAACGACGATATCAGCTGGAAATTGCGGGTTCTATTCGCCATTTTCCAGATAACAATACCAGTTCTGACCAGGAACAAGGCGGCGTGCAAAGATTAGAGAATGACCGCTTTCTGGGCCGTAGTGACCGATATAACGCTGCCATATTCCCCATCCCCGCCCAACAAGCGTTTCGAGCTCATCCTTGGCGGCCTTGTTTTTGTAGCAGTAGGGAATTTCCGTCTTGCCGTGGTCATTCGGGTTCTTTGGCCAGCGACCGCTCTTCTCCTCGCCAAACCTAGGGATATGAGTAACGAATGAGTGGCTGTGGGGTCTACTTACCATGGACCGAGGATACCCATACCTCCGCCGGGAAGGCTGGTATTGAATGTAGGGAACGAAGTTGGGCACGCAACGGCGCACCAAGTGAATAGGGCGAGAAGGGTAAGTGGTAACATCGCGCGGCTGGTATGTTGTTGCACGTAAACCAGCGATTTGTGCAACTAACGCGATTTTGTCAAACAGTGTAACGTGGTGGTGGGGGAGAGTAAGGGAAATGGAGTAGAAGGAAAATGTGCAGCCGATAGATAAAGCTCGATATATTCGTACGCCAAAGCTCAGAGTGGCGGTGGAGATTCGAGTCTGAGCCTGGCAATGATAACAAACACAAAGTGAATGGGGATCACGTTTTAATACCCTTGCTCGTTCCGACTCCATTTGCCTTGGTTTCATACTTTTAAGGATAGTGAGACGAGTTCCTTTTACACTCTGGGAGCCACTCCCGACAGTACCACATCCTAAAAGATATGCAAACTGATAGATGTTCTCTATCAAGGTAGATCGCAGCCTTAAATTCGACCACGTTCGATGCAAAGTGGCAATACGGACGAGGAGACTATGATTGTTCAATATATGTCGAAGATTGCAGCTTACCCCATTCTTTCGGCGTTAGGGATGTCATTGTCGTGACATATATCATGTTGGAGTAAAAGTACAGAGGTTGGCCTCCGTGTCAGCTACGCGTGGACGTGGCACGCTATGGAGACGAAAGTGTACTAACGTCGTGCGCTGCATTGGCGACACCAGTGCCGAAGCTTCCAAGCCTCCATGAAGCACCTTCTTCTGTGCTTTTCCACGAACTCTAGCTGACACAACTTATGCGCCACATTGTTCCATCTCTTTTAGTCAGAGCCTTGAGATATCCTCGTAACGCACTAGCCTTCTTCCAGAATGCGACCTCGCACATGCTTTGTGACACTGAAGATGGAGGTTTGCACTCCAACGCATTTGATTATGTGGATGCCTGATACTTATGACAGGCACTGGTATTGAGTGTGCATGGCGCTAGCCCCGTGGATCATTCGCATGCGATCGTTCAAGGCTGTGCTGCGCGTGAGGGGCGCAGCTGAAGCGTGCGGGTCTTCACACCACTAAATATACTTGATCCCTCAACGCAGGCTTCGTACTAAAAGTGGTTTGACCGAACCGAACCAGCACAATGCGCTAAACTCTGCTTTCAGGCTTTTCAGACGCATTCACATTGCTACATGTCTTTTGCAGGGTCGCTTTTCGGCAACACCCAAGCCCCCACTTTCATCGCCCCGAAAGAAGCGCAGGCACAGCGCGATTAGACCACCGCCTCGATGAGACTTTTGAACGCCAGCACATACGAATTTCAAGTCGTTCTAGGTTCAAAAAAGCCGAATTACGCGATCCTATCACACACATGGGAAGACGATGAAGTGCTGTTTGAGGATTTGCGGGATACGTCCAGATCCGACTGGAGTGCAAAGAAAGGTTACTTCAAGATAAAGAAAACATGTACACAAGCCTTGCAAGATGGGTGCAATTTTGTATGGATCGATACTTGCAACATCAATAAGGACAGTAGCACCGAGCTCTCAGAGGCCATCAACTCCATGTTCAGGTGGTATAAAGAGGCCACTATCTGCTACGCCTACATCTCTGATAGCACCACTGGAGACGATAATTCTTTATCCCAATGTCGCTGGCTCACCCGAGGTTGGACACTGCAGGAGACGATTGCTCCCGATCGTGTGCATTTTTATGACATAGATTGGAATTTTCTGGGCAGCCGCATTTCCCTTGCGAGACACCTTTCAGCAGCCACTGGGATTCATGAAGCTGTACTGTTACGAAGGCATCGTCCTGGCATTCCCCAATCGCATCCGCCCTCAAATCCAGTGCCAACTGGACTTGTGGTGATGAAACGCACAGGAAAAGAGGATGAAGCCCCACTCTTCAGAGCGACAGAACGCGAATGTCGATGTTGTCCAAGCCGTGAAGAAGTGGACGTGGAATCAATGCTTGAAAGGTTCAGCGTAGCGCAAAAGATGAAGTGGGCTTCGAAACGAACTACCACGCGTGAGGAAGACATAGCTTACTGCCTAATGGGGCTGTTCGACGTGAACATGCCTCTGTTGTATGGCGAAGGTACGAAAGCATTCTATCGGCTACAAAAGGCTATCCTTGGGATATCGTCAGATCAATCAATCTTGGCTTTTCGATCTGATCTGCTATCGTCACCCTTCATTGGCGATTCTCCGTTACTAGCACCACACCCGAAGTTATTTCGCGACGAGGTCCACAACATGCATATGCCAGCTCGTGGTACGCATGTAAGTCTGGTTGGAACCACGTTATCTATCGAAATGCTCATATGTCCGATACAAGGGAATGGAATGCATCGAGACCAGTATCTTGGCATCCTGGATTGCTCGTTAGATGGAGACCCTTCTATGAGACCTGCTATCCTTTTGACACCCGTACACAAAGGAAAGATGATTTTTCGTCGAAGTTCCGGGGATATCAAGCTATTTCGACTAGAATCAAGCCATCTTGGGGAGGCTGTTTTGATGACCGATCGTACATTAGAACCCAGACCGTGTATGTCCACCCGAGTAGGTAAAGTTTTTCAGATAGATGGCTAATTGATACAGTATTTTGGTCAAGCAATCGCATACGATACGATGTCAGTGACATCAAACGCGCTCGCATTACAATCATTAGTGAGAAGATGGACAATCACAATCATCGCCATGCGACAGTGCCCGTAAGAGTTAACACATTTTCAGTCTGCAGCGAGTCGAACTGCCAAATCACTTCGTCATCGCATCTCATCGCAGAGCAATTACCAGACACTGCACATTTAGGATGGCTAAAGTTTTCTAGTCCGTGGGGTGAACAGTTTTGCGTTAACTGGAACCGGGACTGGACTTCCCTAAAATCTAGCATTCGAACATTTCTTGAACCGAAAAACCAGGAAGTGATACAGGAGCCGGCCGCCCCAATGGTCCACCAAGATCCGACAGTCATCCAGGAGCAGATCGCTCCCATGGTTGACCTCGAGCTCGAGTCATTAGACACTTACGTAACTATGCCGCTCGCGGAGCTGCATAGGTCGAAACCCATTACACTCAGAGGTCCTAATTCGAGCTGTCTTCGGGTCTGGATCTCGCTATCAAGAGAAACTTTTATTGGCAGGAGTCGATACGAATTGGGCATTCATGGGAGGATTGTGAAAAGAGATAGTAACGAGGAAGACAGCTCATCTGAGCCCCTAGCCGCTTGTGGAGAATCACAGCTTGAGGGTCTCAGTTTACAGGACGACACTTGATTACTTATTGTAGAGCATACATACTTCAATAATCGCAATACCAACCTGAAAATTCTTCTTAACGAGCTCAACATCTCCGGTCAATTCTCACTGAACCTGCGCTTCGCCCTCTTCCACCTCCGACACCACACTCTTAATCATCTTCTCCCAGATCCTTCTCACAACTCTGAACCCCTCAACCCACTCATCATAATCCTCCACCATATCGAACTCCAGCCACTTTCCGCCTCTCGCCCCGACACACTCCATATACTCGATATCTAAATGCTCGTTATCTTGATCCCGACGCACGTCTTTGTCCTTGTCCCCATCCTTTTTTGTCTCTCCTTCCTTTGATCTCTCTCGACCTTCCGCGTCTGCTTCCTCCTCCTTCTCTTCCTCTTCCTTCCTAGCCGCCTCATCTAGCCTCCTTGCTTCATCAAAACTGTCCGCGCCATGAACCCACTGCACCAACCCCCACCTCTCTAGATCTTCCGTGACACAAGGAGTGAAAAGCACTTGCACAACATCCCCCATCCCCAACTTCTTTTCCGTATCTTTATCAGGCACTACACCATAATACCCCACAGCATGTCTTCCGTCCTTGTAAAACCTCGGTAGGAATAACACTGTCATGCTTTCATCCCCTCTCTTGTCTTCATATAGTGTGTCTTCTGTGGACTTAGCCTTCAACATTCCCCTACCCTTCTTATCCCAATAATCCTTGGGAGACGGGAGGGATGGCAGAGGCGAATCTGGAGCTAAATTGGGTAGATGCGTTATTGCAGAGTCGAAGTCAATGAAGGGGAGATTTTGTTCTGCGATACGGATCATGGCGAGGAAGACGGCAGAGTTGGTAGTTGTTGCGCGGTAGATCGACTCGGAGTAGTTGAAGCGGCTATAGTTCGGGTTAGGAAGGGAAGTGTAGGGTTTGGTGTCTTCGTCCCATTGGAAGAGGTGGACTGCTCTCGTCTTTGTGTAGTCGTCGTCGCTGTCGTTGTCGTTATTAGAAGCGGGTGACCAGGGGATGAGTAAAGCATCTTCGGGAATCATCTTCCGTTGATCTTCAGTAAAATTCGTTGCGATATGTTCGTACGTCTTCCGTAAAGTGAGTTGGTGACGGTAGTGCTCGACTCCTAACTTGCGGCCTGGTGTGTCTAGTTCGGTGGTGTTGACAACGATGTCATCTTGGTGGGAGTCCCAAGGGTAATCTTTCTGAGACCCTTTGGGGGGTTGCTTGACGGGTGATGACATGTAGGATGGATCTGGGGGAAGTGCTGCGAGCCTGCGTCGATCGGCGCCAGTTTGTAGGAGACGAAATCTTGCCATTGTGGCGGGTAGGCGTGTGAGTAACGATGTCACGGGTATATTACTGCGCGCTGCTGCTGAATGTCGCGGAGTTGTTTCCCTCGAGGTGAAGGCCAAAGACGAAAAACTTAAGGAAAATAGTTTGGTCAATGGGAGATAGAGTTATATGTCCCTGCACGGGCTGCGTTTGCGATTACTACTTCACTGCCTTCTGGCAAGCTGCAACAACTATACAATCACTATTACCGTGCAAACTGCTAATCCGAGTCATCGTCAGTGTCTTGTCCAAGTACCAGAGATATCTTGTCATCGTCGCTATCGTCGTTGTCGTCGTCAACGCTTTCTTGACCTGGTTCGGGAAGATCGGGGACAGCCGAGGCGGTGCTGGTAACGGCAAAATCCGAGGTAGCGGGTATGGTAGTATCGGCAGTAGATTCGCTTGATGAAGTTGTGAACGTTGACACAGGAGGTATTGGGTGTGTTGTGCGCTGTTCGTCTTCGCTGGTTCTCGCTCGCTTAGAGGGTGAAAGAGGTCCATCTTCGCCTATCGGTCGCTTGGTATCGCTGAATGCCGTAGGTTCGGAGATATTAGGACGTTGCGCAAGTGTGCCCTTACGAACCGATCGTGGAGTGGATTCGGCAGGCTTGCTCGGTGTTGGCGCGTCTCCCATAGCAAAGTCCTTCGCTACCGTATCCGGCTGGCCAGCTGTTTCCAACAGATTGTCTAACTCTTGTCCAGCAAAGTGATCATCCGCCTGCTCCAAAGCTTGCGGCTCTTCTTCCTCCGCTTGCTCTTCTTCGACCTCCATCTCTTCGTCCTCGTCATTCGCGTCTTCCATCTCCACGTCTTTACCACCCAAACGGATTACTGGCATCCTTGGTCGGAGAATGCCTTCCACATCCTTCTCGGCAGAGAACGACCGCGCCATGAGTGGTAGAATGCTTGCTGCAGGCTTTCCAAACTTCTTGCTTGGTGGCGGGTTTAGCACGCTAGCTACCATAGCCTCCTTGTGCTGAGTGAGAATGGCGGTGCGATCTAGGCGAGCTCGCATCGAGTCGGACAAGTATTGAGCCGGGATGTTCGAGAGCAAAACGGGAAGCAAATGGTGGGCTGCTTGTTTGAGACCAGTAAATCCAGCATTCGGTCCACCGGTGTTCTTCGCAGCACCAAGGAAGCTATCGGCATTCGCAGTCGTCTGAGGCTGACTGTTGCCATTCGCCTTGGCTTGGCCCGGGGTCTGTTGGGTTGAAGGCGTTGCAATCTCGGATGGTAGCAGGTCGTCGCAGCAAGCGCGGATGAGAGGTACGAGTGAGTCGATAGTAGCCTTGTGTAAAGCGACACCTGATCTCTTCACTAGAGCATCAATGGCCGTGTAGCATGCGGTTCTGATCTGGGAAGTCTCCTTCTCCGCGCTAAACACCCATACAAGTTGATCGATGATGATAGGGTCCAACGCCAAGGTGCTGGTCTGGGTTCGGTGGGCCAATGCAAGAAGCACCTCAATAGCGGCAACGTGCACATCTGGCAGCAGCAACCAAAGACACTCGCGTTCTTCCTTGCTGACTTGAGCGTTCAGGCGCACGGTGTTTTGGAAATTCTTGCTTGCGGATGCAGGAATCGTAAGAGAAAGCATCCTTGAAATCAAGTCGACGATTGTGCCAACGTTGAGATACACAGTGTTTGCCGTGGGGCTCTCAAGGTACTCCTTGATGACATAGAGAAGGCCTGTCAACCGTTCGCCACCAGCAAAGATTCCTGACCAAGATGAGAGGTCTGAGCTAGGCTCTAGGTCTTGGACCTCATCATCCAACGTATGGCCATTGGACAGAGGCGCTTCACGCGCCGCAGATTGCCAGTCCTCTACCACAGCGCGGAAAACACGGTCTGATGCTTGATGGGTGACGTTTGTGATGTTCTTGATGGCTTTCGTCCACTCTTCGCTCGAAGCCCCTTTCGGTGCACAGCACGGCAGTTGTACGTAAAGCTGGCGCGCCGCAGCCGCGATGTCGGAACAAGTACCATGTCTCGCTCCAGTTTGCTGCTCTTGACTGGTCTTGTCAGATGGGGTGGGCGCGACGAGACGTCCCAGAAGCGGGTAAAGTTGCTTGAGATATGACCGGAAGATGGTAGGATGTCGTGGCAGTAGCTCGTTGAAGCTCTCCAGAATGATCTGCAACAGTCCGACGGGGGTAGTCTTAGCATTTGCTATTTGTAGGCAGGTCTGCACGAAAGGTGATAACGATGGAGTAGTGATTTCGCGGATCAACGTCGGATATTCCCTGGTCAGAAGGAAGATGCGCGTCAAGGTGATGATGCATAACTTCTTGGATGATGGCGAATCTGGCTTGTTTAAGAAGCCAAGAAGACCGCGCACCCACGGCAAACTCTTCTGTAGAGTCTCCCAACCCCCGACTTCAATCGTTGCCTTGATCAGCACTATAGCACACCATCTTCCTTGGGGAGTCCGATCTTGGAGCAAGGTGGAAAGTAGAGTCCGGAACTTGTGTATGGCGACGGATGCTTCCGAGGATGTCGCTTTAGTACCTGAGGCCTGAGCTGAGGAGAGTAGAGTTCTGCAATTGGCTAATGATGCAGCTATGGCAGGCACGTGTTGAGGAAGCTGGGACGTTGGTGTGGACGAGATGCGGAAACTGAGCGCACGCAGCGTCGACAACTCGGTTGTAATGGGCGCCATGATGATCGCGATCCTTCCGTTCGCGAATTCACCCAGCTCGACTCTGATCAGCGGATTTGTTGTCGTCGAAAGATGGTAGGAAAAAAGTTCGAGCCTCGGAGTTAGCGTCGGACCGCATGGCGCTAAGACTGCAGGGATGAGCGGGCCAGCTGGGAAGAGTGGGACTGGCATTGCAGTCGGTCTGTGACATGTGTACAGCCATGACAGGCGTCGTCGCATTCAGTATTACTCGTCGAACATGATTGTACATGTATTGCGACTTTGTCTAGTGCCAAAGGCATATTCTTAACATCATGGTGGTATGTTGACATGACTCTTCTTCTCCCCTCGGGCCCCGAAGCAACGTCATCTTGGACAACGGTAGCTTACAGGATACACAGAACGCCCCCGAGAACGAGAAGGCCAAGCGCTATATACAGCTATTGGACGAAGCAAGATGCGCCGGACGATGGGCCGATGTCCCTGAGCTATGTCGCAAAGTCGAGAAGCATGCGCCGCACCGACGATGTCAGCAAACCTCTCTATTTGGTCTTTCTGAGGGCTAACGGCAATCCAAGGCCTCACCCTCACAGCGCGATCCGACGCCCAAATAGCCACCTATAGCTCTCAAAGGCCCTCGACTGCCTCATCTACCGCGTCTACCGGCGGCCTGTCAAATATTATACCCACATTACTCGCTACAATCGAAGAAGATGGCACCCACAGTCAAGACACCTTCCAGGCCAATGTCTGCCTTGCCTGGGCTCATTACGTACTGGGTGAGCCAGGACTGGTAGTTGCGCGGCTACCACAAGACTTTGGGGCAGTCGCGACCCAGCTATCCGGGGAAGCAGGCACATTAAGCGGCTGGTCTAGGGTCTGTCTGGTTAAGGGCACATATCTCAAGGGTATAGCTATATCTTCGTAATACGTTGTAGCTCGGGACTGACATGAATTAGGATCCGCTCTTGAGAAAACAGGCTCTATCCACGAGGCAGCCGCGACCTACTCGTCCATAATACCTTGGCTGTCTACGACGACCACCCCAAACACCGAATCAGCCCAATTCAAAATGTGGGGCGAGCAGTCTCTTGTCCGCCTCTGCCAGCTCTCCGATCAATCTACAGGCGCCAGCGGGCAAATCAACGCGCCTGAGGCTCTTCGTACCTACCGCTACTGGGCAAAGTTTTGGGATGCAACATCGAAGAACGCCGCGTCAGACACCGGCAACTCAGCACTGTACCGAAGATTGGCATGGAAAGCTTACTACGACTCGCTGTCCACGATCCTCCGTTACGACCTAGCCTACGAACTTGATTCGACGCCTATCATCCAAGAGAAGCCAACACCGACCGCCCAGTCCGACGCACGCTTACGGCAGCGAGCAGAATTGAAACGAGTCGAGGCCGTTTACGAGAACTTGTTGATAAGAGAAACAAAGTTCCCCAAAGCTAGTGAGACCAACCACGAAGTCGAAGCATGGGTGGACTCTGTCATGGACAACTGGCGCCTCTTGTGCGGTCCGAGCTGGAGCGACGATGACCTAGGCGAAGGTGGAAAAGAGGGTGTCGCACGAGGTGTTCTTGATGTAAGACAACCATTGAGTTTAGCAGGAGTATGCCCTCTAACACTATCTAGATCCTCTACCGAGCAGCTACCAAGACATACCACTCTACGCAGATCTTGCGCAATCTCTTCGTCGTTCACGCATCGCTAGCCGAGCCAGAACTAGCATACAAAGCCTACGACTCGTACGTCGAGATCATCACACGGAACAAGGATCGGTCAGAAAAGTCAGGTGAAGCCGAAGTGGGCATTGATGACGACAGTACTGTGTTGAGAACCTCTGCCGAGGCCATTAAAATGCTCTGTCGTTGGGGATCTAGGCAAGATGCTGAGAAGGCTCTCGAGATCGGCCACAGTATCGAACACTGGCTTGAGCAGGCGGATCACCTCCGGTCGACGTCCGATGCCGGTTCTGTCGCCTCAAATCAATCTCTGATCGAACCTACCGCCTTAGCTGCCGCTTACTGTGCTATTGGCGTCAGCCAAGCGCACTGGGCACGATTGACCTACGAAGTTGAGGCACGAGCGAAGATCCAGGCCAAAGCTATACAGTACCTAAGGAAGTCACTCTCGCCGAGTTTCAGTGATGAGCACAATGTGGAAGCTCTATACGCACTGGCTCTAGTCCTGGCAGAGATGCGAGATATCCCCGGAGCCATCAAGGTCGCCAAACGTGCACTTTCTCCGGCAACAAAGGGCACAGCCATCAGCACAGATGGAGTCATATCCGGTGGTATTCCTACTGAATATGGACGCGAACGGAAGCTGATACCTGTATGGCACCTTCTCGCCCTACTTCTAACATCGCGATCAGAGTTTGCCGCTGCTGAGAAGGCATGCGAAGCAGCCTTCGAGCAGTTCGGTGATCCCGCCATCCTCTTTGGCCGTAGTGACTCAGGCGCATTCCGGAGCGAACACCTCAACGATGTTGCTGGGCAAGAGGCTCTTGAATCAGGTGTTGTAGACCGCATGGAACGCTTCGAGAGGAGCAACATACTGCAGATTAAGATGACGCAGCTAGCCCTGCTCGAGATTACTGATGGCGCTACTGCCGCGGTAGATGGGTGCGACGAACTTCTTGCGCTGTACGGCAGACTTTTTGGTGACCCAGCAGCCGATAAAGTGAAGCCAGTACCCGAGCCTGCGTCACTAGCGCCTCCAAAGACTGCTATGGGTACTGGCCGAGGAAGCATTTTCCGCGGACGAGGATCGGTCAGGACGACGCAGCAGGAGAACAGCACACGAAATGAATCTGCGGTCAGCGCCAAGACAGCTACCACTCAACCAGAAGTGCCTCCTGCCATTCAAGTCACCGATGATAAAGGCGCAGCTCATGCCAACGGCCATCACCGTCACCATCTGTTCCATCACCACAAACATGATGAAGGTCAGGCTGGCAAAGACCCTACCTCAGAGATCCCGCCGCTGCCAGAGCACGTTCCAAACGGTACACCTACACATAGCAGTACTGTGAATCCGAATTCACCTCAGCAAACCTCCGTTTCTAGTCCTCCGAGGAAGTCCGTAGAAGGTGGTGACAGACCACTGCGACCAATAGCCCATAACCTAGACCACACCTCCCCACCATTGAGCCACGAACAACATCCGCCTAGACAAGACACCCGCTTGCCCTCTCGCCTTCCGCATGCGGACTATATCCCTGCTGATCCTTACTTTTCGAAGATCCAAGAGCGTCGTCAGAAAGTCTGCCTGTTGGTGAGCATATGGATCTTCATTTCGGGATTGTATTCACGGGCGCACATGTTCCTGGACGCCAGGGAAGCTGTTGCGGAGGCATTGAAACTGGTTGAGGCTTTTGAGGCAGAGGTGTCATTGGAATCCTCAACAGCCAAGGCGCTCGCTGACAAGGGATGGGGTGGTGGTAAGAGCGTGGAGGAGTTATGGGGTGACGTGTTTGCTGCTGTAAGCCTCTCAATTTCGTTCATATTGCCCCTGCTAACACTTTTTACAGCGCGCAGAACAGCTCGTAGCCCAGTCAATGAAACATGAAGCTCGCGTAGACTTTGAGCGCGCTCTACAACATTTCCCCGACCATCCTGAAGCTATTGTTGGGCTATCGAACATTCTTCTGGATATCTATAGCGAGGCGATATCACTAGAGCCTACTGATGTCGACGCCGTCTCTCATCCTTTACCGCCGTCGGTGTCCTCCACTCAGGCAGGCGCATCGGAATCTAAGACGCAATACCTCACTTCTCACACACCATCGGCAGAGAATCAGCTCTCCTCCCCCGAGCTCACTCGTCTTGCAGCGCGTGACCGCGCATTCGGTCTACTGTCTACACTCACCAAGCTTGGTGCCGGTTGGGATTACTCCGAGGCGTGGTATGCGATGGCTAGAGCGTATGAGGAAAGCGGACAGATTGACAAGACAAAGGATGTGCTTTGGTGGTGCGTTGAGTTGGAGGATACGCATCCTGTACGTAGCTGGAAAGTGGTGACCACTGGTGGGTTTGTGCTGTGATCAGTTTGCAATGGTTGTACGTAGGTGGGTCGTTGGTATACCCTAATTCATAGATACGTAGATTTCGTTTGGGATCCATGTCTTTGGTTCTATAGCGTACCTAGGTATTAAGTGGTAAAGTGGTGTGACTGTCTTACCAGTAGCCAGGCCATTCCTTGCATCGCTGCTATGAAATCTGTTTCTTGGCCATGGTTGCTGTTCACAAGCTCGACACTCTTCTTCTTCGGCTTGCCTGTAAGTATACAGTATTTCATCAGAGTTTAACACCGCGCTAATATCATTAGACTGCGTAAACCGCCTTGCTGAACATCTACTTCGCTGTTCAATACCTTGTTTCTCCAACGACCTGAACAATTACATGATTAGACCGCGCTTTGACACCGCTTAAGGCCTACACCACGGTTTCTTCGTGACTAGAGGCCCCCATCTGCCGTATGGTATATTGAGGGTACCGCGAGAATCTCTGTTGGTAGGCCAACAAGATCCAGGATAGTGCATACCTCTACTCAGAGTGTTTGTTACAACTGATTATGATCAAGTTTCTACGAATACACGGTAAACACCTACAGCAGAGCCCCTTCACAACCCAGCTCGTCAACATCCAGCTTAGAGCTCATCCTCAACCCTCTCCTGCACCATCCCCGCGTAGTAGAGCACTCCCTTACCCATATTACTCGCGTCTCTCACCCCCTTGATAATCGCCACATGAAGCGCACTTTCCGGAAGGTATCCCGCCGGCCACCCAGCACTCCCTTGTTCCGCATCCAAAAACCTGATTTTCACGCTATATGAGACTATGCTCCGCCAGTTACCAGCCCAACAAGCGTGATAGACGAACCGATGTAGTAACCAAGGTAGATCAGACTGGCCGATGCGAACTAGCGGTGGCGCGGGAGTAAGAGGAAACATTATCTTGTAGCATACTCTCTTTGCTTTGGTAGTTATCGTCGTCACAGGTAGGCCTTGGAAGTTATTCGGAATCTCGATGACGACAGTGAGAGGGGGATATTTGTACATGGTGTCCGGTTTTGTGCCGATGTATTTGATAGTGCGGAGGATAAAGGCTGTCAGTGCCTCCAACGTTCTTGTGTCGACGTTGCGAGTGAAGGCTTTTGTGTTGAGTCTGATACGGAATTCGTCGTCTGATAATATACCAGCGCGATAGCGTCGAATATCTTTCATGCAGCTGGAGTTGCTGCGTTTTAGATGTCGGAGAAACCAGTCCCAGAATGTGCGGGGGATGGCGAACGAGTCGCGGAGATCTAATAGGCCGAGGAGTTGGTCGGCCTTGATGGCAATTGTTGGTGGTACTGCTACGATCTTCTGACCGTGCGGTGCGAGTATGTAGGATGCTTCGGAGTGGAGGTGACGGCTGGTTGCTAGGATGGATATGCCTGGTATCGTCGTGTAGATCAGCGTCAGATGGTCTTGACCGTCCTGTAGGTGCACGTTCTGACGCCGCGTAACCGGGTGTAGCTCCTCATAGACCATAAGACGTATCTCCTTTGGTAGATCTAAGAACCTGAAAGATTTGGTTGTGCCCATGTGCGGCGGTGAGAGTGCTGCCTCTGCTTCGGGTAGCGAAAGACGGGGTGGAAGTGTTCTGCCCATGGCTGAGCGTATTGCACGGGCTGAGGAATCGGGTATTGCAGCTGTTGTTTAGTAGAGTTGGACTGTTGACTGTTTAGTATCGATTTTTATCGAGAGAATACTTGTTCAAATACACATGGGACAATATGCGAACGTGGGTGAGGACCAGCTTTCACCATCGCAAGCGGATTTCATTTTCGTGGTGAAGAAATATGATTCACCACCGACGTTACCTACGGAAGATTGTAACAAATACGGACTGAAGAAACGAATATGGTGGAAAGTATGCTGTAGCCATGTAGGGTGAGCCGAATGATGCATCGCCTTTTCCCCTTCGACCCGGCATCTTCCCGCTGAAAAGAACCTTTTGTGCTTTATGAGTACAGCCTGCAGTGTAGAAACTGCTGTTGAGGCGGAACGATCCTTAGGAGGGCCCACTCTAGAATTAAGGGAAACAACGTAATAGAATAGTGACCTGCACAGCAGTGGCGGAAGCCAATGACACTAGTCAAGTAATATGATCAGGAACAGGCGATGAGGATGGACAACCGATATCGATAGGCAAAGACACACATAGTTGTCAGGAGAATCCGGTGAAAGAAGTCGAGACCATCGTGCCATCGTGAAGTGGGGAAGGTCCGGCCCGTGCGGAATTTAGCGCGATATTAGCGCGTACCCTGAATTCCCTTGTCAGATGTCCTCCTACTTCCTCACTACCACGCCTCGGACTTCTGCCAAGCAAGGACTTTCCAACCCGCGATACCGTGGACACCGGAGCAGTCACTCTGCGAACACAATGCCGTATCCCATCCGCACAGCCACAATCGCGCTTGCATGCCATGAATTACAAACGGCGCACGAGACCCACTCGTGATGCACGTTACGGTCAGGCCACTGCTGCAAAGCCACTCACACTCAGCCACGGGGCGCACATTGGGGCACTCGTGCATGGCCATACGCAACCCCTGCTCTTGGCACTCGTCTACGCACCTGTTCATGGACATTGTGTAATCTCAAGGATTGCGTGGTTCGCCTGTTACGGCAATGTTGTGTAAACATTCACCGCTTCCAAGCCGGCACTCGGCACGGCATCATAGGGGAGTCAGCGGGAGACGGTAAGATGCAAGAGTGGCAATGACATCCTGCCACCCCGTGGAGCAGTACTGCTGGTGAATCTTGACTGTGTCATGTTTGTTAGCTTGGCATATGGGTCACTCTTACTTCCATTCTAGCCGTGCGGCGACCGGTATTCGGCCTATGCTCTTTCCATAAATCTCTTAGCTTTCTCCTCTTACTGTGGACCTTTCATCAACTTCTCTCTCCTTACCACTTCACACACCCGCACACTGTTCAGCTTAATCTACTTCTTACACCAAACCAAACACAACTCAGATACCTGCCAACATGACTTTCTACCACACAGCTGAAGACATCCGCATCGACGACGGCCACGTGCTGAGGGCTCGTCTCCAGACTGCCGACGGCGAGTGGAACGACGCTGAGATCGACCTTAACGAGCACATCGGCAACGACAACGGTAAGAAAGACGCTCAAACTCAACATGACCCTTACTCATCTGCAGTAGGCCACTTCGTCTGGGACGGTGAGGGCTTCGCCAATTCCGCTGAGGACATCGAGTTCGCACTTGAGGGAGACGGCGACATTCCCGTCCTCCGCGCTACCCTCATGGACGAGGAGGGCAACGGTGAGACTCGCGACATCAACTTGGGCGAGCGCATCATCAACAACGATGGCAACTTCCACTACGGTATGTCATGACAAGTAGGCTTTCGGTGAACTTTTCGCTAACATACCCACTAGAGTAGGCATCTCCCTGTGATAAGCCTAGTGCAAGTACCTCGTGCGTCCATAACATCCTGTGATGGATATTTGGTGGCCACTTTGGGGTTCAAGTAGCTTCATGTACTCTCTACACGATATGAAATAACATAACGACTTCTCATAAACCTTTTTCTCGTCTACCTGCTGTGTGTCTGTCATTGTGTTCTCTCATCGTTTCAGTAGCTTCCGGTTGTCCACCCTCGGAGGCAATCTCCGTTCATTCCCTTCGTTTACTGAATAAACATTCTCCGCACTTTTCTCTTCACCGATCTTTCCCTCACACTTGGAAGGGTGCCTCGGTGGCGCCTATATCAAACCAGTTGGCTGTTACAATAACATCGTCAATGGTATCCCCAATAACAGTGTCTACGTCCTCTCCAATCACGCTATCAACCCCATCGTCAATACCGCTATCACATTCGTCGGCGTCAAACCCTGTTGCTTCATCCTGTCTCTCCAGAACTTCAACAAATGGAGTTACTTGTGTTATTTCTGCAACAGCCTCTCGATATAGCTTGAGCTTCACGATAAGTGACGTGTTGTGCTGATTAGTTTTGTCCGCAAAGCCCGTGGGTTGGCCCGCACCGCCTTCCACTTCCGGAGTTATGTACAAACTTGCTGTGAGGGTCGGGGCCTTCCTCGTTGACGCCGAATTGAGTGATATCATAGTGGCTGCGGACACTGTCATCTCTGACACTGTCTCGTGCTGGATTTCTTGCTTCGTTGTCTGTGCTGTAGTACCGACGGTATTGATGTAGTTCAAGGCGGCTATGAGGCACGCATCAAACTGTGGCCATAGAATAGCACAGTCGCTCGATCCTGCGGTCAGTGCATAGCAAGCGACAACTGCGCATAGCATACCACGTCCATCTTTGACGCCCTCATCCAGTTCCTGCTGTAGAAAGCAGAATGGCGGTCGGACTTGACGAGCTTTTCGCAGTAGCGATGACGCAGAGCGTGGATATAGTCGCGTCGTAGTTACACCTTTGAAAAAAACTGGTACCTCATCGCGAAATACGATGGGCGGCTCGCTTCCAGTACGGTCGTCGGAGATGTACGCCCAAACGGCGACTGTTGTCCCATCACTCTGGTCCCGCTTTCCGAGAGAGATCCTCAATGCCGCGCGACCGGAGAGTCTTGACTGGTCGAGCTTGAACGTAGAATGAGAGAGCGCATCATCAATCACGATCAAGAGACTGCACCGCTTCAATGAAGCCTTCAATCTGTTGACGTGCCGCTGCCAGATAAGCGGCAGCGTGCTGTGAACATCTTCCGGAGTAGCCATCAAATGTTTGTCAAGGATATCTCTTAGCTCGTAGAATATATGGGGGCAAAGCTGAGAGTGATGGGATATAGAATCGCAGGCACGGGTTTATCGCTAACAGATGTGATTGACGCACAGATCAGTTTCTCAACGTTCCACACTACACAGACGCATTTTCTCCACGGCATCCGTGAGAGCCTTAATATTCCTAGCAATTAGATATTGAAGATTCGTAAAAGGAAGTACTGGGTTATCACAGAGGCTCGTGTGGCATATGTTCTCATAGCAAACTTCTAGTGGTATGTGAGATTATCAACATAGTTGCTCAGTACAAAGGAATTACATAGTCGGAACTGGCATCTGTTCCCACAAGAATGCTGAAAGTGCAATATCATCGACTGGTTCCGGTCACAGCGTGCGGAGTATCACAGACGAGAACTTGGTTGTTCTGGATGTGATTCATCATCTCCGTGCTGCGCATGTCATGTACAAAGAATCTCAGTCTTTTCCGAGCCTTATCTAGTTAAACGTTACGTTGAAGGTGCTCTCGAGGATATACAGTAGTACAAGTATGGTACAACACATAGCGACCACACTTAGCGTAGCCTATGCTGCTGTGTACCGGCTCATTAGCTACGTGGTTTATAAAAAACCTACTTCCTTTGAGCTGAGATCATCTTGACGCTTTTCAAAAAGAAGTCGACCATGTAATGAACAGAATGCTCAAAGAAAAGCCCACCAAGACCACTTCTCCGAATCTTCAGTGTCACGACATGTCCAGAACGGTCTAGTCATCGTCCTCGCCAATGCCATCCTCCGATTTTGTACCTGACTTTACCCGCTTCAATCTTCTCTCCGCGATATCACCTCCGAGGATAAGCAGTGCGCGCTCCTTTTCAGAAAGCGACTCACGGAGGCGCTTCTTTGTGATCCCGGCTAACAGATCCTGTTCCTTCAGCTTCCGCGCCTCTTCCTCGAGATCGGCCAGCTCTGTCTCAAGAACCTTTATATCTCTGCGCACACCCTTCTGCTTTTCTTTGTTTTCCCTGATCTCGTCTTTGATGGCGTCTCTATCGTTGATGGTCTTGCGGTAGGCGGGCACGAAGTTGTCGGGTGATCGAGAATTGGGGCTCTTCTCACCCTGGTATGCTGTTAGTGTCCATTCTATTGTCGTAGATAATCTATTAGGGATGACTTACGAGTACTTCAGCAGATTTCGCACGTGCTGAAGCTGAACCCGAGATATCCATAGGCGTGCTGTCTTCTGCTTCTTCTGAGTCCGAGTGCATGAGGAAATTACATACATCGTTGACGGTTGTAGAGTGGGGGCGTTTGGTGGTAGCAGTAAATGGATGCGGATGGGATGGTGGAATTCTCATGGCTTCCGGCATCGTTGGCGGTGACTGCGCTAGCAGGCTGCGTTTGTTGTCGCTTGTCGGCTCTTGCTTAACCTCTTGCTGTGGAGAGATACACCTTCTCTTGGCCGCTGACTGCGTTGAACCTTGAGATCTAAACTGCGCGAGGAGGTCTTGCAATTGGCCGCCTCGTCTCTTGAGGGTAACGGGCTGAGAGGAACCTAGCGTGGGGATCTCCGAAGTTTTGTTTCGAACTTTGTTGCTGGAGACTTCAGACGCAGCCTTGACACTTGGGCCTTCCGAAATAAACAGATCTGATGCTACCTGATTTGAAAGGATCATAGGAGCCATAGGAGCGCGTTGCGGGTTTGGGGGTTGCAGAGTCCTGCCAACTTTGGCGATGGTGGAAGTCGGGGCTACAGCCTGTTCTCTCACCACCTTCACCGGTTCTTCGGTGTCATGCAGGGAGACGGAAGACCTGATGCCATTTACGTTCTGGGCAGCTGAGTCGCGACTCTTCTCCTTCTTTTTACTCGCAATCGCCTTTGCGTTATAGTCTCCAGCCACTCTGCATGCTGCAGACAACGCACTTACGAAGTGTGCACCGACTATCCATGGCAATGGCGTACTGACCATTTTGGCGATGAAGTAGTACTTGATAGTCGAACGTAGCTGATCCATATCGATAACGCCCGATGTCTTGAGACACTTGAACGCAATCTCTGCATTCGTTTGGCGCACCGCATCATCTGCACTAATATTTCCTTGCACATTACCTAGACGGTCGAAAATAGTGAAATAATGTGCAGGCGAGCGGCCAGCAGCGTGGTCTTTCTGTAGGAGGATCCACACTTCAAGATCCTTGTTCTTGCCTTCCTTGATATGTCCATAGAACATGCGGACTGGCATCGAGTTGCGGCGTTCGTGTGGCTTGATCGTGAAAGCCAAGAGACGGACTTTCTCGACTGGAAGGTGCTGGAGAATTGAAGCGTTTGCTCCCATGGCGACTTGGATCTCGTGGAGGGCCGTTTTGGCAGCGCTCGCCTCGACGGTCATTGTAAGCGGTGACGAGCTTCCTGCAGATCTGAATATTGACTCTAATGTTGATAAATTCGCGTCTTGTTGTGATGGTGGTGTGTGTATGTAGACGAGGCCTGCGACTAGCGTGGCACTAGTGCATCTTGCGAAAGAGCGCGGGTGAATCAGGAACCACACACCAAGATATTCGTTTCCATTTGGAGCTGTTCTACATGATAATGTACTCTGAAGTTGTGCCCTGTACTATAGAGTGGAACGGCAATGGCAGGGCATGAGGTTGCCTTAGGGCCATCTCTGCCTGACTATGACTGTATCGCTTTTCTGGACCATGTGCTCTGTCTTCCTTCACTTGTCCTGGATCATTGTAGCACCCATAGAAACAAGTTTGGAGAACATGGCGGAAGTGAGATGGAACCAACCCGATGCACCAGTAAAGCCGACACACAACCAGCGGTATATGTTGTGTGACATCGCTTGCATTGTCTGGTGAACGCGTGCAATCGTTTTGGCAACAGGGGGCTTTGTTTCAGAAAGGCATCATTCGACCTGTATGACTGGTAGTGTATGTTTGCCTTCCCTCAGCCCGCAATGGTGAACGGTACCAAACGTTGATCGTTACCCATCAGTAGGCGCATAGCGACAAGCCACTCATAATTTCCGGAATCTAGATGATACCTCATGCGAAAAGAGACTTTAAAACTAGAGGTCTCGCAGGCCTAGAGAATTATAGAACCATTGGCTGGCGCTTCGAAGACTTCCGAACTGGTACGACCACCTACAATACCCCAGGTAAAGGTGTGGTCAGGCGACGACTGATGCCTTCCTCACCCTGTCTTCTGCCATGGGTATTTCATGGTATTTGAAGGCTTCATTACCACGTCTCCTGAGAGGCCGTAAAGCTTCGAAACCTCGGACAAACAGATCATGAATTTTGAAACTCCATCCAAAATCGTTAAGCTGCGAGTCGGCATTCCGGAGGACCATTTCATTGACGGCCCATCAGAAGGACAGACTGTACGCGAGCAGTCTCCAGAAATTATGCCCCTACAGAGTGTCAGCTCAAGGCCGACCCCATCAGCCTGTCCGCTGGCCTCATCAGGCAGTAACGCGAATGCCGACGCCAAGGTAGGTTACTAATGTTCCTTCTGTGGCTGATATCTCTGACTCTCTGCAGTCTGGGCCAACTTCACATGCATCAGGGAGAATCAGTCCTATCGACTCAAAGGAAACAATCGATCGCTTTCTTGAGCTCGAAAGCCAGCATCACACACTTCTCGGCAATTTGGACCGCCACCAGGATCGAATCAGCGATCTAAGACGGCAATTTATTGGGATCAGGATACAAATCGAGGCAAAACGGCATGCTGTACGGCTGCTTCTTACTGAGAAACGCGATCAAGAGGCTGCGAAGAAGCGGATTTGGGATGCCATGTCAAAGGAGGATATCCGGGAATTAGGTCGCCGCGATAGCCTAACAAAAAGATTCAAGCACGGTTGAACTCATTGTGGGGCTGATGGAGAGTCATCGTAGTTTCCTGCCTCCTGGCACACCTAGCGTGGGTCAATATAAGTGATTCTTTCCGCAAATATTTGCTTACGATTATCTATCGACAAGAAGGATCCGCATTCCCTAAGGTCCTCGATCTTTTATGTGCAATACACAAGGGTCGGCATGGATATGTGACTAGCGAAGGCGCGCAATCACTTGAGCTGGACGATACCAAAAGATCTCCTGAAACGTAGCCTATAATGTGGAAAGTGTGTCAGGAATGGTGGTGTCGCAAAGTCGCCAAATTGAACTTTCGAACCCAAGGGCTGCGGCGCCAGGTATTCAGCATTGATTATATCATGTGGCGTTGAGCTCGTGGCAAGAGTACCTAAGATCCTAGCTCCTCTTCCCCGACATTCCGTCCCCATCTCTTCGGAAACCGCTTCATGGGCTCCCAGCGATCTTACTTCCCTACGTCGGTGCCTTACTAAATGACGCATCACTTTCTGTTATTACTTGAATACGGATACTGCATTTGGTGTCAACTTCAATCTCGTCAATATCTCGCAGTGGCTCCTGCAGCTGTGCTTCCCAAACGTTGTTTGCTAACATTGGACCCCGAAGCATCAGTTCCAATCATCTCAACGCTAGCATCCTCTTGGTAGCGACGTGGCACTTCACTTCCAAATTTCAATTTGGTGATTGAACATCTGCAAAGCTCTTTCTGTCAGTTGCAACAATGACCACCCAACCTCAACCCAAGACGTTTGGTTCTCCTCCTCCCTACTCGGATTACACCGAAGTCGACCTCTTTGAGAATGACCTCAACAGCGAAGAAAAGACGAGCGACGCCTTTAGCAAAGACACCGCGTATTTAATCGTCAGCGCCTTCATTACGTGGGGCATGGGCGCTGCTTATACCGACTACACTTTCAAGGGCGTCGACAACGACTATCGGAAGTACCTCTACTACGCTGTGGGAATACCAGTATGTCAATATTAACTTTACCTAAATTAGACTAAACACTATCTAACGGAGTCTGCATAGATGACCATCGTCACATTTGGCGTCATTGCGTACATGTTCGCTCTCTACGCTGGGCAGCGTTACCCAAACACAAGTAAACTATTCCTCGCTATCCCCGTCCCATTCGTGTACGTGCTATGCGTTTTCCCGATAGCAACCTACATACCTGTTGGACAGGTCCAGCTTGACACCCTCTTTTTTGGATTGCCTGTAAGTTCAGTCTTTCATCAGAGCTTAACACCGTGCTGACATGGTTAGACTGCGTGGACTGCGCTGCTAGTCATCTACTTCGCCGTTCAACATGTCTTTTCTCCGACGACTCGAGCGACCACACTCTAGCGGGAAACTAGGCTTGAGAAAGGCTTGAAGAGGGGGTGCTGCGTGTGAGGGTTCTTGTAAGTTGTGAAGCTGCGCATGACCCATCCTATGGTTATCTTCAGTGGAAACGATCGATGAACACCGGCCTGCTAGGGTTTTGCCATGCGTTTCATCAGATATGGCCTTGTACTGCCGACACGTGTGCACGAGGCTCCGCCTAAATGGCCCAGGTGACACTGGAAACTATGGCTGCTTACCAATGGATTTGTAAATGGAGAAGTACTTTGCGATTGCTTCCACTGCTTGAGAGCCATGTGCACACTAGTATGCTCCTACATAAGGCGTAGCCATACTGGAACAGTTACTACTTGATCGTTTATTGCCCCCTTGATCGATACCCTCTTGTCGATCCTGTCGCATATCGCTAATATGCGCCGTCTCTCTCCGCCCATTGCTCCATCGGAGCCAACTGGACCTCGCCAAACCCACTCCGCACCGGCATTCCAGCCACTAACTCAAAGCTGGTAGGTTTCACAGCCCCCGTCTCAAGCCCCCAGACACTTACTGCGATGTAGTTATCGCCACGATAATTCAGAATCCCCTCGGGCACTGGGAAGCGTCGTTGCGGTCCGATACCATTTGCGAATTTACCAAACTGGTATCCATTGACCCAGAGTTGCGCACGCCATCCTCGACCATTGCCTGTGAACGCGTCGCCGTTGAAGACGAACGACAGGGGTATATCCCAGCCGCTCGGTATGTCGAGAGGGAGGTTGGTGCTATAGAAGCCAACGCCTGCGTGTGACAAGCCGATTTCGGGTCCAGAACTGTCAGCCCAACTAGAAGTGGGTGACGAAGGAAGGTGGTAACCGTTACGCTCGACCCAAAGACCACCTTCATTGAGAGGGCCGCGCGACCTGTCCTGGTAGTCTTCACCCCCTAGATTGCCCGTTATCTTCCATATAATGCCATCGTCAAGTCGCGACGAGTTCAAATGAGAAGGAGTGTGACCTGGAAAGTTGTATCCAATAATGCCACGCGGTGTCTTCATCTCGTTGTAGCCGGCGAACCAGTTGCCGTACTGGCCCATGTGGTCGCTCAAGACTGTCAATACATATTGCTCACCGCTATGCAGCATGGGCATATTCAGTGTCATGTTTGCGATCGCGGCATCTTTAGTACCTGACCACGATCCGATAAAGGTTTGGTTCACCCAGGCGGAGAATGCGAATGCTGGACCGCCGGAGACGTTGAGATGAATGACGTCCTCACTACCCGTCGCAATGAAGTGGCCGCGGGTTATCAACGATCCAGTATTATATCCATACTCAGAGCCCCAGAGCACAGTCGGGGTGGTCAATGGCCAGTAAGTGTTGTTGGTCTCCGTATGATCGGCAGCCGTCCACGCTGAGTCGTCGTACGTTGAGTCGAGTTCGGGTAGCGCATCGACGTACTTCCAGGCGAGAGTACTTAAGTTTGGTAATTCGAGATTGGGAGCTTGAAAGTCCATAGTGGCTTTCAAAAAGCCGTTGCTATCAAGCTTCGATTGAACTTGAACTCCATTGAAGGTGAGCTTCCCGCTACCTGTATGGGCGCCGCCAAGTACCTCGACATCTGTCGTCAAATTGATATCACCGAATAGATGGATGTGTCCCTCTGCCATTGTGGCGTTACGAACAAGGTACCCGGAGCGAACGATAAGATCGCTGGATGAAGTAGCGACATGAGAGTAGCTACCTTCAGGTAACGTACTGACAGTCCAGTAATCATATGCTGAGTCGCGATCGAGGATGACGATGTACAAGCTTGGACCTATGCGTACGACGCGACGATTCGCGCTGGTCGACCAGTGCAAGATGGTGTTGCCGTTACGATTCGAGAACTTGACACCTGAGCCCTCCACCGATGTCGCCCCACTAGTCTCGGCGACTGCCAGCTCATGGACTTCGTCCATCCCACCATACACAACAACAACTGTTCTATCCTTATAAGTCTTCCAAGTGAAGACCTCGGCGGTGGAGTAAAGCAGGTTGAAATCTCCTATGCTATAATCTGCGACATGAATCTTTGAGTCGCGGCCGTTGATAGAGAGCTTATCTCCAAGCTGCGGTACTGTGATATTGCCTTGGCTGGTTTGGACTCTAAGCCTGTACGATTCTGAAGCGACAGAGTTGTACCTTGTTTGTCGTGTGACGTAAAAGCTGGTCTTTTCACCGAAGAGCGGCGTTACCGTGATGGCATCGTTATCCGTATACACTCCGGTAGTATTGTATCCTGGTACTGCTGAAGCTAGAGCAGGCGACGCTTGTACAAAGTGTGCGATCAGCTTGGCTTCACTGTACTTCTCACGATGTACCTGTCGTTCCTCTGTAATTACCGCGCCATAATCGTACGACATATAATTGCCAGCACCTGCCAGATTGCCCCAATTGGTGCCACCAAAGGTCTGTCCATGATAAGTATAGAGACGTTAGTTGATGAAGAGGTCATACCATATAAACGTTGGAGATCGTCAGTCCTGCAGCGATATTGTTCTTGTAGAAGACGCGCTCAAACTCTTTTCCCGTGAAGAGGGCGCAACGATCGAAACCATCCTGTCCCCAGCCTTGATACGCCCCACCCTGAAACTCTGGGATCGTATAAGGTGTACTTGCACTCTGATTCAAGTGTGTCTCCCTCCAGTTCGTGGGCAAGGCATCGTCAATCCAGTAAGTGGGATCAGTACAGTTCATGCCCAACGGATACGAGTCGTGACCGTAAATGTCCACCGGGGCATCAGTGCCGGGCGCATTGACGCCGTTAGGCCAAGCGACATTGTTGATGAATGGTACCACAATTCCAAGTTCGCGGAACTGCTGCATTAGACCGTTCATGTATTCAGCGTCAGGGAAGGTCACGTTGTTCGCACCCATAGAGTACTCGTTCTCTGGCTGGAAGAGTATAACCGGACCACCGTTGGTGATTTGTGCCTTCGCGATGATTGGTGTTATCGAATCGATGTAGTTCTTTGATGCTGCCTGATAGTCCTCGTCTGGCGTCCGAAGGTTACCGGAGATGCGCTGCAACCATCCCGGAAAGCCACCTCCCGATACTTCAGCGTTGATGTATGGGCCGGGTCGCTATCTAGTCAGCGAGACACGTCTATAGTAGAAGTTCTTCTCTTACAGCAATGAGATAGACCCCAGTCTTTTTTGCAGCATCAAAGAATGGCACCCAATCGAAGATACCCTCAGCGCGGAAGTCTCCCGGCTTACCCTCATGAAGAACCCATGCCGAGTAGAAAGAAACACCATTGTATCCCATCGCCTTGATCTTCTGGAAGACATCTAGCCAAAGACTCGGAACCGGAAGGCTAAATTTGTTAGAACGAATGTAGTATGGGAACTTAGTGACTTACCGGAAGGGGTGGAACTCGCCGCCCCAAAAGACGACACGCTCGCCATGCACGAAGAGAGAATGCTCATCCCATGTCACCTACAGCTGTTGTTAGATGCTTGACAGTGTTCCGGAGTTGCCGGACCCCACAATGTCTTGGAGCGGTGCACGCTCCTCTATAATCAAATCGCGTAGGTTTCCGCTTATTGCTCGCGCTGCTGCGTGATGCGCACACAGAGACGCAAGCGCGATGCTGAGGAGCTCACGCAGTATCTTCATGGTATCCAGGCAACCTTTAGTGCATGAAGCGAAAAGATCTTTGACGAGATGTATGGCCCTCGGGGGAGGCCAAACTCATGTATTCATACCTATCGCATCCTATATCGGTTGGCCTCGAGGTCATCTAGGTAGCATCCAACGGCCGCTTGCCGCCTTTGGCATTACCGTCGTCCGTCTCGAATGAGGTATAACTCCTTCTTCTCGCATGTCCAGGTCCCACTATGTGCACTTCAGTACTACAACATTAGACGTCAGAGATGCAACTTTGAGGCGGAGAAATAGGTTCCAGTGCGGGGTAAGACAGATATTATTCCGGTCGCACCGCGAAAACAATTCTACACTATAATATACGAAGCATTTGACGTAGCTAAAGCTGGAGATGGTTGTATTAGTAGACTTCGCGTGCTAGGAGTGTGCGTCGTAAAGATGTAGATGGCCAAGTCGCTTCCAGTTCAGCCCCAGCCCGCGAATTGGTGTGACGTCATCGAACCGTTTGTTTTTTCTGGACTTTACCTAATATTCAAAGTCTACTCTAAAGGTATACAATTTTTGAACTCTGTAGAGTCTTGCTAAGAGTCACAGTACATACCGTTAGGGTACCTTTTGGGTGCCTGAGTACAACTCAAAAAGAACAAGCTGCTGCATTAATTATGGCTGTTATGCACTAGGCCACATGGGGCAAGGCTAGAACAGCCTTCGACGCTTCTCTGCGCGTTCCGTTTCCCCGCCTAGCTCGAACGCATCAACGACACTCATGCCATTGAAGACCTGTTCTCTGCGAGCAGCAATGCTGACCTTCTTCTCGCGATTCATCTGGCGCTGTTCTTCCAGTACCCGGCGGCGAGCCTCGATCTCTAGGCGGCGAGCCTCGATCTCTAGGCGTGCATCTTCCAACGCTGCCAGTTCTGCCTCTATCGCGCTGTCGGAACTTTGGAGCTGAGCCTCGTCGTCGCGGATCTTAAGAAGGATCTCGAACCGCTTAGCATTTGCATCATGTTCCTGTTGAAGTTAGTCCCGCTGCAGGATCAAGCCAATTTAGCTCACGTATCATAGTGGTTGTTACCTCTAGAGTGATCGTTATGTCTGACGCGCTCAGGAGCACCGACTCCGGTTGTACTGGTAGATCCTCTGGAGCATTGCTGAGACCGCTATCCTGGTCACCCGCCAGCGTTGCTGGCGGTGAGCGCAGCGCCAGGTTCAAGACCTTTCCTTTAGCTTCCTCGAACTCGCGACAAGCGGCTTTTAGGCTGTCAACAAAAGTACGCGAAATGGGTATCGGTATCGCTAGCTCGCTGGCACACCCGCTTTGTGTCTCTAACGCCGCGAGGGCCTCCAAGTAGTAATACTTGGCTAGTGCAACATGCTTGCCCTTTGAGGCTTTCTTGGGAGTCCTAAAAGCAGGAGCGAATTCGGTGACCGTGGAGCTGATGTTGCCATCATCGTGCTTCGCGAACTCTCCCGTCTCAGGATCACAAGAGTGAAACTGCACTTCTGCGGGTCCTGTGATTCTCGAAGGTGGGTAAAGTAACACCCAGACCTTTTGTGGCTTTCTGGTGATTTTCTCGGGAATGAAGCCGAAGAAGAACTTGAAAGAGACAGCACATGAGTCATATAACTGCGGCGCGGTGATTATTTCCTGGTATGGCGCGTGGTCGAGTAGGGTTTGGCTTTGGGGACCCAATTGCGTTCGCAGTTGGGCCAGGTTAACGGTAGCAACAGCCATAGCACGTCGTGCGGGTGAGACTAGGTATTCCAGTTAGTGTGGTTTTAGGCTTTTGATCGCACGAGCGCTATACCTAGATATATGAATGATAGGTTTTAGGCTGTAGGCGACAGAGACGCGTTGCATCCACGATGTAATCGTGTTGGAGCGTTAGTGCTGAAGGTCTGCGACAAGAACGCGTCGACCTCTGAGTGGTCGTGAACACGCTGCTCTATTTCGTGCGTTCTGTTTACACAGCGCAAGTTAGGTTTGAGCCTAGCCTGGGGACGACAAACGCTTGGCGCCGACGCGCTACGTATAGGCGTGGTGAAGGCGGAATGACGAACAAAAGCACCCCGAGATCAGATATATGTGCGGCCCTCTACACGACACCATTACATGGGGTGGTGCCGTCGCATTACTGCCAGAGATACTGCGTTTCTATTACGACTCCACGCACGTTTTCGAGAAGTTGTTCGAACCCTGTGTACGCTACATGGAGTACATCAAAACGAAGGAGCGGGAGGGCGGACTCATCGAACACGGTCTAGGTGACTGGGGTCGTGACATCGCCTTTGGCAACAACCAAGCCAACATCGAAACAGCAATTTATTACCGCTGTCTCCGTAACATCGAACGCATGGCCCATGAGCTCAACAAACCGGATGCCGAAGAGCGGTTTCGGAAGTGGGCAGATCGCATATACGGTGTGTACAACGACCGACTTCTCGTCACAGATAAGAATGAGTATCCGTATGCCTTCTACACATCTCGCGATGATCCACAGAAACACGATCGCAACATGGTCGCGCAGGCCTTCGCACTTCAGTTCAACCTTGTCCCTGCCTCCCATGTTAACGACGTTCAAACAGCCTTCCTAGCAGACTGCGCCTCTGCCGGCAACCGCATTCAAGCCGGCGAGATTGGCCTAAAGTACCTCTTCAACACGCTCTCCGACCTAAATCGCCCCGATATCATTTTAGAGATGGCCCGACAGAAAGAACACCCCAGTTACATGCGTTTTATATCGAGAGGTGAAACTACATTGAACGAATTCTGGCAGGATAACTGTAGGAGTAAGTGCCATGATATGCTGGGCACGATATATGAGTGGTTCTACGAGGGTGTGTTAGGCGTCAAGGCTGAGACGGAGGCATACAAGACGTGGAGGGTTAAGCCGCCGTTAGGAAGCGAGTTCAAGATGGTCGAGGGGAGCGTGGAGTGTCCGTACGGGCAGATCGAGGTCAAGTATGAGAAGACAGATGTAGGCCGCGTTGAGGAAGTAAAGATGTGGGTTAATGTGCCGACGAGTACGACGGGGTATTTATTGTTGTCAAAGGAGGAGAGTCGAGTTGTCATGAAAAGACTTGGTGAAGGTGGGTACGAGGTAGAGAGGAAGGGGGCGACCATAGCGCTGAAACCGGGCAAGTATGAGTTGACACTGCAGGTGTGAGATTGCATTCTTCAAAGCACACTTATTGTGTGACAACGATTATGTATAACATGATACAATATGACAAGCTACTGCTATGTGCAAACAGTATGGCGACATGCACCTTCCAACGCGTGTTGAATTTGCGATCATCTACCAAAGCTGGCATGTGGGCTCCTTGACCTTGCACTGGAAACTCTCCCTGAATTCCCTGGAGTTTGCCATGGTACCCAGGATACGCGCCCACTTAGGTGCATGCGGATCGGTGTATATGCGGTTGATGGCGGTATCCTTACGGGTCTTGCCACACCACCAGTTGCTGTAGCTGACGAAGAACATTTGCTCTTGAGAGAAGTGGTCCAGGCCAGGAAGGTTCTGGTTGGGTGTCTCAGCTGAGCGACGCTTCCAAGCCTGGAACGACGCCGAGAGACCTCCCGCATCAGCGATGTTCTCACCAAGAGTGAGACGACCGTTGACGTGCAGAGGCTTATCATCAGATCCGGGAACGGTGAAGTTGGAGTACTGGTCGACAAAGCACTCAACCTTCTGCTTGAAAGCGTCCACCGTTGCATTTGACCACCAGTCAGTGTAGTTGCCGTTCTGATCATAATGGCGTCCGGTGCTATCGAAAGCGTGACTGAGCTCGTGGCCGGCAACGGCACCGAAAGCACCGTACGACATGTAAGCTGGTACGTTGACATCGAAAACTGGGAACTGCATAATGCCAGCGGGGAACACGATCTCGTTACCGGGAGGGTTGTAGTATGCGTTTACTGTTGGGACAGTCATGTCCCACTGGTCGCGATCAACAGGCTTTCCAAGTGCAGACCACTCTTCCTTGACAGCGAAGCGGCGCATAGCAAGCGCGTTGGCGAAGAATGCGTCGGATGACACGTTGACAGTCTCATAGTAATCCTCTAGCGTAGGCGGGTCCATAATATCCGGGCTCTTGGTAGGATATCCAATCTTCTGGACGATGTTGTGCACTTTCTCGACAGCCTTCTTCGTAGTATCCTTGTCCATCCATTCTGCAGCGTTCAGTTTCTTGGCAAACTCGGTCTTGATGTCCGTGATGATGGTGTCGCCGAACTTCTTTGCGTCAGCCGAAAAGGCCTTCTCTACGAAGAAACGACTCAAGATCCACCCTAGGCCACTATCTACGTGACTAACGCATGTACGCCAGCGTTCAGGGGCGGAGTCAGGGTCCTTGCCTGAGAGCACATTAACAAAGCGACGATAGGGCTTGACAGCATCCGCGTCAACATAAGCAGAGAAGGACTGGACGGCTTTCCAGACGAAGTAGCTCTGGAGAACATCTTTAGGCGTAGCTGCGAGGATTACTGATAGGTCCTTCAGATAATGCGGAGTCATAACAATGACACGTTCGATATCGCTACCGTGTGGCGCCTGCTCTGCGAGAAGCGCTTTCAGCTCAATCTCGGGGGCGATCGCAGCCGCTTCGTCAATCGACATCGGATTGTAGTACTTTGTGACGTCTTCACGGCCTTCTTCGCTGGGAGACGCAGCCGCAAGCTTCTTCTCGAGGTCGATGATACCTTCAAACACAGCCTTGTCTTGGTCCGGGTAGAGAGCGCTCAATACTTCAACAGCCACACCACGGTACTTCTCGACAAGCTTGTCGTCTTCGTAGCGCTCCTTGGAAGGTAGGCCGAAGCTCCACGGCGCGCTGATCGACACAACAACAGTGTCTGGGTCGGTATCGTCGGCACCAGTGCCAGCTGAGACGAGGCCAGTGACACCATACTTTGCGAGAAGGACAATGGCGTCCTTGATTGAGTGAGAGTCTGAAGTCAAGGCAGGATACACCTTCTTGATCTCTTCAAGGACATGCTTGAGAGGTTCAGCGCCGATGCTCTTAATTTGGCCTTCGTTAAGACAGGCATCGTACGCAGCCTTCATCTTGTCAAAGTTCACTTCATCCGCAGATTTGGCGACCGACATCAGCTGCATAGGTGAGAAATACGAATGCTACTTGATGGTTAACTCTATTCGAACACCCAGTAAGGATAGACTCACCTCAGAATCCTTCGGGTATGGTGCCTCAAGAATATGACGAAGCAACATCTGCGAGTTCTCAGACATGATTGTCCCGGTGAAGGCATCACCCTGGTCAGCTCTCAGGTCATGACGCTCTCTCCATCCTCCGCAAACAAGCTCCTCAAAGTTGTCGCACGGGTCAAGCTCTTTATACTGAGGCGAGAGATTGTAAAGAACCTCTGAGGCGGCATGCACACAGGCTGGAGTCAAACATAGCTCGCTCTCCTCAGGGTAGTCGCCGGTGGGCTCATAATCCACTGCAAATAGATTAGCAACGATACATGATTAACGCAGTGAAAACGAACCCTGCGGAAGTCCATAGAGTATGATCGAAGCTGTCGCAGCGATAGCGAACACCCTTCCAATCGCTTGACGTTTGGAATAGCGTTGCACGTGGCCTGGCTGCACGGTGGCGGACGCGTCGGATGCGGATAACAGCGGTGCCTTCTCCGCCATGATGAAGAGCTTGGGACGCTTGATCAGACTGGGGCACGATGGTAAAGCAGTGATAGTGTGTAAGATGCCAGCCAGCTGAACACCGAGATGAATTGATGATGAAGATGAAGAGCTGGAGGAGGAAGAGGTGATGCAGGTGGCTACAAGCGGAGATCCGGGGTGCAGCTGACGACATGTTGGCGCGGAAACGCTAAGCACGGGACCTTGCAGATACATGACTCGCACATCTCCGACATCACATCAGATCGCTTCCCGTTGCTCATCTCAAGACCACATATCCATCAGTTGTCATCTTGTGCACGCATTAAGCAGCGCGTCTTGACTTCCACGTAGCACGCCAACATCGCTGTGTCATTCAAATCCTTCAGGCGCAGCGCTGTGCACTTGTCCTAGGCAGCCACCGAACAAAGCAAGCTAGCTAATCGGCGGCCCATGCGCTCACGGCTCCGGTCCGGATTGCTTATCGGTACACGTTTGACCATAGCCCCAACCGCTAACTCACATACAGCATGGTGACCTTCTCCTAATCAAAGTGCAGGAAAGGACAGTCAGTCTGGTAAGCCCGACTTCTAGAGACGCTGAGTGAGAAAAGGATCTCTAACGTGCGTTGGCAAGAATGAGTGCCTTGATCAGTAATCCGCGAGAAATTTAACTTGTTAGTATCGAACATCACACGCTCGATACACTCCTTGGGTATGCCCAACAAGCGCAATACAACAGGTAGTACGATATTGTTTTGCTGCATGTACTAGCTCATCGCCAGCAGTGATGCGATCAGCATGACTTGGATCAAAATTCTTCGGGCTGGCTAGCGTCTATCATGGAATATGTACAGGAATAATCAGATTTGATCCATCAACGACCGATCACAGCCGAGGAATTTACTCGCCAGAAGGTCCGGCAATCGTGGTACCCGGCCTTACTGGGGTTCCAAAGTTTGGAGTGCCGTCAGCGTTCCAGTTGACCTTCTGCGCCATTGTGTACCTGTTACCATCGCAAGCTCCGGTTGTGATAGCAGTAGCGTGGTAAACGTTCCAGATCTCGGTGCCATCGGGACTGGTAAAGAATCTATAAGTTGGTTAGCATCCAGCGACACACAGTATTATCTTGAAAACATACCCATTGTGACCAGGGCCGTAGTTTCCATTAGCATTAGTGAAGACAGGACCGCTGCTCTTCTTCCAGCTTGCACTGAGTGCTGGGTCACCAGATCCGTTCCAGGTGAGCAAGCCCAAGCTGTAGTTGGGTGTCCAGCAGAAGCTTGCCGAGTAAGCGATGTATGTCTTGCCGCCGTGATACATGGCAATGGGGCCTTCCTGGACAGGGCTGCCGTTCCTTTCCCAGGATTCAGTAGGTGTGGAGAGGATTTTAGTGGCGCCGATCTTGCCGGGTGAGGTCATGGGTGCGATACAGAGTGATTGGAGTGAGCCGGACATGCAAGACCAGGTAAAGTAGTTACCCCATTTGCTGAAGCGGACGATAGAGCCATCGATACCCCACACGTTGGTAAGCTGGGAAAGGTAGGTGTATGTGCCGAAGGGATCCGCACCACCTGTGATTTGTCAGTTTACTCATAATCTATATCGTTAAACCCTCCTACCCTTAAGCACGTAAGGACGCTGAAGGTCCAAGTTGTCGACGCCATTGCGACCGGCAGTGTAGTAGATGTACCAAGCACCATCGAGGTAGTGCAGCTCAGGTGCCCACATGTTGCAGCACCTGTCTGGGTTCGAGTCGGTCCAAACAACCTTTGTCTCTCCCGTCTTCAAGCCTCCCAGCGTCTTCGCCCTCGTAATTGACAAGTTTGTCCATGTCGTTGTCATCATGTAATAGTAGCCACCGCTCCAGGCAATGTGCGGGTCTGAGCCATCCTTCTGCCTGAGTGGGTTGCTGAAGCTTGCTGCGCTAACAAGGGAGGAGAGTGCGAGCACACATGTGCTCAGCGATTGGAGGAACTTCATGTTTGGAGTGATAGAGAATGAAACCTGTGACTGGAGTAAAGATTCGAGGTACGATCGTAGTAGTACATCTTATAGAGCTCGCCAAGATCGCAGTCTTGATGCATATCAAAATTGAAGACCAACCCCACAAAACTGGTCCTTCCGTCCAGAGCTTTATATCTTACATCCATCCTGCGTTCCACGAATGACCACAGAGGCTAGAGACTTGCCAAGATGTTTAGCGTAACAATCCGGGGTAGAGCACAGAAACGAGGATAGACTGAAGGGGCGAGCCGCTGCGTGTTTCATTCTTGGCCGCTGTGAAATGCTCCGATTGGTGCAAATTGTTTTAGCATACCCGCATCCGGCAATTATCCGCCCCACAGAAAGGCCTTCTTCATGCGTACTACGGAAACTTCTAATTCATATGCAAGACAGACGTCAAGTGGGGATACAGGACTCGTGTGGCACATTCGATGGGCGTACGGAGGGTTCTGAATTTTGAGGCTGGAACGTGATGCTGGCGCGCATCGTGGCCCGAGAGAAGCCGATGTGCCGAGGCTACTATTCCTGAGAAACATTCATGACTGACTACCTTCGATTCCGCGATCGAGTTTCGAATGTCTTGCGTCTTATCCGTTGACACTGGCGCTTTTCGGCATTCCGATGCCTACCGCTGCTGTTGCGCCAGCGTCGACAGGTAATACCGCACCCGTCACCCATCTCGCATGATCGCTGGCGAGGTAAGTGACGGCGCAGGCTGCATCCCAACCGTTGCCCTCTGTACCGAGCAGACTTCGTTTCTTTCGAGCTTCCCGTGCTTCTTCGCTCATGCCGCCTGCGTACATCATGGGTGTATAAAGCATCTACCTTGTGTCAGTCCGTTGTTGTGCAGGAGGAATGGGGAGCATACTCCGGGACAAACACAGTTTACCCTGATACCATCAGCTGCATGATGCGCAGCCATCGCCCTCGTCATGTTCACCACTGCACCTTTGCTGGTTGGATACAACAAATGCGGTGTCCCTCCTTTCAACCCGGCGACTGAACCCATGTTGACGATATTGCCTTTCATTTCGCCGTCATTCTGTTGCATAGCCGGTATGCAGTACTTCGCCATCTGTACCATGCTGCTCACATTGATCTCAAGTCCTTTCGCCCAAGCTTCCATGTCAACCTCAACCGCCGTTCCTGGTGCACCACCGATGCCGACGTTGTTGACCAATATATCTAGCTTGCCGAACTCTTGCATAGCTTTGGCCACCGCTGCCTCGCAATCGCTGGATTTGGTAACATCGGCCTCAATTGCTACAGCTCTTCCACGGTGTGGTTTCGAAGCTGCCATCTCCGCGGTCTTCTGCGCCCATGCCAAATCCTTGTCTAGGCAGAGGACATGGCAGCCCTCATCCGCGAGCATGATTGATATCGCACGGCCATTACCAATACCGTCACCATCGCATCCTGCTCCAGTCACAATCGCAACTTTGTTCTTGAGGCCGCGCGGGGGAGGTTCAGATGGGACTTCCGCCATTGTGTTGATTCCGGATCTATGACGTTATCTCTGAGCGAGGGTTGTAGATGCTGTTTGCGATTGTTACTTAGGCAAGAAACCAGTTTTCAGGCCAAAGATTTCAGATGCGATCAACTTGATTGACATGGGCCAACAACGTTGAGAAGTCCGTCAACCAATCGTAGCGTTGGTGGCATGCAGATGTCAACCTCGGTACATTGCGGGGTTAAGGACGCAGATGTCGCGAGGCCAACTTGACGCCTTGATGCTAGACTCGTACGAAGTTTCGTCACTGACTGCCATAAATTCGCTGGAACATCCGCTTTCAAAACGATCTCTCTTCTCGCATCAAATATGGCTTTGGATTTCTCCCATTATGGCGGGCCCTCCGAGGAGTGGCTGGCAGTGGAGAAGACATTACCCGCGCTGTCCTACGACATTACAAAAAATCCGTACGAGCTACAAAAAGCTGTCAATGCTGAAAGAGAGGGTCGAGCTGCAGAGGTGATGGGGCTGTTGGCACCACATGTTCAAATCAAAGATTATACGATCCCAACCCGCGACGGCTCAACTATCGAAGCTCGGACCTATCGGTCCGTGAAGACAGACGCGTCCGAAAAGCTTCCTGTTTATTTGTACTTTCACGGCGGAGGCTTCATCTTCGGTACTTTGTCTAGCGAGGATCCCTTGTGTGCACAAACTGCCATCAAAACTGGAGCGATCGTGCTCAATGTCAACTATCGTCATACGCCACAACATACCTTCCCAACCGCCTGGTACGATTCACAAGATGCGTTTGCTTGGTTGCACAAGAACATCGATGTACTTGGGGGAGATCCATCGAAAGTCGTCACTGGGGGTATTTCAGCAGGTGGTACATTAGCAGCTTCCCTCACACTAGAGCAGCATCTTGGAAAAAGTGAGGTCATTGCAGGCCTGCCTACTCTAGCTGGACAGATCTTGATCATCCCAATGGTCGCTCACCCCGCCACTTACGACCAAGGACCCGGCAAGCTGCTCAAGACTTCGTCTTACATGGAGAATGTAAATGCACCAGTATTGCCGAAGAAGACTGTCGATTTCTTCACAGCGCTGCTAAATACCGCTTCAACGGGCTCACCAGATCTAAAAGATACCAAGTTTAACATGATTAATGCGACGGCAGAGGAAGTCAAAGGCCTTCCTCCTACTGTGTTTGGCATCGCGGGCTTAGATCCATTGCGCGACGAGGCTTTGCTGTACGCGAAGCTACTTTCGGAGGCCAACGTGCCGACAGACATCACATTGTTCAAGGGTGTCCCACATGGTCATAGGCGGTTCGGAAAGGCCCTGAAGGCATCGGAGCACTGGGATGAATGCGTTGACGGTGGCATACTATGGGTGCTTTCGAAGCCGAAGGCTACTGGGAAGTTCGATGTGAAGTTGCCGTAGTTCTCATTAGATAGAAATAAGGACGGTAATACCTAATTAGGTATGGTTATATTCTACGTGCTGCATATGCTGGCAGATAGCCCTGTGAAAATGTCTGTACGCTACGGAGCTTGCACGTACAAAACCGAAGATGATAGCGACAGCTATCCTTGACGAATGTACCATTGCGTCTGCTATCTCTATGGAGCCGAAGAAGCTATGCCGAAACCGGAATAGCTTGGATTTAGAAGGAAGACACATGGATTGCTTCCGGGACACAATATGGGTGCTTGCAGTCGAGGCTAATACTTTCGCAAGAAGTAGTGTCTCTGGCTTTTTTCGGAGGATATCTACCACAGTCACGGCGCTGAGCCCTATACCTTAGATCTCGGTATGACGCTCTCGCAGCGTCATGTCTTACAAATCCAACAACGGTATTCCACCACCGGATGTACTTGAACGCATAGACGTGGCTTCCCAATATCTCAATATCTCTCAACTTTCTTGACTTGCCTGGCAGATTTCTACATTATGTCTACTCCACAGCCTCCAACGATCGATCCCTCACGCTGGTGTCAACGTATCGCTTCAATTACCACAACATCCAGCGAGCAGTTACGTCTGAACTACATTGACTGTCAACCGCCATCCGATTCGAAAGCGAAGGGGGTATTACTTCTTATTCACGGCTTCCCTCAAACATCATATCAATTTCGTCATGTCATTACACCGCTTTCAAACGCCGGCTATCGTGTCATTGCGCCTGACTATCGTGGCGCCGGACAATCTTCCAAACCCTTGACTGGTTACCAAAAGACGCAGATGGCAGAAGACCTACACATCCTAATCCAGTCCCACTTCGGCATCAAGGAGAAAATCCACGTTGTAGGCCACGACATCGGCGGCATGATCGCATTCGCATATGTATCACGCTACCCCGACGACGTAAGTAGCGTCATCTGGGGCGAGTGTCCGCTGCCTGGTACGTCATACTACGAGGATGTCAAGGGTACTCCCGACGTGTTCCACTTCATTTTCCACCGAGTACCCGACCTGCCAGAGTTCCTGATCGCTGGCAAAGAGCGGGAATATCTCAAGCACTTCTTCGACAAAATCTCATATAACAGTGCAGCCATCTCGCCATCCGATTTAGAGCATTATGCGCTTGCCTACTCGCAACCTGGTGCTATCAGAGCAGGCCTCGAGGTTTATCGCGCCTTTGAGAAGGATGCTGAAGAGAACAGAAACTGGAAGGCTGAGCATGGAAAGGTCAAACTACCGTCTCTGCTAATGAACGGAAAGGAGTTCATGCTTGCATAGTCTGCAGAGAGCATGGCGGATGAGTATCATGAAGGTGCGAATTTGTTGACCATCGAGGAAAGCGCGCACTACATCGCTGAAGAGAATCCCGATGGGTTTGTCAAGGGTGTTTTGGAGTTTGTTGAAAAGCATTGACAATCTTCTAGTTTTTCAAGATGGTTCCTACACCGCCTCGTGATTGGGATAGTAATGGAGCAGATCTTTAAAATAGAGCAAACGTGACCAATTCACTATGTGATGGCGGAGGAAAGAGCACTACAGCCCTTTCCTTTCTTCAACAGATGATCAATAGTATTCCCCGTACCAGGCCTTCGCAGTCTCCACTAATCGGCTTTAATCTTGTCCCAGCTTCCCCATATCCGAACTATTCTAGTACCCCAAGAACAAAATACAACGGTCGACCAGCGTGGACCAGATTATCAACAAGAAGTTTCGGAGTGGGAAACCATAAGTCCACATCCCGAGTACTTTCAGTGGGCTCTTCTTGTACACGGTTTGCGCCTGAGATCCATATTGGGCGATACTTGACGAGCGAGAAATGATCGTGCCGTGGTATGCGTAACGTTTCACCGTTAAAAGCTTCCCTAGAGAAGCGAGGAAAGCTGAGGGATCCGCCTTGGCGGCTAATAAACATGGTAACAAACGACTCCGAAACAAGTTTGTGTCGGCAGGCCAGGAATGCGAAATACAACGTTTCGTACCCGGGCACGATACTCATGGGCAGCTGTATGTGAAGTCCGGCGTTTGTCATATCGTAATTTGGCATCAAGTCCAGGTCAGAGATTCGACCGGGCGGGTAGTCGCATGGCTCGTAGAATGCGCCATTCGAGAAACAAGATACATTTGGTGCCAGCATATCGCCATTGGTAGTCTTTGCTTCCCATGCGAAAAGAGTATGGTCGGTCGTAATCCGCATGATCTCGAGCTGCAGTCGTCTGAAGGCATTGCTTCTACCTTCCCCATACAAAGTCGCCATATTAACACCAAAAAGACCCATCAGAGAGTATGCTTCGTCCTCTGGTCGCATGGTGACTCTTGTCGCCGCCCACGACATCTTCTCGGATACACCAATGGTACTAAGCAATTCACGGTCTTCCAGAATCTTCACAGCGATGTTGGAGACTACTGAGATCTGATGGCTCAAATCTGCTTTGGTTCCTATCTTATTCCAGCTCTTAGCAAAGAAGGTTAAGTTGCACGGCGCAATCAATTCTTGCAAAGTCCATCCTCTTGTGAACCACACCGCGCGGGGGAAGATCTGGCTCGCTTGAAGTGAGACTTCAGGCCATTGTTGGTCAAAAAACACATCATCCAAGTATGCGATGCACCATGCTGAGTTGGTGTAGTAACTATACATCGAGTTGATAGCCTCGGATAGTTCGGCGCTCGAACTCTTATCGATACAGCAGGTATCGCTCCAGACATAGTGAAGACCATTCTCAAGCGCAAGCCGGCAAGTCATCTCAAGCTTCGCATAACCGTTCTTGCTGTGTGCGATGCTGCGATCTGCGGCTACCATATCATCGTATAGAACTTCGTCTTCGCGCCATCTGTGCGAAAGAATCGCGTATGGAGGAATGTCGCTCCCGAAGAACTCGCAAAATGAAATATGCAGAGAGTGAGACGGCTCGGTGTTGAGCTTGATGTAAAGGAGCCGCATCAGATAGTTGGTAGTGTAGTGTGTGCTTGCATAGTATGATCATCCAGTGGGATGGCCTATGTATTGCCGAGGGCTTCTGCTCGTGTTGGCCGTGCGTGGTTGAGGGAGGCTGTGTACTATAGTATGTCGTTGTAACGAGGATCAATGCTGAGGCTTAGCAAGCGCAAGGATGACGGTTCATGCACCCCCAACTTAAGCGCCTGCTCTTGACATCAGTCTTCAGATGTAGGCTCCTACATAAGTACTGCGTCATTAGAGCACAGCGCATAGTATACAACTTCGCAACAGGATCAATCAGTAGCTCATCCGGCAACTCGTCCGTCAACTCGTGGAAGGTATGCCTAGGCTTGGTACAAGGGGTTCGGCTGCTGTTGATGTCCCAAAAGACATGAGCCGATCCGAAGACCTTGAATCGATGAACGTCAATCAGGATGCAAGAGCAGCTTAGTGAGACTCAGGGGAGACCGAAGAATACTTATAGCAGCGTGTGGCATTGGCGCCTTAGGTAAATGAATGAAGGATCGGGATTAATGGAAGATCTGAAGATGCGTATGCGACACGCTAGAGATGTTCGCCCCGCTTTTTGGCGACGTGCCTGAGATTCGCCTTAGGACCGTGCTGAGATGACCAATGAAATCATGCTCGCATTGATGCCACTGTGCCGGCGAACGCTGAGCCGCCGTTAAGGCTGTCGCATATCGTGCTTCCATCGACGCCAATTGTATCAGTTCAGTAAGATGGCGAAATTCACCCCCGCAATGTCGCGACTCCACTTAGATGCAAAAACTGCACAACGCTCAATCAGTTGGCAACATAACGATATATAAAGCCGGAGATCGTGGTGATGCATTCGACTGTACCACCCATCATAAATGCTCTACACTCATTTATAGCCACTGCCAACAATGCCGACACACGGAGAGAGAAACCTCGAGCTCGGGAACCAGGCTTATGCTGCTTCCTTTGACCAGGGACATTTAGCACTTCCACCTAGTCAGAGATACACTATCGGTAAGCGCTCGCGACTACAATTCTCGTCGTCAACCGCTGATCCCAGGGCAACAGTAACATGCATGGACGCCCGTATCGATCCTGCTGCTGCATTCGGCATTCCTCTTGGAGCCGCCCACGTAATACGCAACGCTGGCGGATGCGTAAAGGATGCGTTCCGATCGATCGTTATATCGCAACAACTTCTTGGTACGAGAGAGGTCATACTTGTCAAGCACACTGGATGCGGCATGCTCACGTTCGACAACGAGACTGCGAGAGCCATGGTCTTGAAGAAGAGAGGAGAAGTGGCCGCGAGAGAGGTCGAGACACTTGACTTCCACACATTTCGCGATCTGGAGATACAAGTCAAGAAAGACATACAATGGTTACGGATCAAAGCGATCGAGGAGAACATTAGATTCAGCGGTTGGATATACGACGTAGAGACGGGAAAGACGAGCAGGATTGTGTAAGCTACTTGTAATATCTGATTGAGTTATGCGATATACCCAGGATAATGTAACAACATCTTATGAGCCTTGCTAGTCAACGTGCACATCGGCTTCATGGTTCTTGTAATTCGGGGATAGCGGCCTTACAAGCTACGCCCTTTCTTGCTACGCCCTTTCTTTTTACAGACTAGCCTTGTGGTCGCCTGATGCGTTACAAACTTTGGGTGACATGTTGCAGCCTTACGCTCACACAACAAAAAGCTTCAATTTCCCACATCTGTGCCCCTCCAGAGGCAATTGGGTCGACAACGCATTTCATCCTATCATGGCGACCAATGATGCGTCGCTTAGCGGTCTGCCGGTTGAGCTAGTATTGGAGATCCTGCATCATTTCAGAATCATTCGCTGTTATGAGATGTATCCGGGACCTTGGACATACAAATCGAAGGAGAACACACGCCAATTCGAGAATAATATCCTTCAGCAGTCACTATGCAGTGTTTGTCTAACGTCCCGTCGCCTAAATCGAATAGCTACCCCGATGTTGTACGCATCATTTACAGGATCTGTTACTCGCCACGGACTCAAGCGTCTCAGGCTATTCCACGAAAGGACGATGGCCTGTTACTTTTCAGGTGGCAACTGTATCGAGCATCTACAGTATGTGGAAGCCCGGATCTCAGCTACTCGACGCAAAAGTCTCTACGCCGATCCTCTTCAGCAAATTGACCCATCCGACTATGATCGCGATGGTTCGGCGGGAGAAGAGGTACCGGACGCCGCACACCTGGCAGCATACTATCATTTGTTAGCAGATATTATAAGGTGGGCGCCAAATCTACAATATATCTTTGCTGAAGTCCCGGAGACTAGCGATGTGTCTTTTTGGAAACACCTTATACCTGGGCAAAGCACAACGACCGCGCTCACACCAATGACGGTGGCTGGACAGGGTTTCGATAAGCTGCGAACTCTATGTCTACCAATGCGCAGAGTCTCCTCCCTTCACAGTGGTTTTGCGTCGTTCCAACGCATTTACTCCGTTATGTCTAGGGCTCCGTTGCTCTCCGACTTCCGAGCTCATGATGTGGAAGCATGCGCACTGCTAGCGCAGCCGTCGAAGCTCGGTACCTTATTTATGCTGAGGCGTATAGAAATCACTGAATGTATGCTTCCAATACAGCTAGTGGCTCAGATTGTGTCGGCATGTGAAGAACTAGGACATTTTCTTTGCGAGTGGGAAGCCCACCCTAGTTGGACTGGGACACTGCCCGGGACACTGCCCGACCTCTATGCCAGTCTTTTGCGGCACTCCGAAACCTTGAAAAGTCTGCATCTCGATCTCCGCGACGAAGGATGCTTAGATGACTTGGATGCGTTTCAATGTATTAGTACTTTTCGGCCCTTCAAATGTCTAGAGGCGCTGGTTATATCAGAAAATTGCTTTCTCGGCTCCTGTTATCCATTTCCTCCCTGTTGGAAAAGGGATGACCATCTGCCTCCGATGACTGAGCTGCTGCCACCGTATCTGTCAAGCTTCGGGATGATAGTCAGTTGGAACCCAGAGGAGATGAATTACGGTGACGCAGATGACTCTCCTAGCCTGTGGGATTTATTCGCGGACTACAAGTCTTCTGGCCTGAACCTAAAGCACATCCGCGTCGGGGGCGAATTCTACCCTAGGGCGCCCAATCTCACGAAAGCGTTCTGGGAGATTGGTGTGCAATTTGAAGTCAGGACTTGGTCCTGATGCATCGTTGTACGTTGCCACAGAAGCTGAACTTAGTGCAACCAGTGGTACTGCGATGACCCATGGACGACAAGCCACTCACAAGTTTCGTATGCCATAGGCTTCATGCACGAAGAAGATGATCTCGAATGGGACCTATCGTATCACAAGCGATTAAAAATGTGCCGCCACGAAACCTTTGTCGACGTCGAATACTGCTTGGTTGTTGGAGTTGCGACATGCCTATGCCATCAACAAGACATAGGCGGGCGGACACTTTACAAATTACAATGACATCGGTCTCGAAGGGCCACAACATTTGCACCAGAAAGACAGTGAGCCGATTAGACGTAAACATCGCGCTATATGAGCCTACGTGAACTCAAAATTATAGTGCAGACGACATTGGCGGTCCAAAGACGAACACCTAGTGGGAATGTTGATGTGAGAATTCATCTCAATCGTACCGCCGTCGATCCAATGACGTGATCTTACCTTTACTTCAGTAATTTCCAGCGCGACCAGGAACCTTCTCACGTGTCAGCGTCCCTCACTTGATCTTGTACGTCCATATAAGCCTTTCTCCCTACTGCTCCAGACTCACCTTCCTACACTCTCCAATTTGGATTGGTATCTTCCTTGATACTAACTAGAAAGCCTCCACTTCCACGACTAATCTTCAATTCAGTCTCACCACAGCTGTTTCGTATACTCCGACTACAAACCCTCACAGCTCACAAGGTACTCGTCAAAGCAGTCGAACTTTAGTACAGATCAGGCAACCACAGCATCACTCGAAAACCCGCCGTTTAGCTATCCGCTGGATAAGAAGCAATACCTTGAGAAGCCAACATTACCTCGGACCGAGAGTCTCTTGTCACACCCTGGGCTTCTACAACTTCGGCGACATCAACATGGATATCCCGAGCGACCAAGCCACTCACTTAGATGTCACGGCACCTTCAAATGTCGAGTCAGCCAATGCAGATACAGAGTTAACCGAGAAGGAACATCTGAGCCAGGACATTACTCCGAGATCCGAGCCTCTGCCCGTTGTTTCGGGAGAGTCCACGCGCGAGGCCGAAAAGTTTGGAGAGGTTCAAGAGCTAGACTGCATTCAAGAGTTTACAGATATCGAGAAAACTGCCTTTAGTTCCCCCTTCCCATCACCGAAGCCAGTTGCAGATGACTGCGAGAGCATTGTCTCTCTTGAGAGGGAAGAGGACCTGGAGGGGAAGCCTTGCAAGTCAGTCGTAGCGAGCCCTGTTCTTGCAGAAGGCCAAGAAGAGCAGTCCAATGAGAAGGCGGAGTTAAAGCTTGGTACTTCTCAATCTCATCACGCAAGACATGAACTAACTTTGACAGAAGCATTCCCCATCGCCAAGAAGGAATCTCTCGTAACAGCTATGCCCGAAGTCCAAGCCGAGACTGCCGATGCCGATGTCAATATTGAAGACAGCGATTCCAAGACTGATACCGACATGGTTATCGAGGCTCCTAAGCCCGTCAAGTCGGCTCAGAGTCTACCTCCTCATATGCGTCCTGGTTTTCAGTCACCACCATCCCGCCACTTCGGCCTTCAAGACTCAAGAGTAAGCTGCTGTATAAACCTTCAAGAATATATGAACTAAGACGTCTAGCAAATGACGACACCCAACGAACTCGCTCGACCCAACGAGGGACCTCGCGCACCTCGCTCTCACTATACTTCGTATCAACCTAGAGGCGACCACATGGATCGGGAACAGTTCGCCCGTATGAGCGCTCAGCTAATGAAGACCAAGCACGAACTTGATACCGAGCGCAACAACAACCGGCGACTTCGGGTAATCATCGAGGCTGAGCAGCAGCAGAAAGTTGAAGCAGCTTCGTCGAGTATGCTTACCAACCTCCTGCGCGACCAAGCTGAAGCTCTCACGCTCAAAGCTAAAGTCGAAGCTAAGGAACGTGAACTTGGCTTCCGAGAGCAGAAGATCTCACAGCATGAGGTATACCTTTCCGAAGGCCAGAAGCAGCTCTGGTTTTCTCTTGAAGAGAATGGTGTCCGCCCCATGAGCGCAGTGCAGATGCAGCACGCCCGACGTGAAGCTAAACTGGATGCTCAGAAGGCTATCGATGACTTGAACGGAAAGCTCAATATCAAGATTGAAGGCCTTCGTCTTCGTGAAGCAGCACAACAGATGCGTGAACAGCAGTACAAAGCTATGATTCGCGAGTCACTCAAGGACGAGCTTGTCGACTCTCTAACTTCCGAGAAGGTTGATGAGATTGCCGAGATTGAGTATAACAACGGATTCGGCGCGGGTAAAGAGGTTGGTCGCAAGGAAGCACGTGAGAAGTCTCACCAGCGAGGCTTCCTCGAGGGCTATGGCGCATGCCACCGTACCCAAATTACCTTGAGCAAAGTTCGCCAGGGTCTCATTCCCCGCGATAGCCCCGACCTCGATTTCTTGTATGACGCCAATCATCCGCACAACCTCTGGAACATTGGGGAGCTCGTCGGTCGCCTGCAGCACGATGACAAGGCCTTGCAGATGACGAGCGCTGTGAAGGGGGAGACTGTGTCTGAGAAAAAGGCCACGTCCCATAGCAGGAACCATGAAGCCCACGAAGGAGTTCCCACGATCGATGGCAGGGTCAACGGTGATGCCAACGGCACCATGGTCCGCAAGCACGAGGAGCCAATTCGCAAGTAAGTCACGCTTTCCACTCACTCACACATACTAACATCAGTCAGAATGCTTCCGGCTCGCCCGACCGTCGCTACCGAGCTCCGTGGGCCTTCCGCGACACACAACGGTCACATCATCCTCGCCAACAACAACGCCGCATCGCCAGCCGTCAGGGAAACCGGACGCCCCATCATCCAGTTTGAGAACGATGTCGAGAATCTGATTGATTTTATGTAGCCTGGTATTGCGGGCTTCTGGACTTCTCCAGGATTTCGGTGTGGCAAGGGGAAGAGTGATTGTGGCAGATGGGTGGTGGGGCTTGAGATGGAAGGAGGAAACTGAGCAAAAGGTTGCATATGGAATAAGCTATATGACTCGAGATGATACCATTTAAGTTTTGGATATACGGAATGATAAGCTAGATGTAAATAAATAATTCAAAATATATATATGCGAGAAGCTATACAAGACTATATGTCTATGCTAGCACTCCCAAAGTAATTTTCAATGTCTACAATGCTTTTCTCTACCTCGTCTTTCCTAGCCAGAACATGTTGAATACCTTTCCGCCATTCTATGCATCATAATTTTGCATCCATCTAAGAAGCTTGGTTCCATACCACACCCTCCAATATTACTTCTATCTTCTACTCCATCGCGTCCCGTATAACTCAATCCTGCATAACACTCCACCCCTCACCCCTCCCTCTACCACCAATTCCCCTCCCACCCCTTACAACCGGCCCATGCCCCCTCTCGCCCAACATAGGTTTCCTCAGCACTGGACCATTCGGCCCCTGACCAAACACCTCAGCCTGCTCCTGTGCCTCCTCCGTCAACTTCGGCTCATTGCCACCACCACCACCACCACCACCACCGCCTTCGCCACTTTCCGTACCCTTCGCAGGCCATTTCTTCGCAAAGTCCTGCGCTCCACCCCAATAGCCCTCATCTCCTCATTCTCCTCTCCATCCTCCCTCGCCGCATACTTCCCCACGATATCCAACAGCTCTTGTTCTTTCTGCCCTGTACGCTCCGCATGCCAGTTTGCATACTCATCCCACCACCATCGATGCGTCTCCCCGTCTTTTCCTAGATACCCCGCCGTGCCATCAGGTTTGACACGCGCAGCCCACGGTTTATCGACAATGTAGTGTAAAACAGCGACTTGATCGTCCACCCAGATATTAGTATGCCAGTACCTCCACGTCTTCAACGCGTTTGTTTTCCAGGACAAGGTCGACCAGCGGCCGTCGAACGCTTCGTTTAGGAAATCTTGGTCGGGGAATTTCATAGCGCGGAGTTTGGTGTTGCCCAGTTCCTCAAATTTGCGTAAAACAAAGTCCGAGAGAGCTTTGCTCGGGCGATATAAGAAAGTTCCGGAGTTGAAGTTGGATAAGGTGTACGGTTCCGGGTGCACTTCTGCTAGTTGGTCCGAGGAGGTTAGTTTGGCCATGGCACAGTTGTTTGGGTTCCATTCGGCGGGGGCCCAGGAGTCGTGGTCGAGGTTGCATACGCAGGTGTGTACGGCCATTGTTCTCATTCCGTCTCCGCCCTTGAGGTAGACGTCGTTTTCTTCATTGAAGATTAGAGGGGAGGGATTGGAAAAGATCATCATGTCGGCGTCTAGCCAGCAGATTCGTTCGAATTTTTGAGACATATCCCAGAGATCGAAGACACGGAGCTTGGTCCAGGTGTCGATGAAGCGCTCGGCGACCATGCCGGATTCCGTTCCATCTTCGGGGAGGCGAAGGTGTTCTACGGGGTGGAGGATGATGTTTGAGTGCGCGGCTTCGGCTTTGAAGGCGTTGATTGAGGTTTCTAGGAGCGTCTCGGGTGTGTAGGTTATTATGAGTGGGGTGTTTGGCGAGTGTTTGTTGAGTGTGTAGGCTAGGAGGATTGCGCCGGCGAGGTAGCTGGGTCGGGTGAGGAGCGTTACATATGCGTTTTTGCCTAAACCAGCATTTTGTTGGTCCGCCATTGTGAGTATCGGTGGCTATCTGGACCGCAAGTATTCTAGTTGTAGTCAATTGGAGGAAAATATAGACAGGGATGGCAAGGGATACATGTAGTTGCAGAGGTCTATACCTCCCACCAAACCAAGTAGGCGCTGACGTCACGACTCCCGTTCCGAGGCCGGAATGCACAAATCTTACTATCGGAACCTACAAAGCGCGTAGACATGTTGATGATGACGAATCTCGACTAGTCGCTACAGCAGAGGTCACGAAAGCAGGTGGTGTTACAGGTTCAAATTACGGGTATCTCAAGAATCCTACTTCAACAACAGCCATTGCACTACTCATGCCTATGATACAATCTCCTCAGAACTGCTTCCCATCCTCTTTCGCCAGCGCTTTTCCCCAAGCGCTCTCAAACGGATCATCAGGCTTCGGAACATCCACCTGCTGTGTATCTTCCAAAGCTGCAACATCGGGTACCACGCTCGGCTTAGTCAATTCAACAGCCGCAGGGCGGCTCAATGCAGCAGCCTCTGGGCTCTCGTACTCAAAGTTGCTTGAGTAGACTACAGCAGCGAATGCTTCCAGGCCGCCGACAGCCTCAATAGCAGCTAGGTATTCATTGTTCGCACCGCTACCAATACTATGGGCTTGCCTGCAGAAGACTGCTAAGCTATTCGCGACCTTGGCCTTGACATCGCTACCAACGATCTCCTGTATACGAGCTTGATTATCAGAAATGGGCGGGATCTTGTATGAGAGTTGAGAGATCTTGACGTCGACAAGGTGGGAGAAAGCAGCATCGAGGAGCTGTGTGAGGACACGGGTGAAGGCAGGTGAGTCGATGAGGTCGGAGGTTTCGTCAATAAGGCGGCGAAGAGAGGCTGTTGTTGTCGGCGATGCAGACTCGGACGATGAGGTCATGCCTGATTCACGGAGGACGTAGTCTTCCTGATCTTGTGGTGGGAGTAGGAAGGTAAGCCACTTGCATGTTCTGTGGAGAGTTAGTCAACGCCAATTCAAACGGGACTGCAGTCGTACCTTCGCTCTTCCTCGGTTGCACCTTCGACCTTCTTGCGCACTTCCAAAGTAAGTTCTGACAGTCTCTCCAAGGTCATCTCTTCTCTTGGGTTCACAAGGCCAAAGACGTCCTTCACTGCGATCCTTACTTTCTCAATCAGGTCGATGCACCCCTTATGTAGCAGCCACCAACTCAAGCTAAGGTATCTACGGTTTGTCTCAAAATCGTTGCCGTACGCTTGCTCGAAGTTGTCGTCATCATTGTTCTCCAGGTTGATCCTCGAGCCTTCGCTAGTCGGCTGTGGAGCGGCCAAGGACACGACAGATGCGAGGTAGTTTCGGCGGCCGAGGAGGTTCAACTGGATACGAGTGAGAAGTGTGAGGAGAGAGATGGTGTAGATGAGGGTAAAAGCTCGTGTTATTGCTGGTCACGTTAGCATCTCAGGTTTCCATGTCAAGTTTGGGGCACATACAGCTTATCTTCATCTCGCTCCAAAGCTGTGCTTTGCTCTTCTTGATCTTCTTTTCCTCGCCAGGATCTGGGCTGCGCCCTCTTGGACCTGTGCTAATATCGCCCTCTGTAGCGATTTGGCTGGCATGGATGAAACTATCCGTCTGGAGACTCGAGCTCCGTGCGTCATCCTCGGTTGTGTCGGCTACACTTGGAGGCGCTGAGCTGGCAATCTCGCTGGGTCCGACACTGCGTGATAAGCGCTCTGCCTTTTGTCTTTGTAGCTCTTCCAGCACTTGTTCGACCGGGATGGCATCGAGTATGTTTTCGGTCGCGGTGGGTAAGATGGCAAGGACGGTGAAGGTACAGTCTTCCTGGTTCTGTTCAAAACGGCGACGTAGACTGCAGAGCCATTAGAGACTATCCCGTGATAACAATGTTAAAAGCGCACTTCTCTTTCGCGATGCGATCATCGCTCATGCGCTGTCTCGCCTCCCCGAGCTTGCCCAGGACATACTGCCCCGCCAGATAACCCGCGCCGAGCACTCCGGCACCGATTGCGAAGTTTGTGCGGTTGCGTCTAAGCCAGCGACGCGTACCTTGTATCATGTTGATGGTTGAGAGGGCTATGCAGCCCGCGTACTTGGGGGTGGAGCAGGCGTCGCGTGTGGGGAATGTCGGAAGACCGAAGATAACGCAGGGTCCCGGCAGCTCACGGACGTGTCAATGCGGCAGTGCGTGGTGCGAGGGATGTCTCTATTCAACTCTTGCTATTGTAACAATAGATGTCATGTGCGTGCAGTTGTGATGAATGGAAGAGCAAATGCAGGCGTTAAACCTCCAGCGCATGCGAGGTTGGTGTCGGGTTGTACCAAGGCTTCGTGATTGGGCCGAGGTCCATTGCCTGTTCGGGACAGCAAGCCCAGCGCCGCTTTCGCTCCGCAAATGTTGTCATGACCAACTCGCGTTCCGCAACTCGAGTCTCTTTACGCTAGCTCATATGAAATGCACTTGGTCTTGTATCTAAGGTCGAATATAATAACACAACCGGTTCGTCACTACCCACTCATAAAATCAAGCTGTCAATCAACCATTGTATTTCGTATTGAAGAAGTACGATAATCGGATTCTTCCTCTCTGCCCCGGCTCATCACGTGCTGCATCTAGTTCGTAATAACAGACAACTATAGAGTCTCTCAATGTTATGTATATGATTGGAAAGTAGAAAAGAACCATAGCTAGAACATCAAGTCATTAAGCGTATCGTCGATTTGTTATCGTTAAAACGTATGATGCGTCAGTCAAATGGGCGAAGGATCGCAGTCGGTGTCGTTACTGTTGTCCTGGGGGTATCAGGGGGAGAAGTCGTAGTCGTGGTCGGAGATGGGGCTTCTGAGCTGGACGACATTACGGATGCTGGTATTCTGTAAAGACAGTCAGAGGCTGTGCGCGGCTTTAGATATCGGCTTATAGGCTTGGCCATAACATAGAAGAATGCCAGGCGGAACATATGCTAGGTCTAACTAGCGAAGAAAGTGAAGAAGACCGGAGCAGGACATGGCCGGCGAAGTCCAACCAAAAACTTGTATGGCGATTCTCCAGCGAGCGTGCTGATGACACGCTAGTAGAACCTAGGTCTACTAGCGATGCCGGCAGCACGACCCAGGACCAAAGCCCAATGGGAAAAGGCAGTCAACGAACAGACATTTGTAAGAGAGGGAGAGCGGTAAAGAAATGGGAAAGGAACAAGGATCGGGCGCTGTGAACGTCTTGATTGTAGCGTTAACTGCTTCTTTTTAGCGCATCGAACGTACCCATTAGGAACCAGCAGGCAGGTTCAACACTGCACAGCAGCGGACCTCCGAATCTCCGTCTTCCTAAAAATTGATTGAACATGTATGTGCATCTTGATAGAGTGACCATATGTTTCGGTGAGAACCTCTATATCCCTTAGGCTGGTTTGTAGACCTTGGTATGCTGGTATCCGGGAATCCATACGTGGGTAGATAGTCTGGGAGCTAGCTCCCGCAATAGATATAGGAAACAAAGAAATACTTCTTGTATGACAAGAAGCGATACGCAGATGAGTGACAGTGAAGATAGTCAGGGTAGACTATTTCCCTGTTCCGTGTTCCGGCAAATGGTAAAAGATCGTCCATCCTGGTGGCAGCTACATGTAGCTCGTAGATTAGTTCCAAGACGGTTCAAAGAGGCCAGGCGGGTACTGCATGTCTTTTGGTGAGAGACCATGATAGGGTGAGAACGTAGGAGAACATTCTGGTTGGTCCGGGGGAACTATATAGCCATCATAACTGGACTGTAATGACGGAAGCTCGAAGGGGGACTGGTTGCTCCATTGAATTTCCTGGCTGTTGTGTAGAGGCCTTGGGTAAGACCCAGTGACATGTGAAGGTACGTACCCCGATATCTCTGATCGACCGCCTTCCCGAGTCCCCTGCAATTCTTGAGCCCACTGCGGGCTGCCTGGTGCTGTAGCCGACTGCGTCATTGGTGACGTGCGAGGTTGTTGTGACAAGCCTTGCGTTTCCTGATGCGTACGAGTCGTGTCTTCAGCGTTATGAGCGGCGATCAAAACCGGCAGTGTTGCGTCAGGCCTGGGTGTATCGGCTTAGCATTTCGATGGGAAATCGCCAACTTCCACCAACGTTACTGACCTTTGTAAGGTAACCTTGTCCTCCTGCAGATCCTTTCCCATTGGCATGAGCGCTCCTATGACATGCGTGCACTTCCTCATGTTAACCTTAGGCTCCACTTGTTGGGAACTGTCTCGTACCTTGCCTTTTTGGCGCTTACACTTGTCGCAAGCACCGACCTTTCTCGTCGTCTTGTAAGCAGATCGTTCTGCGGGTGTCATCTTGCGCTTCTTCTTCGGCTGCATCGCAAGTCCATCCACAATACTGAATACATGCTGCTGACCAGCCCCGATCTTGGTTATAGCAGGAGACTGCTGTGGGTGATGATCCAGAAGTGCCGGTGACCTACACGAACTGCTCTGTGACAGGGAAGGTGAGATGCTTCTTTGATGCTTACGCTCACTCAGTTCTTCGAGGCTCTGATGAGACGCATGGAAGACAACACGTGCTTGGTCGCCAGGCGACATTTCTGTCATCGTCCCTGCCGTCTCGTTTTGCATCGACTCGAGTTCGCGCCTCAAAAAGTCTATGGCGGCCATATGCTTCCGCTGGCGCAAACTTGTGCATTGTGGGTATTGGTTCTTCAGAAGCTCATGTAAAGCATCAGAATCGACTGGTTGGGTAAAAGCCATGCCTGCCCATGGCGGAGTTTCGTCACTCGTCGGGTGTATTCGCTTAATGGATCTCATCATTGCGCTTCAGCTATGGTATATGTTAGTATTGTCAAAACAGTAAGAAACGCTGAAAAGCATACGTGGAATAGATTGGCATTGCTCAGAGCCCAAGTGTGCTACTTTAGCGTCAGCATGATCACGTTGATGGGGAAGCTTTGTGGAATGTCTTGAGGTGCTGGCCGCAAGCCGACTTAGCCGCGATCATGCCAAGAGTGTCCTACTGGTGATCACGAGCAACACGTCGCGGTTACTGTAGTACAGCAACTTGGCCTTCCTCGATCCGTCATACGACAAACTTACGTTGAAAGGAACTCTTCGTCCAGGGATGATCCGTGATGATCGTAAGTTTCGAGAGGGAACTAGATGTGTAAATAAGTCGCCGATGTCACCAAATGCGTACACTCTAAATCTCCAGACAACGACAAGGTATACGAAGGAAACGCAACTAGTCGTGCGGTGTCTCGACATGGTCAATTCTAGGTTAGCCGGCCGCAACGGCGTCCTGAACGGGCCAAACGACACTAGAATCCGGTATCCGTTCGGATGTATGTATTGCACCATCATAGCAAGCTTCCTTATGATTTGCCCGGACCACGGCATCGTAAGACACATTTACAGTGTAACTTCAATGGCGTTGAGTAGTGGGCGCAGCACGCTGGAGGACCATCTCGCTTCCTGAAAGAGGCGCAGTCGATTGGTCCAGAGCTTTAGCCTGCTGTCATCTTGGGCACCCCAACTTCGATGTTGGGCAGCGATGCAGACTCTGGGATCAATACAATCGATATCGGCTTTTTAGTGGTAGTTGCGTTGCTCGTATATATGTAGTGTGGGTGGTGCATCGTGATGCGTGCGGATCCCACAGGAACACCATGAACGCTAGTTACGCGTTAAGACGACGTGCGTTCTTATGAGCCTTTGAGTACAACACAGGGCACACAATGCGAAAGTACAGGAAATTAGTGAGAATAAAGATGATTTTGATGAAGTTAATATCCGGTAGCTGATGGCATGAGAGGTGGGAAGATCTATGGTGTGGTAGCCCAGGGACGATTTCCGTCACGAACCGAGCTAGATCAAAGCAGGCTAACCTCGAATCGATTGGAGATTTCAGCCGGGGACCACACTCGTTGTTCTTCCTCTACAACCTACTTACAAGAACCATCGTCCGTCTTCTGAAGCAAACTTAGCCTCAAGTTGCTTCAAAGGCTGAGTCATAAGTATGGGTGATAATCGTGCAATTTTGAGTAGCGCTCGGAACGAGACCTTTGCCTTTTTCATGCGGCGAAACTATATTGATATCGAACAGGCCCGACAGTATGCTCAAAGAACAGGAAAAGACATGCATCCAGGGTATGTGGCTGTGTCCGAGTAATGAACAACGGGGTGCAGGGATTCGCGCAATGTAGCAATGTATGGTACCACAACCACCTCGCTTCCATCATATCATTGAGAACACGCACACTTCATTCTGCGTAGCTTCTATCTTCCCAATCGAACAAAAATTGTTTGCATCCGGCCGATACCCAACCAACTTCCCTCCATCTAGGTCTTCTGAGATGGCTGTTGAAGCGAGCATGGATAACTTCAGGTTTCTCGACCTGCCAAAAGACATCCGACTGATGGTCTACGAACGACTACCAGCCATCAGACGGCACTCAACACTGAGCATGCTATATAACCCTATCTACAATGGCAGTAGCACTCTCGTCCTCACAGTGCTTCCTCTTGCTATCCTGCGAGTGTCCAGGATGGCCTACCATGAAGCGTACGCCATACCCAAGCTCAAAGTGTACAAGCTGCTCTCGCAACCATCTCGACTCAGCATACCCGCATCAGATCTTTTTGAGACACGAAGCGGCTTCGCCAATTTCCTCGAGATCATCAGAGGGATGTTTTCAATATCCTGTATGGTAACTCTACAGTTTGTTGAACTGCTTTATTACCGGCCGGGAATGCCACACTACTACGCAGGGAACATTTTATCTATCATCACTTTCTCTTTCTCATTCAGTGGGCTCAATACGCCGGTCTCTGTTTCTTGACGATGAAAAACCATCCTATCCTTGCCCAATTCGTGGCAGACAATCCGTGCCCACCGATGAGAACAGCCGGAATCCAATCGTTGATCAGCCGCCCAGGCATTGGGCCAAGAGTATGTACGACATGTTCTAGTAGGCATTTACCTTCATATCATATAAAACTTTGCAACGTCTACAACAGCCCCACGGTGGACATAGTGCTTCTTGGTACCAGTGTACGTGCTCCAGGTCCGCACAGCGGATCGTATGGTTACGATTCCCAGTACTTACGCGATGTGCTAATTGATGCTTGCTGGAGCCGGCGGGGAAATTCGATTATGCAAGAGAATCAAGGGTATATTGTTGAGCTTGCAGCTTGGGGAGAAGACTGGCAGGCGAAGTCTAGAGTGGGACTCTCGAGATTTTAAAGTGATGGAGAAGATTCAGACAACAGATGATCAGGATCTTATTGGGAGTGAGAGAGGCTGACGGAGATCGACAGCCTGAGTATGATGGCTGTGGTATTCACTGAATTCAGGTTCATACATTTTGTCCAGCGGCCGAAGCATCGCCAATCCTATAACCAAATTTTAGTAAGTCTTGCCCTTCAATCTGCGCTTTCTTCGCCAGCAACTCGTCCACATCCCAAGTTGCACCCAGTAACCGGCCATTGAGCCACATCCGCCTCTCAGTGCTTAACCAAACACAGAAAGCACCCCCAAGACCGACATCATCCGTAAGGTCTGGAAAATTAGTAACTCTCATCGAGTTCACAAGGCCAATGCACTTACAAGATCGGAAGCTATCCGGCGTATTCTTATCCGCCATCTCTGTGTTGACAGCACCTGGGTGTACCGCAATGGCTAATATACCATCCGCACCGTACTGTTCTGACAGAAACTCAACAAGACGTGCCTGCGCAAACTTCGAGATGCAATACGCAGTATTCGCAATGTGTCCATTGACGATGCATGCTGCGAATGAGTTGACAGCGATGAACGTCTTAGCACCATCACTCTCCTTCAGCAACGGAATGAAGTGATGCGCAACGAGATATGTGCCTTGCACATTAACGTCGAAAACATCTTGGAAATCTTTCGGATCCCCTTGGTCGACTTTCAGTACCACCGGCCCGGAGTATCCCGAATTGACAATGACAACGTCCAACCTTCCGACTTCTTCTTTCACATGCTTTGCAAGCTGTGCAACACTTGGGCTAGATGTGATGTCGACCTGTAGACTTTCAATGGATGCCGAAGGGTTTAGGTCTTTGGCTTGTTGTGCCACTGCCGCTAACTCTTGGGCTGAAGACGACCTCGCTGCTAGGAGAAGAGATGCAACACCCGCTTGCGCATATGCGTACGCGATACCGGCTCCTATACCACGAGATGCGCCGATTATGAGTACGTTGATTGGTTTTGGTAACTTGTTGGAGGCTGGATCCAGGGCAGCAGTCGGCTTGCTATGGATCGTTTTTGTGAAGCCGCTGGCGAGCGTAGTATCTCTTGTTCGCTGTGACATGATAATAGGTCCGAAGATTCGGGATGGAAACATTTCGTCGATAGTTGTGACTATTCCTTGATATACTCGCGCGCCTTATCTGCCCCGTGGAGCCTAGCTCCCGTCAGAATGACTCATATTGAGCCGCAGCAGCCTGGAGGGCATGATTCATTTCAAGCCTTAATCCTTCTAGGTATCACGATTCTTTGCTATATTCGATCGAGAAGGTGTTGCGAAGATGTGGATGGAGTAACTGTACAAGACGAGATATTATCCGGGAGGTTTGGCAGCGGTCTTCGGTGGTTTGCGCCGACATCGCCTGTTGCTCAGTACAGCAAGTCTCATAAAGCTTAAACTGTGCCTAAGCAATATGCCATCTCACCATAATTACAAACATGCTCTTATTCAGTCTCCTGACATCAATACCAACGCTCATGGGAGTGTCCAGAACAGAGACAGACGTATGACGTACCGCGCTAACCTGGCGCGCCGAAGTGTGGGGCCAGCCTTTCACCCATCTGGAAAATTGTTGGCTTCCCCTTTGGAACAGAGCTGAATAATGCGGTCGTCCTCATAACCGACTTGCGATGCTTCGGCCAGGCTGAGTAAGCACGTACATATGTAAGACTGTACTGGTTCAGCCTATGAGGAACGAATAACGTGCATGACCATTATTCAGATGCAGCCAGGCAATGGTGAGCGCGACTGACGTGACCCTTGATGACACCGTGATTGGAAATATGTGCTACAAACGCTCCGGGGTATAAATTCGAAGCATCGCGCAGCATGGGGGGGATATTTTCGCCCTAAGCAGGACATTGATTTTTCAACACATTGAACACTTCGATATGACACGCACCCTCATCGTCTTCGGCGCCGGGCCCGGAATCGGCAACAACGTCGCGACCCAGTTCGCATCCAAAGGCATCGAGCATATCATTCTCCTATCCCGCAATACAGAACGTCTCCAAAATGAAGATGCGCCCTTCGTCGCCAGGAGCACCTCCCCTGTCAAAGTCGACACACTCCGCATCGATCTCGCAGATACAAATTCCATCCCAGACGTACTCAAGCAACTCGAAAGCATGACTGAAGGCGAAGACGTAGAGGTCGTCTTCTTCAACGCTGCTCGTATAAAGCCAAGTGAAGTACTCGGCGTCAGTGTTGAGGAAATCGATGAGGATTTCAAAGTACTCAACTCTCCTCTCCAATACCAACAACATACTGTATGCTGACTGAGAGAATAGACGACTAACCTCGCCCTTTACATTGTAGCACAGCATTACATCCCCAAACTTCAAAAGCTGGCTAAATCCAACTCCACGAGCAAACCAGCCCTGCTTGTCACCAACAGCCATCTACCTTGGGACCCTGTACCACAACTCCTCTCGCTGAGCTTGGTGAAGGCGTCGCAGAAGAACATGGTTGAGAGCTTCAATCGTGCTTTTGCTGATAGTGGTGTGCACATCGGGCTCATCTATGTTGAAGGGTCTGTAGCGCTCGAGAACAAGGTGCTGAACCCGAAGACAATTGCGGAAAGGACTGTGGCATTTTGGGAGGGAGGAGAAGGTGTAGGTCTCAGCATCAAGGAAGAGTAAACTTGGCATCCCGTAGAGAACTATTAGGGATGAAGCATATGAATACAGTGTTACTCGCGTGTCGCATTGACCATATCGTTTTGAGTATTATGGTATCAACATTGTTGCTTTTCCTTGGAGAATTAAACAACACTTGATCTTAACATGCGTAAGATTGCGCTCATCATTTCGAGGTTTCATTTGTGTACAAGGCTGTTGGGGTTTGCTGAAGTAGGGGGACGGGTGTTAGGCAGCCCATCTTGACAAGTCGGCTGCTAGCGCGCGAGCGGAGACGCGTTCCACGCCAGCCCCCTCTTTTCGTCCTCTGAATGGAAGACGCGCCGCTTCTTCGTTCCATCGATCTGTCCAATCTCTTTTCGACTCGTGCACATAGCATGTATTTTCGTTCCGCTCATTAAACGTATACACATACCTCCAAGATCTGAGGACTGCGAATATGGCGGTCTTTGTGTCATTTGGGCGACCGCATGTACGTGCATCATGTCAGCCAACATCAGTTATCACATGCATTGGACCGTGCTCAGTGTATCTGTGTGTATCATGTGGCTATGTCCAAGCCACTGATATCTGCTGAAGGCTGCAGCCCGCGGATGAGCTCGCTCATGACCAACCCGCTGCCTGGACCCATGCATATCCCACTCGTACCTTGTCCGGTATTGACAAAAACACCACCCCGCATATGCGCCTCGCCGGCTGCACTGCAGGGCTTTCCAATCAATGTGTGTATCGGTATTTTTGCGATGATAGGTCTGCCCTCATTCAAGATCGGTCGATAACAGCGCCCCATTTCCAACACTTCTGGCTCGGCATCATCGAAATCCACAAATTGTGAAGCGATTACCTTCATGGTTGCAATCGAGGCGGCTTGAGGTATCACCTCCATGGCTGTTGCGGGCATGACTTCAGCACTGCCAACGTAGCCGCCCACGTAGAGTCTTCCGTCTCGATAATCTGAAATTTCGACTGGCGCACCAGCAAGACGTTTGACATACACTTGGTGGCAATACTCGCTGTTTGAAGGTAGCGGCGCCTTCAATATTAGCCAGTTACCTGCAGACCGGTGGCTCGCCTCAAATTCGAGGTGAAAACTAGACTCAGGGAAAAGCTTCTCGAGCACTCTCCCACTCCATGATCCTGCCGCAACGACGAGTGTACCACATTCGACCTGACGGAGCTCGTTGTCGTGTTTGATTGTGACTCCCGTGAGTTCTTCTTGATCAATTTGTACATGTTGGACCTCCGATTGGAAGAGGATGTTAACACCAGATTCTTCACATCTTTGACGAAGAAAGTCGACAAACTTGCGCGGATCCCTCGGAGCTATCAGCCTGGGAGCATTCTGTACAAAAAAAAATAACAGGCATACGTACAGACGTGCGCAATTGTATGGGTTACCCTTAATCAGCTGGAAGTACTGTTCTCGCTTGCGTATCCATTCTGGCAAAGGATACTGAGCCTGAAACCCAGGCATTAAGTCGCTTGCATTTAGAAGTTCATGTCTCACTGTCTTTGTATATCCCCAGTTGACAGCTCCTTCATATACCGTCGCAAGTTGCTGGTGTAGCTTCCAAGACAGGTGAGCCAAGTCAGCAACAGGAGCCGTACGACCGTAATCCGACAAGATACCATTCGCTTTTCCAGAAGCAGAGCTCACGACATCTGAAGAGGTCTCGATGATCCAGATGTTGTCTCCGCGCTTGCGAGTGCTTGCAAGGTAGAAGGCTGTCGCTAAGCCGTTGATGCCTGCTCCAATTATCACAGTTGAGTCTGATTTGTCCATGTCACAGGTAATCTTGTTTAGCAAATGTGACAAAGAGCACAAGTTGGCATTGCAAGTAACTGGGTCGTTGTCTTACATAGTCAGTGGATCGTCAATTCGCCGTACGTGTCATGACCATCAAGCGCATATGCCCTTGTCGCAGGCTTGCAGCACCTGCATGCACTCAGCCCACCTGCATCGCAATGCTCTATTAGGTGAGCACCGAAATTACTTTTCAATACTGTTTTGTAAGCAGCCTCGGGGAGGTACCAACGCGTGCTAGGCGGCTTGGCTCGTCTGACGTGGAGTTGAGGTTCACGGCCTCGCGTGGACGAAACACAACCCATGCACATGTCCTTCTCACGAGTTTCAGCGAGTCCACCATCGGCATGAGAACGAAGAAACTTGGGCGTGATGGACTACCCTGTAAGATCTGGGTTGTCTGCACCGAGACGTAATGGGACGCTAACAGGACGTGCATAGTTCGGCCGCCGTCGAAAAACCAAAGACACTCTCGATACCGAATCCCTAGAGCGCGTCCTCTCCTCCCTCTCGGTCCATGATTCGACGACCTTCAACGATGAGGATTTCTTTGGTCCACTCGGATTGAACACTCTCTTCAGTTCATCCCACCCTCTGCTAGACATTATATTTGTGCATGGACTGCAGGGAGGGTCTCGCAAAACATGGAGCAGTACCAAGAGGCTAGAACACTTCTGGCCGAAGGAATGGTTATCCAGAGACCCAGGCTTCCAACATGCCCGCGTTCACAGCTTCGGATACCGATCCGACTGGACGAATACAAAATCCAGCATCCTCAACATCAACCATCTCGCTGAGACGCTTCTAGCTTCAATACAAAGTTCTCCTTCCATGAGAGAGACCCCGCATTCCAAGATCATATTTGTTGCGCATAGCATGGGTGGGCTTCTAGTGAAAAAGGTAACGTTATGGCCCCATACCCGAAAAGTCATGAAGCTAACTACGGGAGGCTCACATCGAAGCTCACGGAAACCCCAATTACCAAGACATCGCGGATCGGATAGAGAGCATATTTTTCCTTGGTACTCCACACAAAGGCTCTGACAGTGCCAAGTCGGCGGAGCTACTCGTCGCTCTTTCACCGTTCCATGGCGACAAGCCCTACGTGAAAGACCTTCAGCCCGCTTCAGTCATGATACAAACTATTAACAATGATTTTCCACGCTTCTCGAAGGGCTTACAGTTATTCTCTTTTTATGAGACTTTAGAAACTTGGGCCGGCAAATCACAGATGATAGTAAGCCCAGACTCGGCCGTTTTAGGCTATGAGCATGAGAAAAGGATATCCATGAACAAAAACCATCGTGGGATATGCAAGTTTGATAGCCCCAAAGACCCGGATTTCATCTTGCTTCGAAATTCGCTCTGTCAGACGATAGAGAAGATCATGCGCAACGGTGAGTAAAGCCTGTGTTCTCATATCACTTCGCTAAAGTGCCTTGTACTAGTGTCCTCAAAACAGCACATGCACGACTCGCAGATGCTACGCGGCCTGCAGGATTACCTCGGTGTTCGTGATAAACCGGAAGACGATCTTTGCGAGTTGGAAGACATTGCGCTCCCAGGCTCGGGCCTCTGGTTCTTGGAACTGGAGTTGTTCCACAACTGGCGCGATGGCCCACTGTACGATATGAATGTAGCATCGAGCCCAACCACTCCTCGGTCGCTACAGCTGTTGTGGGTCAACGCTATGCCTGGCGCAGGAAAATCTACGTTGGCAAGCCAGGTTGTGGGTCATCTCGAAGCTGTCAATATGGACTGCTGCTATTACTTCTTCTCGCTAGAAGAACGATCAAAATCGACAGTTAGTGGAATGCTGCGATCCATTGCATATCAAATGGCGCTGCTACATCCTTGCGTCCGAGAAAAGCTTCTGCAACTGAAGGAGACTGGCGTTCAGTTCGACAGCACAAAGGAGAAGCTCATATGGCGGAAACTTTTCGTTGGTGGCATCTTCATTTGCCCAGTTAGTCGACCGCAGTACTGGATTATCGACGCTTTAGACGAATGTCGAGACTTTGAGAACTTCCTCAGCATGGTCAGCAAGCTGGAAGCGGTATTCCAAATAAAGATACTCATCACAAGCCGCCCAACGCCACAGATTCGGACCAAAATGGTCATCCTGGGTGCGAGGGTAACTGAACACAGCTTCGGTGCTGATGATATTCGGCACAACATTGAAAGATTCGTGAAGAGCGGCCCGCAATCGCACATTCTCCAACGAGGACCAGCAAAACTTCGCAGTCAACTTATTGAGAAGATACTGCAAAAGTCGGAAGGTTGTTTCCTGTGGGTCCAGTTGGTGATGGAGGAGCTAGAACATGCTTACAGCATCGAAGACATTGAGCGCATCTTGGACGAAATGCCGCCGGGTATGGACAAGCTTTACAAAAGGACGCTGACTGAAATTCTGGAGACGGACGAGGAGGGGAAGAAGTTAACGAAGGCTATCCTCAGTATTGTCGTCTGCTCCATGCACCCGTTGACCGTTGCGGAACTCGCCAATGCGCTCAAGATCCACCTTCGGGTTACGTTGCTTGAACACGCGATCAAGTCAGCATGTGGAAATCTGATATACGTCGATAAGGCCAGCCGGGTGTGCTTAGTACATCAGACAGCTCGAGACTATCTGTTGAACCATGGGCTGTTCGAGACTTTCGGTACAAACTCGACTATTGCGCATCACTCTCTAGCAAACTTATGTCTAGAGTACCTCAAGAGCTCTCAAATGAGGTCCGTAAGGATGCTGGCGTCTCCTGGGCCATCCACGGTACGTATTAATCGCAGGCTCGAGACTTCGCCTTTCGCCCAGTACGCATGTCTTCATTTCAGCGACCACGTTCGACGAGGAACTTCCGAGGACGATGTTTTACTGGACAGTATCCACAAGTTCCTTACTACCAATGGTCTTAGCTGGATTGAACATGTCGCTGCTACTGGCAATCTACGGATTCTTATACAGGCCTCTCAGAATCTACGTGGCTTTCTTCAAGCACGGGCAAAGCACAAGCCGCTGATTGACCAGAAGTCGACATGTGTGCAGCAATGGTCTGTAGACCTGGTTCGCATAGTGGCCAAATTCGGCAAAAATCTACTCAGGCTACCACAATCGATCTATGGACTCATTCCTCCCCTTGTACCGCGCGAGAGCGCTCTTCTCTCTCAATACGACAGTCGCAGGGGCATTGACATTGCCGGTATCTCGAACAAGTTGTGGGATGATCGTCTTTGTGGAATGTCTTTCCATGGCAAGCTTGCCACTGCGGTCGCGAGTGGAGAGTCTACATTCGCGGTTGGCTTGCGAAGTGGGATGGTCTACGTGTATGACCATGCTACATTTCAAGAAATTAATTGCTTCCAACACCAGGAAATGGTCAAAATTCTGCAGTATAGCTCATCAGGAGATCTATTGGTTTCCGCGGGCTTGAGATACGTGAAGCTCTGGAACGTCTTTGACGGTGTCAAGGTGTGGGAAGAGAAAGTGACTGCGGAGCCACTAGCACTTTCCTTCGCCCAAGAGGACCGCCAAATCATTGGCATCACGAGAAACAACGTTCTGGTAGTGCGAGATTCAATGGACGGTAAATTGCTGAAGATGACTGTGCGGCCGTACTCAAATGCTGGGCGAGGTCTTCAACTTTTCCCTGGCGGCGACATAACATGCGCCAGCCTTGACGTCGCTTCGAACATGCTGGCTACAGTACATCGCGGCCACCCCATCATTCTGTCAGAACTTGATACCAACGAAGAGATAGCTCAATGTGAGCCGGATTCGGATTTCGACACCGCAAACTTTGACTTCCTAGAGCCAGCTGCAGCCATCGAGTTTTGTCCCAACTCAGATATCAATCTCTTAGCTGTCGTCTATCGAGACGGAGGTCTTGCGACATACGACCCCAGCGCACAAGGTGCCTTGATCGATACAGTCCATGATTTTGATGTCGAAAAACTTGCATGTAGCCCCGATGGCCGTACCCTCGCGGTTGGTGACAGCACCGGCGCGATACTACTCTACGAGACAGAAACGTTGAGGCTTCTCTATAAAATCACCCATAAGTCAAACCATGCTATTCGAAACATCACGTTTAGTGCTGACAGCGAGCGCCTCATCGACATCCGCGAGTCGCAATGCAATGTTTGGGAGCCGCCAGTGTTGATGCGCACGGAACCGCAAGAGACGGAAAGTATGTCGGATATGCTGCCAACGCTTGACGAAAATCTTACGATAGATGAAGAAGTGGCGGAGATATCCGCTATAGCCTCAACGGCTTGCGGCAAGTTCGTGCTGTGCGGTACAGATAACGGCGCCGTGGCATTGCACCTGACAGAAACAGGAGAGCAAATCCAACTTTTGTACGAACATACGACACGTAGTTGGGTGTCTCAGATCGCTGTCAGCCCCAAGGCTGTTGCAAGTATAGGTGGGACGAATGAGCTCACCGTCAAAACATATCGGGCTATAGATCGCTGGGTGTGCGACGATGTTCTGCATACACATTATCAAGAGCCCATCCGCCAACTGCTTTTCAACGCCCAAGGCTCCAAGCTGCTAGTTGTTTTGAACGACTCAGTTGAACATTTCGACCTCGAAGCTGAGGGAGTCAACAGCAGATCTGAGCCTACGTCCGATGAGATCTGGGCCAATGACCCGACTCGACCAGACACGCTTTTCGCGATCCAGTACAACTTGATCAGGCAATTTTCGTGGGACAGCTTCAGTTTGATATCAACCCTGGGAAACGCAGAGATCGTTGCAGACGGTGAGCCAAGGTTAGTCGTGCAGCACGCGGCACCAACCGCTGGACGAAAACACATGGGCATCGCATTATCCAAGGGTGACAAGCGACCATTTGCGATACTCACTGCACTGTTGGACTGCTCGAGCTTCCAGAAAACGGGCGCAACGCCACACGTATTGCACCCAGTGACAGCAGGCGACGATACAAAGGTTGAGCACATTATCGGCATCCAAGGAAACAAACTTTACTTCCTTGACAAAGACTTGTGGCTGTGCTCTCTCGCACTCGGTGTACAAGGTGCTACATGTTCACACCACATGTTCATTCCCGATGAGTGGCTCAAGGCTAACAACCGGCCTCTACTACTTCTCACGACAAAAGGCGAACTTGTGATTGCGAAAAGGGATGAAATTGCTATCATCAAGCGGCCGTTGACTTACACTATTGCATTCTGATCATCCTTCTCTTGCGCCGACTGAGATTTCCCCCTGCGCTTCTTGCTCTGCTAGCCAGCCCTCTAACCCATCCGGAAACATATCCACCAGTTTCTTTGTTTCTTCCGTGAACCTTTCTTGCATGTTAGCGTTGTCTTGTATATTGGCGGTTCTTATTTCTTGTACGTACGTTTGGCGGTATCGTGGGTTTTGAGGGAACAAGGCGCAATCGTGAAGTTGGCTTCGGCTGTGATCGATGTCAGGATTACTTTTTCTTTGGTCGCTCACAAGGCCGGATTACTTACAGATGGTATAGTGCGTTCCTCGCTTCGAAATCTTGGACTGGGTATGCAGCAGGGTAGTGTTGGAGATAGGCTCTCTGTTGGGCTTTGCCGAATCGGTATCGCGTCTTTGCTCGCATGGTCCTGATCTCATCTTTAGGACGTGAAATGTTAGCTTGTAATCTATGAACACATGACTACAGCGGATGGGCAACTCACACTCATTGTGCCCCCAGAAGCAACATGCGTCGTAAACAATGGGCACATTATTCTCATGGTCTGTTGAAGTATTCCCATACCACAGGTCCCCGTGAATGAGCGAAGGCTTCACTTCCCCCCCATTCATCTCCATTGGGCGCAAAAGCCTAGGGATAACCTTGTCGAACAACGGCTGTAGCAACTCTTCAAGTTCCTGCGGACGCTCCCCTCCCTCCTTCTCATCATGCTCGAGCATCCGCTTCATGTTTTGCGTAAAATACTCCTCCTAAGTCCGTGTCCAGGTATTGTCTTGTGCCAACTTGCCGTTATGCGTCGTAACGTGATAACCAAACTTCATACCGTCGGGTCGTCGATCTCGTGTAAGCTCCTCGAATCGTTCCTCGCTCTTGATGTGAAATTCGGCGAGTGTTCTAGTCAACTGGTCCATGTCGGGTATCTCGGTATCCATATCATGGAAGGCTTGCAAGAAGAACGCGAGATCTTGGTCAGAATCGAAGACGCCCCAGCCGATAGGTATGGGCGAGAAGCCTGGTAAGACTGCTCGCATGTCCATGGCCGAATGGTACTCGCCTTCTAGCATACTGCGGCCATTTGGACCCGGTGCGACTTTGATGAAGTAAGACTTTGGCGTTCCATCCGACGTTTCGATATCAATGCGTGCCGATCGCGTCCACAGACTGGCACCATGACCAACCGCAGAATCGATTCTTGATCCTTCTGGGAAGACTAGCGAAGAGCCTCATCAGTCGAATGCGCTTGTAAGAAAACCATTCACAGTCTATAGAAGCACTTACAGCGTTTGACCGCGTCGTCGACGTCGATGGAGGCGCCCGCGGTAGCGTCTGGCGCGAGCTCGAAAGGGTTTGACATCACTCACGTATGCGAAAAGGCTGAATGGGGGGAATCCACAAAGTCAGAACGTTATTAAACACGGACAAAGTGTTACTTTTATCATCTCAGATCCACGAGGCTGAAGCCAACCCCTCGTCAGCCTGTCTACCCAAAGCGGCTTTACGTGCGTGTAGCATGGATTGGAACGGATGTGTGGGGGAGCTCTAGCCTCTGAACTGTGCTATGTTGTGCCACTATGTGGTTTCGGTCACTCTCGTAATTTTGAAAATGACAAGTATACGAGTTTACCCTGCCGGTTGGGGGCGAGTTGTTACCCCGCACACAGATGAGGGCGGGCTGTGGCGGCACGTATGTATGACCAGTAAGATACCAGAGAGGATAATTGGTTGTGGTTCGTTGGTCGTGATAGCGGATGCGGCTCCTTATATCTCATGGTCGGTTCGCGCGATGGAGTGGAGCATGGTATATCGTAACGCGGTATGCTACAAAGTTTGTATCCATATAGCGAGGCTATGTGTGAGCTCCAGGAATTGTTCCGCACTCCTGGTATGTAAGTCGACGGGTTGGTGGACGATAGTTGGATGTTCCATGTGTACGTAAGCTCGGAGATGGAAAGGTCATTTCTCCCCTTCGGCCTCGCCTTCCTGTTCAAAATCTGCCATCTCCCCCCAACACACTTTTCCCATTCCGTCCGCGCGCTATCTTGACAAAGTAGCTTCGTGAGCATAACCTTGTACGTCCATCTTCCTCAACGTCGTTCTCATCCTCCTCATCTGCATTTCCACGACCCTGCATCCCAGCATCAACATGCCCACTGTCATCGCTACGGGTAGTAGTATCGACGAGGAAACACTGCGTCTAAATGGCTTTCTCCGTGGGAGGTGGTGTGAGTTACGAGCGTGTCTGAGGGGAGGACTGAATTGTGCGAGTGAGGTTAGGACATGTGATTTGTAACTGCTGAGAGAGAGAGGTTACGAGGACGAGGACGTATGGCGATGGAGTGCTGTGGAGGTGGTCATAAGGTTTTCTTGATCAGGTGGCGTGGACGGTGTTAATAGGGATGAGGAGAGGGGGAGGGTTGTGCATTTTTCGCGGACGGCGGTAATGGTGGTAAAACACTAAGTGATGATCGCGGAAAAAACATGTATGTGTAGTAAGAGGTAGCGAGATTACCGAGGTGGTACTGTTACAAACATACAAGTTGATCCATGCGGCGTTCGTTGATTCAAACGCCGTTTGAACGTCTTCGTCCGCGATAAAAAAAAAAAAAAAGCAGATGCGCACCCGGGGCCACGGGACGAGGCGTGGCGCAGGTGTCCTTTGAATTAGCAAGGCTGCGTCGATTCTCATTAAATCGTGTTCCAGTAACAGCCTATCTGACATGCACCAAAGACTAAATTCTGAACAATCTTGATTCCATCCTACGTATTCCACCAGCTATCCCGACGACATGACTGCCACACCAACAACGACAGAGATGCCCATCCCACCCCCTCCTCCCTTTGTCTCTACCATGCCACCCACGAAAGAATTCAACAAACCACCAACTCGTTTCACCTCTGGAGATGAAAAACAATATTACCAAACCACCACTACAAACCACCACTACAAGCCACAGACGCAAGCCAAGAACAAGCGCTCACAGAGCCCCCACCCATGCAATGCGCCCAGAATAGTAAAGAAAAAGTAGCATATAAACTCCAATCCGGAGATAAGGGAGGAAGAAGCCACAAGAAGAAAGAAGCAAATCCTTATCAGCTAGTAGAGCTGGAAAGCCAAGCCAAGCACTAAAAGCCGAAAGAAGCAGAGAAGAAAAAGCGATCATATGTGTTGTTACAAGTTGGCGTGCAGATGGTGGACGATAAGGCTAGGTAGTCGTGGTGATGGTTGTTGATGGTTGTGTGTATGGGCGAAGAATGGTGTTCTGTTGCCGCTTCCATTCTGTGTGCGCAGGTAGTGTGTACTTTGTTGAAGAAGGGTAAAAGTCTTGAATTGTTGTCGATGGAGGAAAACGCCCTTTGTTCAAAACTTCCAGGATGAAGAATTGAAAATGCTGATCAATACGCCGAACACATAAACATCTGACAACCATGCGGCTGCATTGATGTGCCCATGCTCCCCAGTCCTACGCCTTGCACTCCTTAAACGTGTATATTGGGGCTGCCCAGGTATTTAGCCGTTTCTAAGTAGATCATCAATGGGAAGCGTAGTGGAAGGAGGAGAAACGATTATGACGGGATTCCTATATCTCGACGGTCTTGAGGTCTTCCGATTCAGATGCAAGGACGGGGCTCTTCAGCGATGAGGGTGCGGGCTTGGTGTCCTTGTTTTCCTTGTTGTTCTCCTTGTCGCTGCCGAGGCTATCGCGGGGTGTGGGTAGTCGGGGAGTAGGGAGCTCGTCGCTGGGTCTGGGTGTGTCCATGGAGATCAAGTTCTCCGAGGGTGCGGCAGTTTTGGCGTCAAGATTGGTGTGCACGCGGATTGGTGCTGGGTTCTCCTCAGCGACTCGTGCTAGCGGACTTGAAAGCTTGCCTCGCGGGCTGACGCCTTTCGGTGGTTTGGATAGGCGGTGGGGGCTTCGACCGCGGTCTTCTGGTCCCATTACAGGGCTGTGGTAGGGGCTGCTCGCAGTGCTACTGGGGACGACCATACCCGGTGCGTTGGGGTTGACGCGCAGACCACTGTTTGGGCGCCTCTTGGGTTGCCGGCGGCCGTGCTTCTGGTCACACCGCCAGCGGAGGACTTCTAGGTAAGGCGGCTCTACGTTCTGGCGCTTGAAAGCCAACAGCTTCAGCTCGCCCGTCTCCTCGTCCATGTGTACGTCATTCGAAGCAAAGTCATCCGCAACCATGGCTAGCAGTGCACCCCATGAGCGTGCGACAACGTATTTGCAGTCATAATCGCGGCCGAAGATGATGATCTGGCCCCATGTGCCGTTAGGGCCCGGAGCAAGATCGACAGCAAGGTAGTTGCCTCCCCAGTCTCGGGCTAGAGGGATCCATGCGGGATGAGCATAGGCCTTTTGTACCGCATTCGGGGGCTGTGAGTCCTGGCGCGCGAGGAGGTCTTGTCGCCAGAGAGGGTTGCCTGTGCTCTGAACTGTGGCTACGGGGGCAGCTGTAGAAGAGCCGGCGAAAGCCTTGACTGGAATCTGCGGTGTTCGGTAATCGACCTTTGTGGTGAGGTATTCTTCAGCGACCTTTCGCCAATTCTTCCACTCCATGACGATTTCCTCGCAATCAAGCAACATGAGACCAAAGATGACACCAGTTGGGAGACCGCCGCGCTCTTGGCCGTCGTGGACCTGTAGTGACTCGCGAATGTCCATGGGAAGCGTCGCATCGAGCTCGTGCTCCAATTCGTTGACGTCGTTTGATGTGCAGCCCTCGCACATGTTGTCGAAGAGCTCTTGGTAGTGGTCTTCGACCCAGCGGTCAATACGCCTCCACGAATGGCCAACAGGCGGTGGCGGGGGCAGGCCCTCGTTGAAGTCCTGCATGGGAATCTGGCCATTGGCGCCCTTGTCGAAAGTGTCCGAGTCCATGGTCGCTTGGCGGCTCAGCGACCCGCGCATTCCAGGTGAGTAGGGAGAGCTGGGAGACATGGGGCCCTTGGGCGAGCCGATGAAGCCATTGCTCGTCGCGAGCTCGTCGTGCTGGTAGGGCGAGTGCAGGTCGGTGCGGGACTCGGCGCCGCTCGCCGTGATGGAGGTGAGGGCGGCATGGCGGCTCTGAGGAATGGGGATGTGACGCCCCGTCCGATATGGCGAGTCGTGCGAGGCGTGGCGGTCGTACGAGGTCATTGTGTGCCAAAAGTCCTTCAAGGACGCGGTTATTCTGCCTCAATGTTAGCCATGTCCACCATGTGGTGCGCGGGGGAAGAGGCGCATCTATGTCTGGGAGAGTCGTACTGTTGTGCCATGGTGTCGAGAAGTCAAAGGGAGAGCGGAACAGCAAAAAGAGCGTATGGGTGCGCTCTGCGCTGTCAACCTGTGAGTCGTGTTCCGGGCCTCAGCGAGTGTCGGGTTGCTATCTCAAAGAGCGGCGGGCTGGGGGAAGTGAAGTGGTCTGGTAAGCGTTGGCAGGAGCTTGGATTGGGAATCGAGAAAACGGATTCCAGGTGACGTTAAGGGGCGCCGACGCGCCAAGACAAAGCACGACCGGGATGGCCCTGGGCAGATTGACGAGCGTTGAATGCTCAATGCTGGCCTACTGCTTCAGGACAAGTAGTCGGTGCACGACAAGTGACGACTTCAGGGTGAATGCGCTCAAGAGGTCGTCGTGGCGGTCCGTCGTGAGTCTTGTGGTTGTGTTGATGTTATGGTTCGTCGCCTGCACAACAAAGACGTGCAACCACTCACGCCGGCCTCCGGGCAGCCGTGACCTATCTACTCTCTCCTCTCCACTCTATCCCCCTCTCCATCAACCACGGAGCCAACTTGAACTGACCCTGGCCAATTCGCGTTTATTAATAGAGCATGAGCACCCCTTATGCATCGCCGTTGCCACCCACATCACTACGACGACTTCCTTTTACATCCCCCATTTGCTCGGGCAGTACCTGTTCGCTTTTGCTGTGGCCAATTCACTCCCCGACCTACCCCCATGTAGCCCATTTTCGCCGCCTCATGTCGGCGCCGTTCGTCCAACCGTAGGCCTGTTTCAGACTTGGGCGGCGTCGTGCGCGCCAACAAGAGGCTTTACCGGGTGGCTTCGCTTGCTTAGCTTCTTATCGCTCCCTACCCTGTTAAGAACTTAGGAGGTGCGTCTGCATATATGGCGTCGTCAAGGCGGTGTAAAACGAAACGTATCACTTTTATGCTCCCGCCTCGTCGTAGCAAAAACAATCCGACACATGTCGCGGCATAATTCCTCAAACACGGCACATGTATTCAACCCTTCGGCCACGTACACAAGCAATTCCTCGAGCACAAGATTGGTGAGGCTTGGCTGCGCGCCTTGATGCGTGCGTATCTGTTCCATGATGACATCTCCACATCTTCAGCTACAGAATCCTTCGATAAAGATAATGCGCATCCCCCGCTAGCCATGCGCCAAATCTTCAATTTCCGCCACAATCTCCTAAAGGGGCACGACTAACCTTGATTCATGATGCGGTCAGCACAGCTCCTCGTCGTCATGACGTAGATCTATAACCGGCAAGAACATATTGCCGCCGTAAGATTGCGGCAATGCGCAGTCTGCATCAAGCAACAACTATCCAGCATATCTCAATCAGTAGCCTTGGGTTGTGTTTCAGATTAAATATGACGGGCAGTTCCGCTCGACTATGTGACATGTAGCACCAATTGCAACTCATCCTGAGCATACCCTGTGTATTACAGAGCCTGTCCTTGAACTCTGTACCCCGCCAAGTACGTGTCCCCTCCACTAATAAAGCTTCGTGTTGCGCCCTCTCGAATCACAATATTGCCGCGCAATCCGGGAACATGCGTTTGTACGAGGTTCTGAGAGGCGGCGGGGTGCGGGGGTGTTGCAAGGCTGTTGCTGATATTTTTAGCCGCCGCGCAATTCTCTCGCCACATCGCCTAGTAACCGAAGTGGCTACTGTGACATACGCTTCCCTCTCCATCAATCACTGACCCATCGCTCGACGTTCAGTTTGACTTCGGAGATTTACCGCACTAGTTTGGCCTCATGTACCCCGGAATCGCATGTCGTATTGCCCGGCGCGTGGGTCGGATACGAGGTGATGTGCGTTGAGTAAGCCGCCTTCGTCCCGACCCGGTACTGGAGCGTTGACGCGCGATTGTCGTCTGCACTTGGAACCGTATCGCGTCTGTCGTTGCGTGTCGCTATGGAAACGCAGTCGGAACATGCTTTGAGCTTCTTGCGCTAAGCCAATGTCTTGCCCAGAAACTGGTTGAGCTCCTCCTGCAACGGTAGGACGATATTCTCAACTGCTGCTTGGAGGCAGTCGGTGTCTTGTAAGCTAGCGGTGGGATCGCCATACCCTTTCATGCAATGACTGATTGCATTTTGGAAGGCAGCAGAGAGGTTCTCGGCCTCGCTGTCTGTCCAAATATGCACCAATGTGAAGAGAGTATACTTTTGATTCGCTGATGCATCAGCAACCTCATCCTCAAGTTCAGACTCCTTATATTTTTCGACAGTTGTCCCGAAATAAAGCTCAAGTAACGAGACCGCCAAAGCAAGCAGGAAGCTATTCTTCAAAACCACTTGCTTGGAGCCTTTTGAACCGTTCTCTAAGCGGTCGGTTACATTCGGCGCGAGGTATGCGTGGTTGAGATCGATCGGACGCATGGGGTCCGACGTTCGATGGAAAAGAATGTCTCGCGCAGTCCATTCATTGGCGAGCCATGGAGTTGAGTTTAGGTAGAGTATGCTGGACGCTAATGTCAACGCCAAGCTATATCTTTCTTTCCTGCTCAACTTGGATCGTCTTCCATTAATGACTGGTGGTCGCTCTAACAGTGTCTCTAGAGAGATCAGTTCGGCACTAGGAATATGTGCTCCTGCGGTGTCGACTGCATAAGCGCCCCGTAACTTGCTTTTACTATCCAAGGAGAAGCCGATAGTCGGGGATGTCTTATATAGTTGCTGGATAGATGCACAGAGGTCATTGACCTCTTGGTAAGAAGGTGGTGAACTGGTCGCCGGGTCTTGAACTGCATAAGGCGGAAGTGATCCGAAGCTGACATTTCTTTGCATCCTGTTGGGTTTAGAAGAGACCATCGGTGTAAGATAGTCGTCCTCCTCCTCGTCGACGGAGATCTTGGCAGCCTGAAACGACCACGGCACTCCAGTGCTATCTGAGGAGACAGTCGAAAAAGAAATATTGAAACTAGTTTTAGTGGAGTGAAGTGTCTTCTGGAATCTTGGCGCAAACACGTCTCCCCTAGGATCAAGTTGGAGACTTGCTGTATGGAAGGATTTGCATGAGCATGACCAGCACACACATAGTGCGTCATGTAGAATCTTGGCGTATCGCTGCAGCTTCTGCAAGCGAGTGGCATACGAAGGCTTTGTAGGTCTGTGGTACGTCTCAATCTTTTCGCTCTTTTCTGTGAGCCTTTCGAGTTGCCTGTTGCACTCATCGAGCTTCTCTAGAAGTGCGCTCACATTCTTCTTCTTCATACCAAAACGAACACGCTTCCTGAATTCGAACTTATCGTCAGCCTTTTTAGGGTTCGCGGCAAGGAGCGCCTCGAGATCATTTCTAGTAAGCTAAGAATCGTGTTAGTCTACGATGCACTGAAGGTGCTACATGTGATTACCTCGGCTGCACGATCCAGATCTAGTCTGCCCGCGATGCTCTTCGTTATCTGTTCAATCTCCGCCATGGTACTTTTATACGACTCGTACGCGTTTTGGAGCTTGTCTTGCAGTGCGATCTCCTTGCTCTTCCATAGTTCCTGAGATGCCATAGGATCAGTCGTCATCCTTGTCCATTCAGCGTCCGACGTAATGGATCCGAAAAGAATCCGAATCGTTAGCTCATAGTGAACATGCTGGGCCCTGAGTTTCCTGAGCAGGGCGGGAAATTCATGCTCTCGATCCCACATGCTCTTCAGGGTACTGAGTCCTTCTCTGTAGCTTTCAATCCCTAGAGAATAGTAAGCCGGTTATTATCTTTTCCTTCAGATTGGACTGCAACACACCTTGGATAATAAGCGGCAGAGCGCCAAGTACAAGGCCAGCTACCTCTATCCCGCTCATTGCAGCGATTGCCTTAAGATTCAGGACGAACGTCAATGTTGCATGTCATGGGCGAGTGATTGAAGGAACGAACGCCGAGCGGGGTTCGAGGCTAGATCTCGCGGCAGGCACACGAAGAAACGCGAATGAACCACGACTACCAGCTACAAAAGAACCATGTTTTTGAGAAGAAGAGTGCGTAAGACACGCGAACCTGTTGATTTGCGAGCGACACGAGGTTGCGAGAAGGTGCCACTGCCCGCGAGGCGCCTGAACTGCGCCCCCACCAACCTGGAAAGAACCTAGCATCGCTTCACCATGCAGTCATTAGGCTACACAGTAACACAGGCGCTGACTAAACAGCTGCCATCTCATTGTGATTGAGACTATAGCAACAGATACAGAGATTGCCCACCAGCATTCACGACTCGACTGATCTGGGGTCACGACGCCACTCTACTCCAATGTTCGAGGCCTGTCGGAGCCGCCACGTCCCCGCTCGCTTGCGTCCTCGGCATGCCAACCGCTCATAATGTCGACCCTTAGGCTCGCAACAGCTGCTAACGTACGCGCTTTCCAAATTTTGACCGACACTCTCGCTGCAAGCGACGGCAAGTGGACGGAAGGTCTAGATGGTGATGCACTCGAGGACGAGATCGGAAGATTCAGGGTATGGGCTGGTAATCTGGGGGCGCTGCAGAAAGGCCACAGCTCGCTCGATTACAGACTGCGCGACTCCCCAAATCTGCTCAGCAGTGCGCTCAAGCTTTTGAACGAGCTCGAGCACAACCTCAATGAGACGTATGCCGTTGTATCCGGAGCTCGTCCGCCTTATGAGGCACAAACATCGACGAACGAGGTTGAGGAAGATGAAAACGATGATGGGTTCTTCAGTGAGGAAGACGATAGTGATAGCGATGAGCCCAAGAACGAGTTGAAGATGAGGTTTGAAGAGGTGGTCGACATCATCGATAACCTTTACAAGCTTAGCGTACGCATCAGAACGCCGAGCATACGCTCAAGATCACTCAAAGCTTCCTCATATATGCCGAAGGATCCAGAAACCGGAGTGGACATTCTCGGTGCTTATGCTGAGCTAGACAGAAAGCATGTTCAAGAACTACTTTCGCAGCTACGACAGTCGCATCCTGCGGATGATCAAAAAGAGCAAGAATTCTTAATCGAGCGGCTGAGCTCATCCATCACGTTACGCAGGCGACATTTCAAGTATTGGAAGCGACACCGTGACAAACTTGGTGCTTCTGCAGTTTCTGAAGAGGCACCCGAACGTGGCATATCTGCTTCGCATGAAGCGCCTATTCCGGTCCGTAATGACAATCTCGAAGCTCGTCCAACGATTCCAATGATCACCACTTTAAGACCAACACCAAGCCAGAAGACTGGCAAGACTCTCCTGTCAGGCACAGAAGCGACACATCATCATCAGTCTCTAGATGACATTGTCGACACCAAGTCGGTGACAAGCTACGCTCAAACAGTAAGGGATCTTCACGGAAAAGGAATCGATTTACCACCTCCACCGAAAGCCGCCAACGGCGACAAAGACTTCGAATGTCCTTATTGTTGGGTTGTCTGTCCCGCAAGATATGGCAAGGGACGAGCTTGGAAGACGCATCTGCTACAAGATCTGCAGCCATATATATGTACGTACCAGGACTGTGAGAGCTCTGAACAGCTCTTCCGTAGTCGTCGGGAGTGGGCCGAGCATGAAGCGACTCATCGTAAACTATGGCGGTGCCCAGAACACGCAACAGCCTTGTATAGCTCCCTTTCTGGTCTAGAGAACCATCTTAGGCAAGACCATAATGGCAGCTTTCCCGGAAATCAGATAGCGATCATTGCCAAGATTGGGGAGACAACAGCGGTGGACACACGCACCAAGTGTCCGATTTGCTATGCGCCTGCAGATACTGAAGGCCTTGGCGATCTGCAGAACCACATTGCAAATCATCTGGAGCGCTTTGCTACCTTTGCGCTGCCTCACAGCAGGGAGGACGACTCGGATGGCGCAAGCAGCGTTGCAAGCCGTGGGAGCTCCAACTCTCAATCTTTACCAGGATCGGTGCGCACGGATACAAGCAATGATATAGTTGCACCCGAAGACGCTTTGGAGTTCAAACAATCCTCTGAGTCCCTTCATGTGGCCGAGCCTGGCCAAGGTTTACTGTCCGTAGAGAGCTTGCAGCAGCTTCCCGACGAGAGCCAAAATCGGGTAGCAATGATCTCAGGTCAAGTGGACGATACGGATGACTCGGAAGATGAGCAACCCGACGATCAGCAGCTCGACGAAGATATATTACCTTCACACAAGAAACACTTAGAGGAGCAGGAAGCATTCAGACAACACATCTTGACGTTGCCAGGGGCTTTATCCGTTCGGTTCTATCGACGCTATGGTTCCTGGACTGGCTTGATAACCTTTGCTGATGATTGGATTGGTGAGGAGGCGCTGACGGTTTTCGATGCTCAACGCTTCCCCAACATTGAGTTTCAAAGCAAAAAGGACACGAGCAAATGGAAGTTCAGCAGGACCAGTGGTACAAGTAGTAAGTTGATGACCAAATAGCGACTACGAAAGCTTCCTACCGGACTAGCATACTAACGATACTTTTGCCATAGGAAAAGACAACGTATTCAACCGACAGTCAACAGCGGACACGCAGACCACTGAACATGCAGATATTCTTTCCTCTGAGTCTGAATTGTATGACGAAGAAGATCATGAATCAAGCAAACCGGCAATCATATCGACAGCCGAAATACCCACATTGCGCTCGCTTTACCAGTCTCGGCGGCTGTTGCAGCGCGATCAAAGCTTTGCACCGAACGACACTTATAACCAGATGATTTCGTTTTGTCATTACGACCTGACAAGACTGAGAGTGGATGCTATTGTTAACAATGCTCCAGGTAATTTCAAGACCCCACCTGCTCCAGATTCTTTGCATCACGCCATCTTTAAAGCTGGCGGTTCAGGTCTCAGAAAAGAGGCAAGATCAAAAGCTAGAGTCAAAGTGGGCCAGGCTGAGCTCACTCACGGACACGCTCTTCCCAGTTCGTGGGTGATTCATGCTGCAGCGCCAACTTATACTGGCTCCAAAGGCGTCGGTCAATTCAACGTTTTGAGTGAGTGCTATCGTAGTGCCTTGAAGATGGCTGCTAGCTATGAATTCAAAACGATCGCCTTTCCTTGCCTTGGTACTGGAGGCTGTAACTTTCCACCACGTGTCGCTGCACGTATAGCACTGCAGGAGATCCGAGAGTATTTAGATGTACACCCTGAACATCGTCCCGAGCGAATCATTTTCTGCGTCAGAGCGGCAATTGATGAGAAGGCGTATACAGACTTCTTACCGGTATTCTTCCCACCAACGCATGGAGACCTGGATAGGGCGCGCACTTCAAACTGGTCAGCAAATCGCGCTGCACTAGCTGCTCAGATACTAGAAGCACGTTCGCAACTTCAAAAGACATTGATTGACATGTCCGACACGTACATTTTTAGATCACAGAGTACCGCATGTGCTCACGACATCCGGAGGGTCGACTCTGCATTGACTTCAATTCGTAATTACCTTCTGGGGTCGAAAGAGCTCAAGCGGAGTCTAGGAGATCTTAACTTACTGTGCTCTGTCGTTCTGACCGCCTGTGCTAGTATCTCGGAGATCGCTGAACGAGCAAAAGAGATGGGATTCGCTAAAGAGACGCAGTCTCTTTGGGATGAGACCAACACCGACATGCACGTCAAGCATGGATTCGATCTTTCGACTCTCTTCGACTATTGCTGGATGTTTGCGAATAGCTTGGACGACGTTATAACACGTGACATGAGAGAACCCGATGCGATGGCAAGAGCACGACAAGTCTTGGAGAGCTATGGTGTCAAGCAGAAAGGCCAAGATGTGGAAGGTATCCGCGATCATCTAGACGAGGTCATACACGTGCGCGAGTCTGAACGCTCTGCCCCAAACAACCGACAAACCATCCCGGTTGATCAAATACCGTCCGTGGCCAGGCTATATCTACTCGGAAACCTTGAGGCTAAGCCCACGATGGCGCAGCCATCTACTCCTTTCAATTATGCGGTTTGCCTGTTGAGAGAGGATATAACCAGGCTCGGAGTCGATGTTATGGTCAACTCGACGGATGTTTCCTTTTCCGGCATGGGCACCCTGGATCGTAGCGTCTTCAAGAAAGGCGGATCTGAACTACGTGACCAAGTAAAATTCTTCGGGAGATGCGAAGAAGGCGACGTCAAATTAACTCCTGGATACCTCCTACCAGCCAAGCACATTCTCCATGTCATTCCACCCGGACAGTTCAGGAAAGACACTAAGAGTGTCCTGAGAAACGTCTACCGGGAAATCCTACATACTGCCGTGCTAATGAAGGCGACTTCTGTCGCGATACCCAGCATCGGGACCGGTATGCTCAACTACCCGCGGCGCGACTGCGCATCATTAGCCATGGAGGAAGTCAAGCGGTTTCTCGAATCTGCAGAACCGGGTCATGGTCTCGACAAGATCATCTTCGTGGTATTTTCTTCAAGCGACGAGTTCATCTACAAAAGCCTTCTGCCAGTCTACTTTCCGCCAACAAAGGGCAATGCCCCAGAGGAACCGCAACGCGAAGGGCAAGCTCCAGCTGAACATCAAGCAGCGACGAACACAGATGGTTCCATAACAAGAGAAATTGAGAGAGAAGTGCAGGAACTTTCCATGCGAGGAAGAGATGCAAGAGATGCTTCACTTCCAGCGTCAACTGAACAAACTGCGGAGACCCGAGAAATTCTGTCCTCATCGAATCCACTCGCTAAACATCCTGACGCCTCATCTGACTCCGTGGAAGAAGCCTCTCGCAGCGTCAGATTCAGCAAATCACCGGCAACATCCCGTTCCATGCACAACGACGAGGAATATGCATTGACACAATTTGAATCACACGTCAATGACTGCAATATATGTAGCGATGGTTTGTTCGAAAGACGCCATGAACTCTGTCAACAGGGTTTCTCTCTCGCCCAGGCAATCTCACAGCGCATGGAAATGTCTGACGATGCGAACGTTTACAGCAAAGCGGACAAGAAGAGTGACCGGGTCAAATTGAAGGTACCGATGGATCGTTTGCCTGGCGCCATGCTTTTGCTTTCGACTATTGCGCAGAGCATGCATACGGGAAACCTCAAAGGAGATCCATTTGTCCAAGTCACCAAGTCCCAAACGGCGGAACTCGAGGACCGATCTGGGGACGACGACACCACACACGGTTCAGTAAATGAAGATACGAACGTATCTGAATCGGCTACCGAGCCACCTGCGTTGATACGGGTCGACGTTCTTCCTCCGTTCATAAGCAGGGTGGACACTTGGGTCAGAGTCCACAAGAACAAGCTCGAATTGTATGAAAATTTTGTTCTTGACCGACACGAAGGATTCTCTGGATATTCTCCGTACCAGTCAATAGATCTCACAGATCCAAACTTCAATATACTTCGTGAAGACGCAAGGACCGTGTCGTTTTGGTGGGGGGACGCAGCAAGAGATATAAAGGAGATATGGCAGTTTCGCAGCGTTGAAGCTGTTGATTCAATCGCTCTTTTCGAACTCCTTCAACGAGCTGTCAACCGTAGTCGCCCAAAGCGGAGGAGAAACGTGTCGCCGCAAGTTGAAGAAGCAACAGATTCGGCATCGGCTACAGAGCGACGTACAGTAATCCGGGCCAAGTTCTTTGTTGACGCGCGCAATGATTGGGTTTACTCCTTTGTCCATGTCCATAAGAGCAAGATCGATATATATCTTGAAGACACTTCTCCTGAAGGTTCTCCACACGAGTCGATAGACCTCACAACGGCGTCCACGAATGCAATTGAGACCGGTTTCAACACGGTGTCTTTCGGGACAGACAATAGATTAGCAAAACGGCGGTCAACAAGAATTTGGCACTTTCGCAGCGGTGGAGCTACAACTGGCGTCGCACTGTTCGACATTCTTCGACAGGCCATCAGCCGTAACTATCAGACGAGGCACTTTCCGCTTGTGTCTGAGGTTCACGAAGCGAAAGATTCAGTGGAGTCGGCCCCACAAACTGAAGACTCTGGAGAAGCTCCTGATACAGATCCATACTCTCTATGGCAAAAAAGATTGCGGGAGATAGAAGATGAGTACGACAAACACATCAGTGAGGAAAGAACCGACCCGCAGTCTGCCACGCCTGATATTGAGGGAGTTACAGATTCAGCTTCGACAGTAGCTCCAGCAGCACAAACTGGGGATTCTGGAGAAGCCATTAACGCAGACTCATACCCTCAATGGAACCAAAGATTGCGCGACATCAAAGATGAGATCGATGCTAAACACCGCAATCAAGAGGAAACCGATCCACAATCTACCGCGCACGCCACGAACAATACTGAATCCAGCTCGGGTGTCGTATCTGCTGAATGGAGGCAGTTTTTGAGAAGGCAAAAGCTGCGCGTACAGATCCTCGATTATCTTGCCAACGATTTCAAGACCCGGCCTGGCTCCTATATAGGGCAGAACACCGATATTATTGCTTCTGAAATTAACATTGACACGGAACTAGCCAATGGCTTATTACATGAGCTTGCTGCACAGGAGCGCGTGCACAACACTGTCGATAACAACACATGGGTTATCTCGGAACAGATCAACGAATCCACTGTACATAAGCCAGAGGAACGGTTAGCCGAGTCAGGCGACATCCACACGGATGTTCTAGCTGACCAGATCTTGGTACGCATGAACGGTGGAGAATCTCCTGATGAGATTATGTCTGACCTTAGGTCTTCCGGAGTGGCTTTCTTCCCCTTGATTATGAGATTGTTGGCCAAACATTTCATTACTTCTGAGGATCATGGATCATGGGCATTGACCAACCTGGGCAGAGAAAGAGTGCTCGAGATACATGCTTTGGCAAAAGCGCAATTACCGGCTGCTCGAGGTATCGGATCGGTAGGCCCGGGTGGGGGTCCACCAAACGACCTACACGATCGTGCTTTGTCTTACTTGAGAAGCTTACCAGGAATGCGCGAAAATATTTCTGAACTTGCGGCTACGTCAGATACCCAGGTTCCAGAAATTGAACCCGTACTTGGACAGATAGAATCTGATGACTCGGTGGAGAACAAAGATGACAGCTCTAGCTGGACAGCGAAGAGTATCCAAGAACCACCTTCCCGATCTCCACGCGAAGTACAAACCGAACATTCCTGGAATCTTGTGTACGATAGTTCCCGATCTCGGCGCCAAGTACTAATTGATTATCGCTGGGGTCTTGTGTACGATAGTATCAGGGTTACGCGGCATCGATTACCAAGATCACACTCTGAGCGTTTGTCGTTCGCCATACGTGCCATGAAGCAATGGAGGAGGGTCGTTGCTAAGAACAAAGAGGACCGAGAGAAATTCAAGCAAGAACAATTGACAACCAAGGGTGCTGCTGCTGCTGCTGCTAGCAAAACTAGTAGTTGGAGAACCGGCAGAGGCGCAAACAAACGGCAACAGACCGATTCCAGCAGAGCGCTAGCGGAAGATATTGAACAAGACCTGGAGTCAAGCACAGCGATTAACTTGAGACAAGCAAAGATAGCAAGAGACAGGAAGTACAAAAAATCGAATAGGGCGTTATCGGACGATATCGACGACGAGTTGGAGTACTATGACGGACAAGAGGAGGATTACGTAGACGAGGATGTGAACTAGGAGATGGGTATCTGGATTGAATGATTGAGTGCATGTTGGTCTTGCGCATTCGCATTATCAGTGATGCTTCTCTCTCCCTCTCTCTAAGAACGAAACATGGGAGATGTAGCTCGTCTCAGATAGACGTTATGTTCATTTGAATATCATTTCGGGACTCATAACACACTTTAGTCCAGTGTTAAGCACTCTTTTGATCAACTTTACTATCGCATAGGCAATTTTTCAGCATCTGAAGAGTATCCGCTCGCGGGACTACTGAGCAGCGGGCAAGAGGAAAGATATAGCATATATTTGCATGTTCCTGACGATAGCGTCTCACAGATAACACGTGTTCATGCATGTGCTTACGGAAGTAGATCACACACCCTAGACACAATGTGTTCAAAGATGCGCATAGGAGAAGTGTTTCGAAAGCCTGTTCATTTGAGAAGTCAAACCGGTACCATCAAAGTCTACCTAGCCACAAAACTCCCATCCCAAACCTATTGCATAGAAACAAACTCCTCAATGGTATGTCCAAAACGCCTATCCCCAGCCCACTATTACAAAACTACTCACCCAATCTCTACCCTCTTCCCTTAACAACCACCACCGCCACCGCCACCGCCTCCTCCATCGCCACCTCCACATCCACCTCCACCGCCGCCATCTCCGCCACTAAAAAATCCACCACCGCTTCCTCCGTATCCTGCTGCATACGCGCCGTAATCTCCACCATATGTACCACCACCGCGTCGCCGTTTGTTGCGTTTTGTTTGGCGCATGGGAGGGGGGTATTGAGAAGGGGGTTTGGACATGCCGCAGCCCATGTTGACGGTTGTTGGTAAGTGTATTAGGACGCTGTCAGGATGTGGTAGATAAAAGACGTATGGCCACGTTGTGTTGTGGGTTGTTACGGTATGTCGTTGATAGCGTGTGTTTGAGAGAAACGGAGTTGTATGAGATATAGATTCGAAGGGTGTAGATTTCTAGATATCGTAAAGTCGGAAATGCGTATGCGTATGCGTGTCGAATACGCAGGATATCTTGTAATATACGAAAGCGTTGATATGAGTTGGTTTCGTGAAGACGACGACAATGATGATGATGTTGATGTTGATGATATACGACTACTGGGACCACGGGAGATCAAAGACCCTATATACTTACCACGGTTCTTTATCTTACCTATCACGCGCATGTCATCTACTATAACAAAGTCTGCCTTACGAGATACGCACAACTAGGCACAAGTCATTAGGCCCCCCATACACAGCATCCACAATCGTCACACCTCTCTGGCTATCAGACGCTCTAACAGGCTGATTCAGGACTGGTGGAGCGAGGGGTCTAATCGCAATCCACTTTACTTCCAGCACCGCTCCGCCTAATCGTCAGACTAAGCCTACACCGTGACCGGCGGCCTGAATCACAGCCCACAGAAGCGTTCTACCACTACCCGATTTAATGCTTGTATCGCATTTGTGCTGTTCCAACTCGTGTCATTTTCATTCGCCGGCTCGGATAAGGCACACCTGATCGTCGACCGCACCCTCCCAGATAGGAAGTCATCGAGCGCGCGCACAGGGCTGAGTTGATTACAAGGAGGTCAAGAAGCGAGGAGGCTGTGCAAGAGCATCACGTGGTTCAATCTCGGGCCGAAAAAAAACTGCTCATGTCGGTGTGCTGGGACCGGTTAAAGCGGGAGAAGGTGCGAAGAACATTATTATGGGGTTGCAAATCTGTAATCTGAATCAGATGAAACTGTGTGTGGCTGAGGCTGTGGTTATATCCGATCGTCGCCATTGGGGGAGTGGGGGGTTTTGTAAGAATGTTGGTGAGTAGAACGGTAGACCTGCGTAGTGATGTGCAATGCGATGCAATGCACTTTTATACGAGGCATACGACATTATCTCGCCAAACGAAAGACAAGGCACACACACCCTACTTCCCTTCAGTCTCAAAACCACTTGATTTCCGCATGCTGTTGGAGTTTCAGAATTATGTCATTGGAGTATATAGCGCCGTATCGATAGACATGAAGAAAGGACCCAAGTATAAGAGTAAAAGGAAAAATGCTTGAAGCATAAGAGACAGGTTTCCAAACTCCCGGCTGCTGGACCCCTAGAAAGTGAAGAAAGAACAGCGCTTGGTGTCTGAACCGTGCCAATCTATCGTCATCAAGTTGTTTTGTGGAAAAGCCGTAGCCGCTCGCCTGCCGCCGTTCTACACATTGCTGTCAAGCCCAACCCAAAGGAAATGCGTAGCCAAACGCAATCAAAATGGAAAGAAATCCTTAAACCCCTTCTCAAATCTGCCCAACGCTCATTGTATGATTCTATGAAACCCGCCCACGCACGCGCGGGTCCAGTAGCCTCTTTCTGCGTCTTACTTTCCACCCTGCTTCTTCGCCTTGAGCGCAAGATGCGAGTACACCCATCCACCGCCAAGCGCAAGGAGAACACCGAACCACTCCCTTCCACTCAATATCTTGCCCTCGCTGTACCACCCTATGCTCAGAATCATGATAGTCTTCAGATGGCTGACGATGTTGAACGTGAGTGCGCTTGTGCGGCCAATGATCAAGAACTGGCTCAAGTTGTACATGGAAGCCATGATACCGGAGGCGCATACACTCCAAAGGATGTCGGTGGGTACAGTTGAAAGGTTCGGGATGGTGTCGAAGAAGGGGACGAAGGGGATGAGGAGGCAGACGGAGATTGGCGCTTGGTTGAGCAGGAGTTGTGGTGGGGAGACAGCGAAGTCTTCAATCTTCTTGCCGATCCAGATTTGGTATAGAGCAGTGCTGCAGAATGCCAGTGTCGCGACGATGACACCGAAAAGTTGGGTCTTGGCCGCCTCATTAATGGTAAACGAGACACCAATGCATGTTGCCAGAATTGCAGCCAACATGTATCGTGTAACCTGCTTTCGGAAGAGGACGAAGTTGATGAGGACAACGGTCGGGGTGGTCATAACTTTGGAGAGCTGGTAGAAACCGATCGAGTTGAAGGTCAAGCTAAGGTTGCCAAGCACGACGTATCCGGCGAAGAAGCCGCAGACGGGTAGCATGTTCCAGACATTCAGGCGTACGGCCTTGAAGGCATGGAATGGTCGGAGGGTCGAGATGAAGAGGACAAGGCCGGTGGCTGTGAAATGCCACATTACGACCATGAGTTGGCATCCTTTTAGCTGCTTGTCGCTGAACACTCTATCCGGCTGTCAGCAAAGTCCCACCAGTTCGACATATGTGCTGCCATACCGCTTGCTCAGGAAAATCAAGCCCAAGGTTGAGAGCGTATTTAGCGCAATCCAAAAACACGTTATCAGTTTCTCCTTGAGCGGTACTGGCGTTGGCTCGGTCAAGGGTTTCTCGAAAGTGGGCAGCTCTTCTAGCTCGTGGGATTCTCGCGGGTCAACATTGTCGACGAGACCCTCGATTGAGGGGCGCTTCTCAACTGCGTGTCTGTCAGTCCCTGACGCGTGCCATTTCGGGTAGGTTGTAATGCCGTCGACATGCGATGTGTCAAGGGTCTAGGCGGTGTCCGGGGTTTGACGTACCCATGGTATGCGATGTTGGATTACGAATGTAACGAGCGACAGTGGATGGGCGGGCTCGTATAGACTATGCCTTCATGCCAGTGGGAAGGTGCGAGCTGGGGGTGCGGGCGGAGACGAGAGATGAGAAAGGCGCGGGCTGATGGTGTTGTTGCACGGTAGCGGGTGGGCCGGGGGGAGGGTGCGGCGGTGCAGGCAGATAGTCCGGTGTAGCTTCAGCAGCGAACGTGGTTGCAGCGACCAGAGACAACAACAACAGAGAAACCGGACGATGAAGATGCGGTTGCGAAAGCGCTACCGAAGAGGACAAGAAAGGCGAGCGAGGCGGGTAGGACCAAAGGGGTACACGACGAAAGACGCGAGTGAGATGCTATCCGAAAGGGATCCTCTAACGCCAAGACGAATGCTGAAGGGGGCGAAGGCGATGCAGGGTTCGTTGGTTAGGTACGTGCCCGACGGCAACCAGCCCCAGTCTCCAGGCCAATCAATCGTTTTTTAGCGCCACGCTGTCAGCCAAATCTACGAGGTTAATTTTAGGCCTCGATGCGGTAGCGATACTGCTTTCGGTCCCGTCAGAGTCGACATGTTTACCAAGAGTACGCAACACTGAACATGTCCATGATGCTGCAATGTCCATGTATTGTGGACACGGCCTTGGCAAACTCTCCCAACCACGTTCCAGGACGTATTGATCGTCATCGTCGTTTGGGCATTGCTTTTGTAATGCCGACACACCCGGCTCTGCTCCGCCCACCTCTCGGGCAAAATATCTCGCTCGTCGCACCTGTCGCCCGATTACTACATACGGCGGACGCAGCGTTAGTGGCCCTTCCGCATCCTCAGATTGGTGCGACCTGCGACAGTACTGTAGTGGTAATCTTGGTGTTTACGCGTACTGGGCGCATACACGTAGTGTGTAAACCTTCTGAAGTTGATGACATGGCGGAGTTTTGGGAGGGTATGCTTGTCAGCGGAGATTTAGCTGCTGACTCCTAGGGTCAATTGCACCGAGTGTCAAAATCTCAGGTCATCCTGCTATTGCTGTTCTCAGTTATGGCAGCTGCGATCGTAGCACGACCAACCAACCGCCTGTGACATGGATGTAACGTGTTCTCTTGAATTTTTCAACTCCCGAATCTATGCAGAGAGGCCTCGTAATTACTAGCCTCCAAGTGATCAACCCTAGCGCATAGAGAAAGACGGATAATGTACACACGCGAGAAGCCTACACCCTACAAAGAAACCAACATGATCAAGCATCGCGTCAATAATGCTACTCCCGCTACCGCCTCCGTATCGAATTATAGGCATGTAAAGAAATATGTTGTCGTGGTGTTACAGAAAATTATACCTCTCCATCAGCCACAGCAAGACGCTGCTTAGCTGTCTTCGCCTTTTTGCTTAGCCCACCCTTCTTGCGCTTGCCGCCTGCAGGGGCTTCGGTGGGCGGGATGGGTGTAGCAGCACCACTCGCCTTTGCACTCTCGTCAAAGTGTCCTTCGCCTGGCAACAGTCAGTACATGTGTTAAATCATATTTCGTCATCATCACTCACCCTCATGGTACATGTCGTCGAGGTTAGCCTCAGCCCGTTGCTTCTTCTTGCTGCGCTTCTTGCCTGGTGGCGCATTCTTCTCTTGCTCGGCCAACTCCGCCTCCTTCTTCTCAATCTCGGCAGCCTGGTCATCGTCGACGAGCCACATTGCCATGTCCTTGGTCCTGTTTTCCCTGGAGCGGGTGTTGAAGTCGACTCCAGCGCCGCCGCCTCCGGAGATAACGACGCGCTGCACTTCTTCCTTCTGAAGGGCACGCTTGCGGATACGTTCTTCGATAGTACCGCGTGTGATGAGCCTGTAGACTGTGACTTGTCGTGTTTGTCCGAGACGATGAGCACGGTCCATAGCTTGCGAATCGATAGTAGGATTCCAATCCGAGTCGTAGAAGATGACCGTGTCGGCCGATGTCAGGTTAATACCGAGACCACCAGCGCGAGTCGATAGGAGGAAGACGAAAATAGACCGATCGCTCTGGAAATCAGCAACTGTATCACGACGGTCCTCCAGCTTGGTGGATCCATCAAGACGGCAGTACTTGTAATTCCTGTAAGTCAGGTACTCCTCCATCAAATCCATCATCCTAGTCATCTGGAAGTATAGCAACACACGATGATCATTTGCCTTCAACTCTTTCAATAGCGCATCAAGCTGAGCCAACTTGCCAGAGTCGGTAACGAAGCGTGACATTGACGGTGCTTCAATGTGAGTGAATCGTGTCCGCTCATTTGTGGGTGGTGGAAGTCTGTTGCTGACAGTTAAAGCAGTGCTCTCCTTCTTGGTTTCCAGCAGAGCATGCTCGGTCGCTTCCGAGACACCGTAGAGCGCGGAACGGATAGGAGCATTGAAGAAAAGGTTTCGTGTCTCTGCAATGACACCTTGACTAGCGCAGTACAGCTCAACTGGAGGCGCAGATGCCTTGGGCTTGGCACAGGGCTCGATGACATTTAAGCCTGTCTTTTCGAAGGCTGCTCGGGCAACATTGAAGAGGCCATGCATGTGTCCCTCGGCAGTGATTTCAGCCAAAGGTGCACGATCCTGGCGATCGACAATGTTGAACATCGAATGCTTTGGTTCCCATTCGCCGTTGTCGTTGTCGTAGAATACGTTGAAGCGGCCGACCTTGTTTGGCTTTTGCTCGGCAGCGAGAGCTCGTTGGAAGAGACCACTCTTGGCGACCCTTGAGGCTTCAGTAGCCGACAAGTCGGAAAAGCGGAGCCAGGAAAATGCTCCAGCTTCTCTGGCAGATTGGGCGATATTGTCTGGGCTCCATACGTTCATCAGGTTATCAAGGTAGCGTCCTTTGAAACCAGCCTTTTGGTTATCCGGTCCAGCAAGCTCCAATCGACCACCCTCACGGCCCACAAATCGTGGCAAAGGATACTCAATCAAGTTTCGTGTTGAGTATCCGACCCTGACATTCTGGCCTTCCCGTAGGAAAGATGCGGTCTCGGCGAAGGAGGCGAAAGAGAATGGTGACCAGGTATCGGCTCGCTCAAATAAATCAGGGTGATTGCACACCTTCCTGAACTGCATGACCAAGTTCATAAGAGTTGCACTATCCTGCTCGTCTCCAACTGCCTTCTCGACCAAATCCATAATGTTGATCTTCGCTCGAAGGTTGGCGTAGTAAGCACGCTGTCGATATGTCAAGTCGCAATAGACGTCCAGCTCGATCTTGTCTCCAAGCTCCTTTTGAACATGCTTCTTGACACGACGCAACATGAATGGTTTCAAGATCATGTGTAGTCGCCGCAGTTGATCCTCATTGAGCTTGGTATTACTCTGTGCGTGGCTCTCAATATCCTTGGAGAACCACTCACTAAACTCGTCGTGAGAGTCGAACAAGCTAGGCATGATGAAATGGAGAAGAGCCCAAAGTTCCTGCATGTTGTTCTGAATAGGTGTACCCGTCAGTAGCAACCGATTACGAGAATGGAAGCCGAGCAAACTCTTCCATCGGGAACTCTGAGACGATTTGATGGCTTGAGCCTCGTCAAGAATCATGTACTGCCAACGCATCTTCTGGAAGTATTGTGCATCCTGAACAACCAATTGGTATGACGAGACAACAACGTGGAAGGGCGAGTCGCGGGTGTATGTAACGTGCTTCCTGTCCCAGAGTTTACGGAGGATCTTTCGGTCCTTGGCGGTACCCCAGTACGGAATGACGTTCAGATCCGGGACGAACCTCGTGATTTCCTGTTGCCAGTTGTGTAGTGTCGATGCGGGGGCGATGACAAGGAAGGGTCCCCAGATGTTGTACCTCTCAGCGAGGTAGGCCATAACCGATATCGATTGGACTGTCTTTCCCAGACCCATTTCATCAGCAAGAATACCGTTGATACCCTGCTCGTACAAGTTGACCAGCCAGTTGAGACCCTTCAATTGGTACTCCTTGAGCGTACAGTTTAGAAGGCCTGGTTGCGGGATCCAGTCTTCCTTGTTCTGCAGACCAGAGGGGTTTTGGAAGTTCATCTCGCCATCCTCTTCATCGTCGCCAGACTTGTTGAAGGCGCGGGCACGGTCTTGCGCTTGTTGGATAGCATGTTGGGCGTTCGCCATGGCGGCCGCATTGAGTGCGCTCTCATCCTCGTTGTCGAAGTCGAGATCCTCAAAGTTGGTGACCTTGGCGCCTCCTTCTGCTGACATTTCGCCAACATCAATACTAGGTTTGGCTGAAGCCTGCGGATCAGCTGCAGCAGCGTCGGCGTCATCGGTGGAACGCTCAATCTCATCGGTCCTGGCTTTCTTGCCGATGAAATGAGAGTAGAGCTCAGTTTGTGAGATGAGGAAGTTCAACTTCCGCTTCTGTCGGTTTGCTTCACGATCAGCCTCAGCCTTCTTCGCGTTCTCCAACTCTTGACGCTCGGCGTTCTTTCGTGATTCACGCTCATCACGTTCGTTCCTCTTCCAGAAAGCAAGCATCTCGCGCATGCCTCGCTTGGCCCTAGCTTGCGTATCCTTCTGGTTCTTGTTGGTGCGCATCTGCCATCGGCGGGCCTCCTTAGCAGCCAGTTGAGCGGTCTTCCGGAGGTTCGACTGCTTCGTCGACAGCGAGTTCTCCTTGATGCGGACAACCTTGGGAACATCCTTGCGGGCCAGGTCTTTGACAATCTGGTGGTAAAGGTTGCGGTATACAGACGAGTCGTATGAAGTCAGAACGACGGGACCCAAATCTTCTGTGTAGCTGCGGCCGCGTAGGGAATCAAGGCGCGCCTCTTCGCGCGGTGCGATCATGGGAAGATCGTCTCCACGGTCTATAGCGGCTTGACCCGCTGCGGCAGCATCCTTCTCAGCCTGCTTTTGCTCTTTGCTCTTCTTAAGACGCCCGGTGCCGCGGTTGCCCTTGCGCTTTCCACCCGCGAGGTCATCAGAAGCCTGGAAGGAACTCATAGTGCCTCCCTCCATATTCGGTCCATGTGGAGTGACCTCACGGATGTCCTTGCTAGGGGCATTACCTTGCAGAAGCTGAGTGGTTGTCTTGGCCTTGCGCTCGGCCTTCTGTGCAGCGAGCAGGTGTCGTTCCTTCTCCTCCTCGTTCTCAGCCTGGCCTGCCTTTGCGAGGGCTTCAGCGCGCTTAGCCTCCTCATTCTGTATGGTCTTTTCTCGCCTTCGCTTGCGCTGCATATCCTTTTTGCGCTCTTTCTCTTCAGCAATCTCTTGGCTCTGAACCTGCTGCCATGCGTCGCCTTCGTGCTCGACGTTGTAAGAGTGCTTGGCATAGTCGCGGTGGGCAGCAGACACGTCCTGGTAACGTGTTAAGAAAGCAGTTCGTCGCTTCTTGCGCTTGTTGGCCTCCACGACTCCGACTTCTAGAACACGCTTTTGGCTCCTTTGCTTATAATCCTCGAGATCGCGTGGGGCGGCCGATTCGTCAATGTCACTCATTTGCTTGGTCTCGATATGTGCTAGGGCAGCCTCAATCTCGGCTTCGTCTGGCGCAGGTAACTCGCGAGTTGCAGACTGCAGTGGAGGTTGTAAGCTACCGACCGGCGGCATAGCGTCGAATCCTTGTGGGGCATAACCATTCTCTTGGTGAGGTAGGTCAACAGGCGCGGGAGACGCCATTGCTTCTTGCTTGACGAAGTGAGAAGCATGTACAGGTTTTGAAGTCTGATACGGGTCGGCAGCGACAGGGGGGAGTGGTTGTGGCTTGGGAGGAGGTTCGTTGTCAGCGCCAGAGGACATTATACTCGAGAGCGACATGGGGTCAGCACGCGTTTGCGTTGGTGGCGGTGCCTATTGTAGTGGTGAGCTAGAGTGGTGGAGCGTTCTGCGTCGCGAGTTCACTTACCTCTTCCTTGAAGGACGGCCTCCTGGCGTAGTCTGGCGGCGGCTGTACAGCGCCTCGGTTCATCGACTGATAGACCGAGGGCGACACGGGAGAGTGAGACATGGCCTCCATGCCGCCGACGTGCTGGTGTTGCGAATGGGGTCGCTGCAGCGGCGAGTGATGCGCGTAGGATGTCGTGACGGGCGACTGATAGACCTTCTCGTAGGGGGATTGTGCCGATCGAGTCTAAGGGAGGGTTGATGTTGTTAGCCGCGTGTCCCTGAATGTGGACGATGGCGATGATGAAGTAATATATATTGGGGGTAGGGGGGATGGTGGGAATATCATGATGAGAGACGCACCTGTGCAGGGTATTGAGTAGTGGTATCGTAACGCGCCGGGTCCCTGGCTACACCTCGCTCTCCATTGTCAGAAGTCGGGTCGTAGTATCGGGACGTGTCGCGAGAATAGAGGGCCGTGCTGATGGGCGGCAGCTCGGTGGTGTTGGGAGAGTGTTGTGGAGGGTGAGGGTGTTGATGAGGATGGTGCAGGTTTTGGTGGAGAGGCAAGGGCGCTGGTGTGTTTGGCGAATGGTGTTGGTATGGTTGGCCTGCTTGTGTCGGCGATCTGTGGTAAGCTGCTGGCGTAGGTTCCCCTTGGTGCCCTGGCGGCTTTCTTTCTCCTCGCGAATGCTCGTCCCCATCATCGACGGACCGCCGCAGGACCGGATCGCGAAACATGACGACAGCGCGTACGGGGGATTAGAGACGGCGGAATGGCTGCTCCATGGGCATCCAGCAGCAGGTACTGACTGTGGGGCGCGCAGGGAGCGCGGCGGCGACGGCAGAGGGAATGCGCCTTGAGCGTGTGCCGTCGGCGAGGGTCGTCGGACGACTGGCGATGTGTATGCGACGGCGACGATGAGATGGAAAAGGGAAGATGGGATGGGGGTTGGTGTGGAGCAGCTTGAGCGCCGTCTAGATCACACACGAACGGTTGGCAAGTCAGCGACTGCTTAGTGCGGCTGCGGCAACTATGTCCTGGAGCAGCTCCGGGCGTGATGCAGAGCCGCGATGAGGTTTGATGGAGAGGCTGCGACCAGCTACGAGCCGACCAAATTCTATCACGGGAGGCTGCGGAGCGCGATGATGAAGTTTGGCATGGCCGCATTACTCGTGGGGACCTTCATCGCGACTCTGCTCCGCTACTGGGCATGCCTCTTAACAAAGCACCTGAACCCCATCTCTCGTAGGAGCATACACGCCCAGATGGGGTGCATCGACCAATAATTTACCTGCATACAAACGGCGCCATGCAGCGTGCAGCCCCTTCTCGTTTGTGACTATCTGCACATGTGTTCTCTCTATTCCGATACACTTGTTGCTACAACATGCCCACGCCTAAGCTTTTCTTATTTCCAATCTCAGCACCTGCAACTCTTCTCTGCTCCGCGTGCCGGGTTGAGGCGTTGCCAGCTTCGGCTAATCTACCACGAGCCTCTGGACCACGGCGGACGTGCACGTCTCATTTCATCTGCATCCGAGTCCGATGAATTCTGTATACCATCTCATCTTCATCTCCTCTCTCATGCACGACACGATGCCAACAGCCAGACAGAAAATGAACAGGGCAGACTATTGGGGCTGCAACTTCCCATTGGATGAAGCCTCACCACGACGGTGACGGAAGGCGCGACCATGCCGCGAAGACTCCATTAGCTCTAGCTTCTTCGGTCGTAGCGCGGCCCGAGCGTAGATCGCGCTAAAACTCTGGGCGGTATCAATTCTCGAACTTTTTTGCAACGGCGCATCCACCCCGTCGAGCGCAGCAACAACCATCTGAAATCACCATGGCTTCCGTATACAAGACCCTGTCCGGCGCCGAGAAGGAGGAGAAGGAGACGGGCGAGAAGAGAAACAAGCAGCGTGTTCTTATCCTGGTACGAATTCACGCGCGGCGCAATCTGAGACCCTTGCTAATCAAAGGTAGAGTTCAAGAGGTGTTACCTTCCGACACCGACATCTGCTACAAGACTTGTACTCGTTGATGTAAGTAGTTTTACGCGCTGCAGAAGTTCGTTTACTGATCTTGCAAAAGGCCTCACAGCCGGAAAGAGGCCAAACTCGACACCAAGACCAAGCTCTACCAACTCAACGAGCTAGCAGAACTTTACAACTGCAACAATGTTCTCTTTTTCGAAGCCCGTAAGGGCAAGGATCTCTACATGTGGATGTCCAAGCCACCAAACGGTCCTACTGTAAAGATGCACATGCAAAACTTGCACACCATGGAAGAGCTCAACTTCATCGGCAACTGTCTCAAAGGATCGCGGCCAGTTCTTTCTTTTGATGCTGCATTCGACAAGCAAGCCCATCTGCGCGTCATCAAGGAGCTTTTTACCCAGATATTCGGCGTTCCCAAGACGAGCCGAAAAGTCAAGCCTTTCGTAGACCACGTGATGGGCTTCACAATCGCAGATGGCAAGATCTGGATTCGCGTGTTCCAGATCAATGAAAGTGAACCTGGAAAGAAGAAGCCTGTCGATGGCGAGGAGATGGATGTCGATGACCTGCCCAAGAAGAAGAAGGGCGGTGAATTCGACGTCAGCCTTGTCGAGATCGGTCCCCGTTTTGTGCTTACTCCCATCGTTATCCAGGAGTCCAGCTTCGGAGGACCTATCATCTACGAGAACAAGGAGTTCGTTTCGCCCAACCAGATCCGTTCCGACTTGAGGAAATCAAAGGCTGGCAGGTTCAACAAGAGAACCGATGCGCAGAGAGACACGCTGCTCAAGCACCAGGATCTAGGACTTACGTCGCATGGTGGACGCAGGAAGGAGAAGGATCCACTCAGCGACAATGTACTGTTCGCGTAAAACTGATGGAAACGTTTCGAGGGAAGGCAAAATTGGCGTTTATGGAATGCATCTTATATAGGTCGGCGTCGGTTTGTGGCTGGGCACGTGCCTGTATGTATAGCGATATACCCAAAAGCTATCGTCTAATGGGTAGCTCATTATTGAGCGACCGTTCACCCAAGTGTCATTGTCTTTTTAATGAAATCAGTGTCCGACGCATTAACCTACGCTAACCCATTCCTCTTTGCGCAGTCACGCTCTTCTCCAGGGCTTCTCTGTACTCGTCATTGACACCACTCACAACTGCGTTCCTGACTCCATATAACGACCTGAAAGGATCGAGCACTAGTTGTGTTTGCGCAAGATTATTCTCGTCTTGTACCCGATGCACCCGTCCACTGGAAAACCTCACGCGACTTATCGCGCCGTCTATGAGATGTACATGCAACCGATGCAACTGCGGCGCAACAGCCAACAGATCAACCAGCTCCTGTACCTTGCTCCGTATACCAGCCGGCAACCCCCTTCCACCACAATTGTATTTGATCATGCCCGTATAGTCATCCATAGATTCAACGTTAATGATATAATTCCTAATCCTGAGCAGATTTCTCTGCGAAAAGTGATCCAAGAACGGGTACGTCCGATTTGGCGTAAGATTATTCGCAGTGCGCCAGCGGTACCGAAAGTTAATCGCGTCGAACGTCACGTCAATCACGAATGTGTTATCTCCATATAGCATGTCCGCTGCTTCTTCATGCACTTGTTGCGACACGGCTAGTAGGCTGGTGCTTCCGCGTCGCCAGACAATGTCGTTGCCGGTTTGACGCTCCGTCTTTGGTAGCGTGCGTTGCATGCGCCAGCCCCTGTCGCCATTTTTCTGCCGCACGAAGGTCAGATTGAATTCGGATTTTGGGGGTGGATCGGCGAGACGCTGGAAACGCACTTCGAAGGTGGTGGTGTGGGGAAGGACGAGGTCGAAAATAAGGCGGCGGAGTTCGATTGGGAGGCGAAGGAGCGGGGATGGCTGCTGTGACGCGGTATCTGAATAGTGTTGCATTATGCGATCATTACCGTGCGGCATTGAACCTGCAATTGCAGACTGTGAAGCTATGTACACATCCGTGTGGTATACTTCCTGCTCGTTGACGCCATCGGTGCTCTCCCACCTCCACGCCGATTGGCCCCCACAGTCCGGGTTAGGCCCCCTTGGCGGCAACCATCACGTTGATAGTCGTCACGACCGATGACTCCTTTCCTTCCTCTTCAAACCACCAACGATGATACTCGCTTCCAGAGACAGCTCGTCGGAGCTTGCATTGACTTGCACCATGTCTTTCCAGAATGTTGTCGCGTTTTCTACCTATAGCCCCAACGGAGGGGTCCGATTTGTTTGAACTACGAGATACGTATTGGTGTAGAGGCAAGATAGCTGCGCACCGATTAGATCGATAGATCATATTAGAAGATTGAAGCCGAAGGATAGTGAAGAGGGGGAGAAATCGAGACACATTTCTCGCTCTATCACAAGAAAGAGCTCAGAACCCGGTCGGGTGGGCTGAAGACACACGTAAACCTGATAGTCCATAGGTGAGTTCCATTCGTATCGATGATACTATATGGCATAAATTACAGGGACTTGATGCTGATTGTGGAAACTCCAGAAATTGAAACACCCATTTACTCTACGACCACCCTCAAGATGTTGTTCGAAGACCTAGCCACAGAACTCGTCGTGCAGGTGTTCTTATCATGCCGTTCCGTCACCGACGTAACAGCTCTATCCTCCACTTGTCGTCGTTTCCGCAACATCTATTCTTCCTCCCAGAAACTCCCTATCCTCGAAAATGCCGCCGAAACGCAGTTCGGACCGCTCGAAGACCTCACCCAGCTCCTTACCCACAATGCCAGTCAGCCTGCGCACATCGTTCGCTCCGTTCCTTTCTCTCTAGCACTGCTTAAGCAGATTGTGCATCATGGGCGCGTGGCGGAGAAATGGTGCGATATATACCCGTTCAAGAAGTGGAAGCACAACTATGAGAGCCGCCGTCTCTTGACAACGGATGAGCGCTACCTAGTCAGAAGAGCCATATACAGAATATGGCTGTACTCACGCGCCTTCCACAACCGCGATCACCCTCGCGAATCCCGCGCAACAAGACTCGTTCTGCTCAAGCGCGCAGCACTCCTACACAACTGGAGTACCTGGGCACTAGCCGAAATCGCCGATGTCCATAGTGTCATACGAGAGGTCGTACAGAGCAACGTCTGTCCATCGAACGGCACCATTGCGAGAAAGTTCAAGAAGCGGCATCCTGGCAATGAGCATTCTTTGCTATTCAACATCCACCTCAACTATCCACCTACGGCCCCCCAAGCCTTTAATCCCTTTACACCGAACCCTCTCTCCACCTACTTCAATAACACACCAACCTATACCTCGCGCTACGCCGCATCGAAGTACTCTCTGCACCCATCCCACGAAGTCGGCGCTGAAGGCTGGGGCGACGATATCCCCCACTACTACGTTATCGAGGACTACATGAAACTCGATCCCGCTCAGATACTATACTTGAAGGAGCATGCGCCGCTAAAGGGCATGGTGGAGAGTTACGTGAGGAGCTTGTGTCCGGATTATGATTGGTTTACCAACAACGGGGAGACGTGGGTGCAGACGTTGGAGTTTGTGCTCGATGAGCGTGGAGAGGATGTTGGGGACTTTATGGGTGCTATATCGGATGGGGTAGCGGGTGTTGCTGTGAATGACGTGTGAAGCTGAGACTTGTGGTACATGGTCGTTGAACATGCGGTATATTCAACTACTCCATATACTTGTACAACACTGCTTAGAGTGATTAGCATACGAGAGTGCGCAGAAACCTATTCAGAAGCAGAGTCCGATGTTAGCATTGATCTTGATTGTATCCCACAATGCGAAGAAAATCTAATCACGATTTCACAATCTCATCCTTCCAGCCCCTGTTTACACGAAACTGCTATCGCTTTCGACTGAACAACCTGCCGATCTTAGCAGATCTCGACTCCCTTGGCTTCTCCAATGATTCTGTTGGTGACGATGACCCTAGTAGCACTTTGGGTGCTCTCGAGATTGTCTCGTTCGGAGACTCTTCGAGTTTTGGTAGTTCTTCGGCTTGGAAAACTACTGGTATTTCCTGATTTTTGGGTTGCTCTCCAGTTTCCAGAGTTCCTGTAAAGTACTTCCCCGCCAAGAAGACATTGTCGTTGAGTTGCAATTCAACGGTCGACTGGGGTTGCACGTTCTGCGCCCAATATTGTGGTGGAATATAGCGTCCATCATCCCCTCTCAACAAAAAATCACCCTTTTCAAATACTTCAGCCAAAGAAGTTTGCATTCCATCATCATAACCACCAGATATGAAGATTGGAGGACCACACAATGACAAGAAAAAGGATTTCGCATCCTAGCTTTGTAAGCGAAAGTTACCAGCAATGAGAGGATTGAACTTACATCCCAATCTCGTACTGAGTCGTACGGAACTCGATAGGTTCTGCCGTCGAGGTCCTTCAAGGCCACTAGGTCGCTGGCACTAGATACGCTTGATACGGGTACACCAACTGATATGGATTCACGATCATTCCTGGGTATCACATCAATGCCGTCCTCCGTAGTTTTTATCATGACGTTCTGAGCCATATCGCTAGGCATTCTCAGTACGCCGTGTTTCGTCTTCATAAAGAAGCCAGTAGACTCTGCTTCAGAATCCTTTGGAAGCTCATCAGGCTGAAGACGGGGGCCTACCGACGGGCCATGCGATGACGTTTCAGACGCACCGCAAAGAATGTCTTCGGCATACAGGAGCACCTTGCGCGATACGACCCGAAGGTCTTCCCACACTTCCTGCTCTGCACTTTCAGGCTGTTGGTACAGTGTCTGGTCTATCGCATTGTAGATCTTTTCGTCGATCTCGTCGATCTCGTCTGTATCTGGGTTTTCAAAACCTTCGATTGGCTCATCTTCCTGGAAGGTAGGACGTATTAGCGCTTGAGATAGTCCGATATGATGTGTCGTATTGCTGGAATCATCATCTGCATGATTGGTCTCCGCACCCGAATCGGAAGTTTGCGGACTAAGCCTGGCTTGAAAGGTGATTCGCCGAGAGGTATGGTATTCCAGAGGTGCTTTTGACAAAATAGAAGCACCATTCATGATAGCAGCTCTCGTATCTGGTGGTGGGGTCACCTGTACTATGGGTTGTAGGAAGCCGCCAAGTGCTAGTCGCCTGGGATCATTGAGTGACCTACGAACATCATTAATACACTGCACTAAATTCTCTTCGATGCTAGCAACATTATTAGTATTGTATACAGATTTGCATTGGATTCACTTACTACCAGGTGGTCGGACTGCTGGGCTTCGCTTTGAACTTGATTGTAGCAAGGGCCGCGTTCAGCGTCACTGTAAGGGCTTGCAATGACCCACGATACCGCAACAATTTCTCCTGGGCAGAAAACACCCATCGAATCCGAAGCGCAATCTGGCTTATTTTTGCTGGGCTATCACGATAGAATACCAACAATGGATTCAGTTTGGCCTGTAACTGGTTTGTAGGCTCTAACAAGGACTTGCAAACGTTCAGAATCTCCATCGTCAGATGCTCTGCGCGAGACCAAGAGTGCTTTGGATCTTTTTCCAGTTCCTCTCGGACAGTTTCCAGTAGTTCTGAGAAGATTCGAATTTCTGTTGCATACATACGGACTGATCCTCCGGCGGAGCCAAGACCGTCCGCGAGTGTATTAAGCCCCTTGGCGATGTGGAATCCGGATCCGATCACGGTCAAGGCACTGGCGATGACGCTGAGAGGATCAGCCATCTTAGGTAAGTTGTTGGAAGGCGGCCGTGGGGAGAAATTGCAGTCCAGTAGACGAGGCTGAGAAATGTGTGAAGTGAGCAAAATGGATTAAACCGTCGCCTGTGCATCCCCTAATATATATACCTTGCGACGCATAGCTATAAGGCTACCAGCTTCTGGCAAGGCATTCTAGCTATGGCGTTGCTATCATGGCAATGAGGCTATGCTAACGTGGCTGCTATACACCCACGTAGATTGCCACCTGGGCTTGCACACTCTTACCTGCGATTAAGTTTTGGGGACGGAACACGTGTAGTCTCAAAACCTAGAGCGACACGTTCTCTAGATAGAATAAGACAAAAGGTTGATCTTTGCAGCAACTGCGCTACTATTCGGGCCTTAGCAATTTCAACCTTCCTAATTCCGTGTGGCTCAAGCAAGCATTGGGAACCTTGCCAAGTCAGCTGAGGCGCTCTTATACGAACGCGACGTGTCGCAACTCCACAGGAGTCCTCAAGTCTTATTTCGGGAAAGTCATGTTGTTGCTGATATCTCGGTTCTCCAAAAGTCTTGCATGTACCAGAGGTGGCTATAATCCGTGTCACGTTTCTTCCATCAAGAATCATCCTGTTAGGTGGCGTCAAAGGCGACGCGAGTTATTACCACCGCTAGTACATGAGAAAGTGCGAATGACGTCAGACACGGTCAAGCCTTCTCGGGCACCAGAGGAAACCATGTCCGCACCATGCAGTACCTGCCACCACTTCGCAGACGGCCATGAAACCAGTGTACCGACCGCGGACTTCCTTGCTTCCGCCCGCAGTTGTCATGGATGCTCTATCATTCTGAAGGCTCTTGATGCTGTTACCGATATCCGACGACCAGAATTCAAAACTATCAAGATCAGGCGCAAAGAGGCGGAGGACCATTGGCACTTTTTGGACCCCAAGAATGTATTGCATGTAAAATGCGAGCAGGTGGGTAAGCCACGTGAGGGTAGGTCGTTGTTCGGTCAGCAGTATGTAGACTCGAGGCCGAACGATTATCAAATTTATACTCCGATTGGTGAGTACTTCCCACTAGTGAAATTCCTCTCAATTGGCCCAAGCAAGCTCTAAGCGTACGGTGTTGATATGGGAGTACAAGGCTAAAGACCAAACAGATGCGGAGGAAGACTCTGCCATTCCATGGCTCGGTCTGCGGAATGGTCCAAAGGATACGTACCGAGAACAGTCGAATAACCTTGAAGATCGCTTGAATGAAGCGCGCATCTGGTTCGAGGATTGCAAGGCCAACCATCAATGTTGTGTACCGCGCAAAGACGGATGGCCACGCCGCGTCCTTGACCTCGCGACTGACTCTCTTCAGCTTTTGAACAGTGCGTCAATCGAATCAACATCATCGCAACGACAGGAAGGTTACGCATGTCTCAGTTATGCATGGGGCACGACCGGGAACCTCAAAACGCTAACAAATAACTTACGATCCCACATGCAGGGTATCGATATCTCCACGCTCCCTCGTACCCTGGTCGATGCTGTTCACGTCTCCCGAGCTTTCGGCTTACGGTATCTATGGGTAAAGCTACAGACTTCCCGGGATACACACAGAACAGAAACTGACTTCTTACCATAGATCGATGCGCTATGCATCATCCAGGATGATTTGCAAGATTGGACGGACCAGATTCCACGCATGTCATCTATCTACCAAGGAGCCGAACTCGTCATCTCAGCGCAAGGTGCGTCTAACGTCCATGAAGGGTTTCTCTCTCTAGGTGCAGCTGCGAATGCGCCCCTCAAACGTATCGAGGTACCCTTCCGCATGCCAGACGGAACTTCTCGCACAGTTAAACTCTCGATTCGCGAGCAAGAGAAGAGATATCATGACGTTCCAGCGCACCATTCGTCTCGGCCCATGGTGGATGACGATGTTGACATCGATGATGTTCTCGTTCCTCTCACTACTCGCGCATGGGTCTTCCAAGAGAGTTTTCTCGCGCGCAGGATTTTGTATGCTACGCCATCTGAACTCGCTTGGGAATGTAGCAATCACAAAGGGTGTGAGTGTTGCATTCCTACAAGCGAAGACGCCACTCTTACGGCTATAAAAGTCGAGGATTACGGATCCATACGAACCCTGGGTCAGATACTTCGTGCAGAAAGTCTTGGGTCGGCCGATCAACCGCTCTCCAACAAAGAGAAACTATGGGCTGATGTAGTGCGCAAATACTCAGATAAGAAGCTGACCAGGTGGACAGATCGCTTGGCCGCGATACAGGGTGTAGTGGAAGGCTTGGCCCAAACCATGCCAGACAAGTTTAAGACTGAAGACTACCTATTTGGACTTTGGAGGCCAAAATTGGAAAACTATATGCTTTGGAACCGACACCCAAGAACTCCAGGAGATTCTACGATAGCTGCGACATTGAGAGAAATTGCACCATCGTGGTCCTGGGTGACAAGTGTTGGAGGGGTGGGGTACTATGATTCCGTTTTCGAGCCCGATGCTCAAACATACACACAAGTCATACGCGTCAAGCGGGAGGAGTCCGACACTTCTGAGTCCAGCGTGTTTGGGGCGGGCCGCTGTACATTGACGCTTTTCGGCTTTTGTATCCCGGTGCAGCAAGAACCGTTGTCTCTAAAACTCCGACAGGAATGTCCCATGGATGAGGACGATTTGGAAGTGCCCTTCCTCTTTCCAGAACGTTATGCAGCGGAGTGGAACTATGGTCCTGCAGTCATCGACATGATCCCGGACGATCCGACCGATAAAACTGTATTTGGCCGCGCTACACATTTTGCGCCCCTGGTCAGTGGTCAGAGAGATAGTGACAACCCGAAGCAGCAGTTTCAAGGACTGTTTCTGGAGATGGTAGCAGGCCCAGAAGAGGAGGAAGAACCATATGAGTGGAGTTTTCAAGGCGACACTCACACGATCAAATTTGAGGGCACCTTTAGAAGAGTTGGGTTTGGCTACGACTATGTCTCACAAGTACATCTTCACTGGGATAGTACGGAAGACTACGTTGGTAAGGTTCGTGCGTTCAAACTTGTATGAAGATGGTGTGAGCCAATTGAACGACCACGGTATGAGATGGAGCAATAGGCTGGAGAGTACACCGCAGTCTACTGGAACAGATCCCATTCGACCTATGCTCTCAAGCTCCCCCACATATTTGCTATAATAGAAGTCAAGCAGTCCTACCCCCCAAATAGATGATGCAGTCCATCATCCTGTCCCTCATCAGTCTGCTCGGTGACCCGACTGCCCCCATCTTCTTCGTCGGACATCTCTACATGTTCGCATCGCTAATCATTGCTGAAAATTTCCCTAACAACCATAGAATCCTTCACAGATTCTACTGCAATAGCAGGCGGCGTACCCGACTTCCGGTCCTGCTCTACAGTGGGCACAATGTTTTTCAAGAAGTCGTTTTGCCTCGCCTTCTTGATTGGTCGCGAGAAAGGCGGAGTCGAGAATGATGAAAGTTCCTCCCCAGCATCAGGGAAAGAGTTCTTCCGTTTTGAAACTCGTGAAGCTGAAGACGTAGGCAACTTTGGCGTCTGCATGGGAGGCGGCGGCAGTTCTGATTTGTCTCCAACATTGGCAGTATGCTCAATCTTCTCAGCAAGCGGTTCAACGAGCATAGCTGTCGTCCTCGCTTCCACCACTTCCGTATATCCGTCAATCTTCTCATCCCTAACATCCGCGATGCTCTCATCGACTACGACCGACTTGCACTTCTCGTGAGCGGCGAGTTGTGCGCGTTCGATTGCTGCGATGTCGGCGAAGAACGCTGCTTCCTTCTGTGCCTTGCTAAGCGCAGGCTCAGGTTCGGATGTCTCTTCCTGGGCTACTTCAGTTTCGGCACGAGTGTACTTTTCTCTCTCTTCTTGCTCCGCTTGTGCGATGCTAGCGAGTAGAGCTCGATCTCCCCTGGTCATGCGTCGTGACTTTAGTTTCGTAGCAAATTTGCGCTTCTTGACCACTTCTTCTTCGCTACAATTATTGTCAGAGTCGGAAATGCGCCTAGCTGGGCGACGCGTAGCCTTCGTTGCTCGCCTAGTAGCAGCAGTCTCGTCATCTTCTTCAGCGTCGGTAACGGTTACGAAACTTTTCAACTTTTGCGAGAACTTGGACTTGGTCGCGCGTTCTCGTCGAACCTGCTTCCTGGCCCGAGCCTCCTGAGCTTGCTGCTTTTCAACCGTGGATGGCTTAAAGCGGTCCAATGGCTCAGCGCAGATCCTGGCAATCTCGGTCATGCCCCTACGCTCCTTGTTTCGAGCTACCTTCTCCCGAGCAATCTGCTTGGGGGTCTTCTTCTTCCCTCTAGAAGGGCTTGAGTCCGAAGCTGAGTCTGGCTTGTCACTGCCTTCTAGGTTATTGTTGTTGCGAGCCTTTGCGGTGCCACAGCATTGACGTGACCGCTGAGCCTCCAGTTGGGTCTTCTCAGCGAGCTCTTTACGCCGTTCGCCTGCACCAAGCTTCATGCGAAGAGCCTCTTTAGTCTTGGCCAGCTGACTATGCTTGTTACGAAAGAGCTGGGAGTACATGTTGTGTACTTCTCGTAGGAGAATGCTGTGAGTAGGCAGTCGTCGTGGCTCCTTGAATTTGCGTTGCCGATCTTGACCAGTCAACCATTCATTCTCCTCCTTGTTGAATTTGTTGATAATCTCAGTGGCCATCTCTATCGCCATTTTTTCGACATTGACATCTTTCCGGCGGTAGTGCCCTGTCGCTTGGGCCGTTTGAAACGTTTCTTCGCAGTCAGCGATTCTGGCGATGAAGGAACCATTGCGGTTACAAGGATCATCAGGATCCCAGTAGATGACAAAGTTCTTGTGATCGCACAAGGAGACCTCAGACTGATTTGTCTGGTGATTGCGCCTGCTCATGGAAAGAAGAGCAGGAAGTTGGCTGGTGTCTATAATTCCAAGTGGCTGATGCGAAATGTGAGGGTTCTCTAGTTGATACTGGTTACCATATCCTGAGGCCTCCGAAGCACGATTCATTTTCAGCGAACCACATGCACCGACCGGCGCTCCTAAATGCGGTGTATCTGCTCGTGCATATGGTCTCTCCTTCTTGGTTTTATCTCCTTTCTTCTTCTCCTGTGTCACAACATCGTGGGTACCTCTAGCCTGCGCCATGATATCTCCAAACGAAACCCTCGTAGACTGTTTGCGGACGATGGGCTTCTCATCCCCCGACTGAGATTCAAAGGCAAGTTCGGTAACGTTTCTCATGCCAGTAGCGTAGAAGGCATGACCAGTACCTTTGCTCTTTTTGAAAGCAGCTTTGATAGCGTTGGGGCCGGAAGATCGGACGTATTCAGAACATGATTCTGTCACGATTTCAGGCATACTCGCAGAAAAATAGCGTGTTATGGAAGGCAGGTGTTTTTGTATGTAACACGAAGCTGGGTTTGAAAACAAGAAAGAGTTATATCTTGTTCAGGCTGAGTTCTGCTGCATTGTGTACGGGACTGTTATAAAAGCAACTGGAGCTGTGAAGGCTTAGGCAATAAGGGAAGGGTACGTGGAAGTGAACGTGTGTATATATGAGCAAAGATCGAAGCGTCCGGAGACAATGCCATTGTAGAGATTAGAGGCCCTGACCTAACGTGAATCAATTTCACTTTCACTTCCCAAAGTTGCGTTCCCAGAGAGTTCAGTCGAAAGTATGTAGCAATGTCATTTTTAACGATGAGGAAGTCGCTCGAGCAATCTAACAAAGACAAAGCAGTGATAAGTATACCCAGTAGCTGTAGGAGGTTTGCGCAGAGTGCTGTGGTTTTGGCGTAGAGAATGTAGGGTTGATACGAGCAGGAGCAGGCGTGTCAATCGGAAAGAGAAATTTAAGAAGATGTCATTTCGGCAATGCTAGGGAAAAAAAAGGTGGGTCCGCAGGTAGCTGAGACTAAGCTTCCACACCCTGTCTAGCCTTCAGGTACTCCGTCAGGTACTGCTTCCGGTATGGGTTCTCGTCTGTCTCGTTCCCCCTGTTAAGTGGCGTCCACTTTGGATCTTCCTTGAACAACCGCATAGCCTTTATGTACTAGAACAGAATGTCAATACTCTTCTTTGTTTCAATTCTTCCGGTATACATACGTTTTGCTCATCAGTGGTAAATCGATGGTAAATCCCCGGCGGCAAAACAATCAAATCGCCTTTCTCAAGCCGAATTCGCACCCAGTCGTCGCCCTCGCTCCTAACATCAAAATAACCCGCACCATCCAGAATGTACCGGATCTCTTCATCCTCATGCAGATGCTCGTGGAAGAACGACTTCACCTTCTCTTCGTAGATGTCGCCCATCTTCTCTGGGCTGACGGTGATTTCATCCCGGTTCTTGTAGCTGCGGGATGTAGCAATCGGCTCGACGCCGGAGACTTCCGGGACGCTGTGGTAGATGACACCGAGCTTTTGCAGATAGTCTGGGTCGACTGAGCGACCAGAGTCATGGGGCTGGCGTTGGTCGCCCTACAGAAGTTAAGTCATGTGCCGAATGCGGAGACAAGAATTTGGAGGCTTACTGGGAGGTTGTCGAACCAGTATGCCTTCATTTTGCAGTTGGTGGTTTCTTTCGGGATGTGTATCTCACGAATCAAATGTTACTGTAGCGCGTTGTGGAGGATGACTTTGCCGTTGGGTATGAGGGAAATAATTTGAGATGCCCAAAAGCACGTGGCGAATGGCGTCATCGCGATTACCCAGCTGGGATAAGCTAGCTAACGGCTTGAACGCAACATTCACACAGCCATCATCTACGGTGTGGGGATGTACCATCAGCTGTCAGCTTTCAAGCTATACCAGCAGTGCTGATTGTTTTCCGCGCAGTCGTCCTTTGAGTGCTGCCGCAGCTTTCATGTAGTAAGAGAAGCGAGGCACAACACTATACATAGTTTCGCCGCGATCCAACACTACGCCAGGCAGACATATTGAGACTACCTTAGGTAATCGCCCGACTGACTCGGCCGGAGATGCCCTATGATGTTTTGATTCTTCTGTGCTATCCGAATATGCGCAAGACCGTTCAAACGCAGTCCTTTCTTAGTAGGGTATTTGTTTGTATGTTGGGTATCCTCAGCGCTCGATGACCGTGAGGCTATGTGACCAGATCATGTGCAATAAAGCAAGAATCTACAACACATCGACTTGTATATACAAGCCTTGTTTTCCGATCATATTCTCGCTTCATCTAAGCTCGGAGCATCTCACAGCAATCCAGCTTCGCTGACACCTCAGCCAGTATGACACAGGGAGTCGATCAGTCCCAGTCTTCGTCCTCATCGTCTTGCTGCTTAGCGCTGATTTTCTGCAGCCTCCGTCTCTCATCCTCTTCATTGACCTTGTTCCTAGCAAGAACATTCGCACGGATTAGCCGCACCTCCAGATCGCGAGTAGTGAAGCTTTGTTCAGTGTGGCCAAGCCCCTCAAATCCGATGATGCGGTCAGCTCCCACACCGTCGATGAAAGCAATGACGCATGGTAGAACTTGGATCCCTAAGCGGGTGACTAGGAAAGGGCAATTCTCCACATTGATCTTGAGGAAGCGGGCCTCGTAGTGCGATAACGCAAGGGACTGTTGCAGTTTCAGAAGTTGTCTTTTCTAGCAGTGTTTGTTCTTACCTCGAGATGTGTGTCCATGATCCGACAGCGGTTGAAGTCTGGCTTGAAAAAGTGGACGACACATAATTGGGTGCTTGTCGTGATGTCCATCAACGCCTTCTCGTCCTTGATCTCTGTATACCTTCCATGCTCACTCTCTTTCAAGCGCCGTGCCTTGTCGTACTCTTGATGTAATTGCTGAAGTCGTTGTTCACGGAAAGCATCAAGTTCTTCGTCGTCTTCCAGAGATGCAATGAGCGCATCTTCGTCTGAGTCGTCCTCGCGCGCTGCACGGTCGACGAGTGAAGCGACTTTGGGATCCAAGGCGGCCATTTTTTTTTTGAGTTGGTCTGGGGTCGCTTGTCGAGGATCAGGGGAAAGACTACAAGGCTCGATAAGGAGAAGTCACGTGGCGATAGGCTGGCGGAGTGAAGAACACACCTTTACACAAGCTCTCCCAGTAGGGGTGCGTGAACTGTTTCGATCGTATAGAAAACACGCTATGCGCTGTAGTTGGGACTAGAAGTGAAAAATAGAACAAATCTCGTAAAGGCTGCAGGGTGGTGCTGACAAGAAGTTCCTCGTGTTCAAAGGCGGCCTAGTGGCCCATGAAATTACCACTACCACAGCAGAGCGACTCCAAGCCAGGGGAGAAGCATCGCTGAGACCCACCCAATTCGCGTCCTGGCGCATCTCTCTTGCGACGCCCGTCTCCTTCCTCCTGGTCCCACACTCCTGTCTTTTCTTCTTCTTTCGACTACAACCCCTCCTTTGAAGTCGTACACAGGCCGCCACATACCTGTCCTTTCCTCCGGACCTTCCCGTCGCTGCCGTATACCACAACTCTACACACACGAGCGTGCACACATTGCCCTCTCCATCACCATGTCCGACGACAAGAAGAGCGACGACTACAGGGTCGACATGCCTTCGGGCAAGGACTTCCGCGCAGCATCGCCGCTGCCCCGATCATCCAGTTCTAGCCGCGCCGGGGGTCCATCAATAACGGAGAACCCAGTTGCTGCTGTCCTGGCATACTGTGGATCTTCCATTATGATGACAGTTACGAACAAATACGTCCTGTCTGGCGTCGACTTCAACCTTAACTTTTTCCTACTCTGCGTGCAGGTATGATTATACCCTTATGTAGTAGGTCGCTCTTCTAACTCATTGCAGTCTGTTGTATGTGTGGCAGCAATCTCGATTTGTAAAGCCGCTGGTATCATCAACTACCGCGACTTCAACAGCGATGAAGCGAAGAAATGTACGTCCGACACACTTGAGAAGATGTAGGAGAATGCTAATTGCGTCAGGGTTCCCCATCTCCCTCCTCCTCATCGGCATGATCTACACCAGTACCTGGGCGCTCAAGTACCTCTCGATTCCCGTCTACACCATTTTCAAGAACTTGACGATTATCCTAATCGCATACGGAGAGGTTCTCTGGTTCGGTGGTGCAGTTACACCCATGGCGCTCTTCTCTTTCGGATTGATGGTTCTAAGTTCCGTTATCGCGGCTTGGGCAGACATTCAGCACGCTTTGTCGAGCATGGGTCACGCTGCAGAGAAGACAACTGAGGCCATGTCGACCCTGCACGCCGGATACCTCTGGATGATGTTCAACTGCTTTTGCTCCGCTACCTACGTTCTGTGCATGCGCAAGCGCATCAAGCTCACCAACTTCAAGGATTTCGATAGTAGGTTTATCAAGCCACGAGGGGTAAAGACGTTTGCTAATCTGAACCAGCCATGTACTACAACAACCTCCTCACCATCCCGATCCTGCTCGTTGCCTCTATCCTGGTCGAAGACTGGTCCTCGGCCAACATCCAAAAGAACTTCCCCGTCGAACAGCGCAACACTGTCATTATGGTCATGATCATCTCTGGTCTTTCCACCGTCTTCATCTCATACACCTCTGCCTGGGCGGTCCGTGTTACCTCATCGACAACCTACTCCATGGTCGGCGCCCTGAACAAGTTGCCCATTGCGCTCAGCGGTCTGGTATTCTTCGATGCGCCCGTCACCTTCGGCAGTTGTTCTGCTATCTTTGTTGGATTCGTCAGTGGTCTCGTCTATGCTTTGGCTAAGGTCCGACAAAACAGCAAGCCTAAGACCATTCTCCCTACTACCAACATCCCGCTCAGTGCTAGCAGCCGCAGCATGCAGGACAGCCTGAAGTCATAGGGGAGGTCGTGTGGCAAGAATTTTTGACAACAGGCATGAAAGCAAATGACTCTCGTTCCTGTATTTCCACGGCATTTTTGCGTTGTATTGCATACGAACGAATGTCTTTTTTTCATTTCGCATTGGCCAATAGGGAAGCTTCATTTCTCAAGGTCTCTTCTTTGTACCTCGCATGCCTTGGAGCATCTTAACCTACAATATTCAGAATCTTAGATCGAGCTTGGCGTTCCGGATCGAAGCAGCGCAACATGGACCCTGCGGTCTGGGGCGGTGGAGTAAAGTGGAGCGATCGGATGTATTAGCACTTTGTGCAACTACCATTATATTTTCGAACTGTCTTTCACATTGTGTCCTATTTTGCAAATCCCAAACTACCTCTTCTCACAATCTCACAATCTAACAAACCCATGTCTTCTTAATTTACTTACGAACGTATTTCCCACGTCCTCCTCTCCCTCTCCCACGCCTTGACCCCCCTCATCCCTCCCTCCCCACCACCACCACCTCTCCACCCAATCTCAATCTTCACATTCAACTCCTCCCTCTCATTAAGAACAAACCGCCCTTGCTCCATGATCTGACTCAAGCGAAACAGTCCTGGTTCCTGCCACGCACCCCTCATCTTCACATATGCCCTAACCTCGCCATGATGCATCTCCGGAACAAGTTGTTTAACAACATCACGGAACTGCATATCCCCCGCTACAGCAGCATGTAGTGTTTCGTTGCTATGTAGGGATCTGATCCTCACGCACATACGCGTGAGAGTGGATGGCAGGATGAGGATGTCGTCCCTGCCAACGTCTTCTGCTGTGAGGCGGGAGACTTTAGCATGCAGGAGACGGAATCCGGAGGCGAGGTCTAGAGTGGAGTTGTCATTGTGTTTCCGGCTTGTACCCGTGTGCAGGCGGGAGGGGAGAGGGCTTGGAGATGGTGGCGACGGTGGGGACATGTAGTATGCTTCGTCTGGAGTGTCTTGTTCCGAGGAGCTGGATTCTATGTCTGAGTACGGCGAATGGCGCTTAGATTCGTGGCGGTGCCGGGATCGGCGGGTATGGTGAGGTGGAAGACGAGGATTCGGCCAGTGACGATGTTGGCGAAGCGGTTCGTGGGCATGTGAGGAGTGAAGGTAGGGCATTGAGCCTGGGACTATGTAATTTGGGTAGGAGAACGTGGTGGGGATTGGGAGACGGCGGAAGGGGTCGCCGTTGAACGGGGAGGATGAGAACATAGTGAAGACGGATATATGATAAACGCTAGGCTGATGGATCGTAATCTTGTAAAGAGACTAGAAAGGTTCGAAGATGAAGGAGCAAGCTGATATGGATACTATCTGGTCGGCTTACAAGGTATTCAACTTCGCATCATGTCTGCGGTTTGAGGGACGGGAGGATACATCTGGTGTTACCAAACTTGGAATCCAAGTACTCGTGATTGTTGTGCAAGCCGAATCCGCAAACACACGTCGTGTGTGCCTGATCGCCAACTCGAAACACGTGCATACAGGCCGCGCATGTCTGAGCTTTGCGCTTCGGTTTCCGTCCTTCCGTGCAGGTGGCTGTGTGGTTTGCGCGAAAGTATCTTGTACGCGTATCGCACACAGGTCGAGCGGGGAACGTGATAAACCTCTCTTGCCGCTTAGTGACATTGATTGAGTGTTACTACATACCACAAAGGACAAATGAAATCCATAACCCTCAACACCGAGCCTCTCACGCCTGATTAAAGAAAGTTAACACCGTATCATGACGTCCAGCCCTTCGGCAGGAAAAAAATGAGCTGTCCTCATCAATGAGACAGCTAGAGATAGAAAAGTCAGACAAAGAGCGTGCCTATCCGTACATATGTCAGACGATTGACCGCTTCTTCAGCCGAAATTCGTTTCCGAAGCGGTCAATTTTGCCGTGGGTGAGGGCGCGTGCGCTTGCTGGCAAGAGAACCAGACACCTATGCCTCAACAGCCTTTGCCGCACCGCCCTTCTTCTTTTGCTCTACTTTGAGTAGCAGTGCGCGGTTGATGTGTGGTAGAACACCTCCGAAAGCGATGGTAGCTCGGATAAGAGTGTCCAATTCTTCGTCACCTCGGATGGCAAGCTGTAGATGGCGTGGCGTGATGCGCTTGACCTTCAGATCCTTGGCGGCGTTGCCTGCGAGCTCGAGAACTTCGGCGGTCAGGTATTCGAGCACAGCGGTCAAATAAATGCTGGCTTTGGCCCCGATGCGCGTCTTTTGTCGCGTAAGGTTTCGTAGATGGCGCTTTATGCGACCGCAGGGGAACTACAACGACGAGGTGAATTAGCGCGTCGTTCTTCAGTGCGGCGTGCGAAGGCATGCGCGGGGTGAGGTTGGGCGATGACGCGTATCGGGCAGCTACTCACTTGAAGACCGGCTTTGGCGGAGTGCGACTTGGGAGTCTTGACTTGCGCATCGCCTTTCCCTCCTGTCTTGCCACCTGTCTTTCCTGCGCATCCTGTTAGCTCTCGAGGCCTTTCGGAGCGCGACGCAGGGTCAGCGCGTACCTTTTCCACCGCCAGCCATGTCTGATGATTTATTTGGTGTAAATGTCGGTGTCGATGGTATTAGTAGAGGTGCGCGACCGTGATTCCCGGGTTTACAGGCGGATTCGAAGTGGTGATGTTTGGCGGCAGGTGGGGTTGAACGTGGTAAAGTCCTGCTGGGAAGAGGTTCCAATGTTGTGACAAGGTTGTAGCGTCCGACGCCTATGTACTAATCGGGAAGGCTCCACTTGGCATGTTGGACGTAAGGCACCAGCCCCGTCTTCAACCTTGATACGGCGTGTAAAAGAATCGTTCGGGTTACTGTAAGATGCAAGTTAATCTGATTCGATAGATAAATAGTGTTCCAAATTCTTTTTTGTGGATTGTAGCGCGACATGGTGGCCGGTGCAGGTGTGCGAAGTGTGATTTTGCCATGACCAGGCTAGGAAGATGACGAGAATAGACTGAAAGAACGTAGTTGAAGGGACTGGAGCGTAGATTCAGACAGAAGAAACGATGAAATGTGAAAACAATACCACTTTTGGCCGACTAGTGAATAAGCGTTTACTAAGGCAGGAAAGCAGCTCTCAGCTTGCCATGTTCCATATTGGATAACACGTGTGGCTACTACAGGCATAATAGTGGCTACAGGAATAATAGGAACTGTTGTACTCGTTAGCAATGTGTCTAAAAGACTGACAGAGAACTGGGAAGCACAGCGTCACCCAGGACAGCAGTAGTTCGCTGGCGCTCTGTGATGGTTACAGAAGAATCTGACTGGAGGGCACAGCTTTTGACTGTAATTATCGACAAGACAAGCTACCAGGTGGAAAAGGCTTATTGAAGTGGTAGCAAGTCATCATTGCTCCTAGGGTTTGTATGCAGTGACGTAACATGAGTGGACAAGGGGAGGGTCATAATTGGAAGAACATGATAAGATGTCAACTTACAGTAGAGAGCCTGTAGAAGAGCTTTCTGCTCACTTTGTTCCCTGTCAGTACTGATGATATGTTGGATAAGATTGCAAGCCCTTGATGGTATGCTTTGGCGATTCCATGAGGATAGTTCGGCTAACCTTGCTTCGGGGTTACCATTTCAGCGATGATACGAGGATATGGTGGGTGAGAGCAGTATACTCGGGAAGTTTTCAAGCTTCTACCACCAAAGTCGTGGTGGTAACACAGTGACGAGCAGCTCGCTCGCTCCTCCCGCAACCTGTGGTGATAGGGTCCGTGCGCCAGGGTCCCGCTTCGGCGCTACGACTGCATGGCTTCCTCCCCTGTGCGACGACATATGTGGATGCTGCCGCAGCCCTAACAAGACCTGCTATTGCGCGTGCGCATAATCCTCACAGCCCGTCTCTTTACAGCCTCAACCACTGTCCGCGCCTCTTCATCTATCCCGTGTCCCAGGGTCCGAGCTCTGGAGCCAGATTCCGACACGTCGACCGCGCTGTTGCCGACCCCCCGACGCCGCATGCCAACCCTCAGTGAACATTCACTAAGAACCGAGATCGCCGCGACGAGACCCTAGCATACGTCTGTCATGGCCTGGCAGTCGCCTTCGGCCATGAATGGCGGCGGTGCCAACGGAGCGGGTGACGGCAATGCGCCAGCGGGGACAGAGTACACATTGCAGGGTATGTGGTTCCCCTAGATTTGCCATGCCGATGGTGGGGAGACTGGCAGGCTAACACAATCATAGGTGTTATGCGATTTCTACAGCTGGAATGGCACAACCACGAGCGAGCACGAAATGCATGGGACATTGAGCGCGCAGAGATGAAGGCCAAGATTGCGAAACAGGAGGGCGAGGTGCGGAGCGCGAAGAAGTTGAACGACCAGCTGAACAAGCATATTCGGATGCTGGAACAGGCACTCACCAACGAGAGAAAGAAGAAGAGCGAGGCAGCAGGAGGTGAATCTGAGGCCACAACAGACGACAAGAAGGACCCCAAGGGCAAGAAGAGTGGCCTGAATCCTACCAAGCGTACGTACATCATACTGTCGGATCATGTTCCGTTTCTGTGCTAACTTGACGAAGCCCAAAACAAGAAACACAACTCCTTCCTTGACGTCGACTCAGATTTCCTCGACCGGGCAGAGGCCGACCGGGAGAATTTACGAGAGAAATCGAAGCTCTACCTTACGAAATGCGTCGAAGAGATCACATACCTTCTCACTCCCCCACAAGCGCCGCAACAACAACAGAATCTACAGCCACTCGCAAACGGTAACGGTTACTTGAACCACGGCGAGGCCTCAATGGAAGACATATACATCCAACAGCATCGCCAGCGGCTGCAGTCGCAACTCCCCACCATGCCAGGCACGTCAATGCCTACTCACCAGCCTCCCAACGTACCAGTTCCATCCGAACTCCAGAGCTTGACCAACCCGCACCAAATCCACCACGCGCCACAGATGACACGGGAACCTTCACAGCAACAACCCCTTCCACAGAACGCTAGTATGGGCCAAGAACTCCTCGGACAGCAACGTCAGCCCCTGAACCAGCAGCATTATTCCTCGGTACCCGAAGAGCAGGTCGAAAAGGTGACACATGCGTTCGACAACGAAGGTCGCCAAATACCACTTGGTGAGGAAAACGCCTCGGATTCAAGTCAGGCTGCCAATCAGGAGAAAGAGACAGATGATTGGATCTTTGACCCCGCATCAGAGACAGCTCAGGAGGGCCCACCTAGAAGACCAGACACCGAAGAATTCCCATCAGCGAATAGCATCCCAGCAAAATCGCCACCGCGTCCTGTAAAGAGGGCCAGCAAAGACCACGTCAGACGACTGAGTAACGACCAGAAAGCTCAGCAAGCAGTAGCTCAATCTGCAGCGAAGACCGACCCGCAAAGTTTTAAAGTCCGATTTGCACTTCGTGGTCATCTTGATGTGGTGCGCTCAGTCATTTTCACCGGGGGTGGTAGCCCTAGCGAACCGGAGATTTGCACAGCAGGAGATGATGGTATGATCAAGAGATGGATGATACCCGCGAGTTACGCAAACCAGCACAGCATGAACAATGATCTAGATATTCAGCCCTTTTGGTCACATCGGGGTCATGAAGGCACTGTTACATCGTTAGCAGCCTGTCCCGCTTCTGCTCATTTTGCCACTGGCGGAAGGGTCTCTGGCGATGGCTGGATATTCTCTGGTGGTCAAGACGCTACGATCCGCGTATGGGAACGAGGCCGGGTTGATCCAAAGGCTACCCTCGAAGGGCACACCGATGCTGTCTGGACTGTGTGCGTCCTCCCCACCACCTGTGCTAACCTTTTCGGCGCCGACAGCAGCAAGTATGGAGGACCGGACCGCGTCATACTCGCTTCTGGGTCCGCCGACGGTACCATCAAGATCTGGGCTGTAAGTGCACCACCTCAACTGGTTTCACCGCAAACAAACTCCCGTCGTGGTGTTGGAGGCAGCCGGAGACACTCGGTCACGTCTGGATCAAACCACCCATCATCGCCGCAGCCTAGCATTGCTACCACGACACCATTCCATTACATGTTGATACATACCATCGAGCGCGACACGCATCCTTCACCTACGTGTATCAGCCCGCTTTCACCTACTGGAGAGAACTTTGTTGTCTCCTTCTCCGACGCATCGATATTGGTGTATGATACGAGGACTGGTGAGGAGCTGATCGGCATGGCCAGTAATGAGTCTTATGACGGAACTCCAGCGACTGGTATCACATCAGTTGTGACGAGCTCGCAATACCTTGAAAGTGGGTCACAGGAGGCTGGCCGAGGTGGTTCTGACGAGGATGGTATACATGGCCCGACCGGCTCTGCCAATGACGGCCTCGAGGGTGTTATAATCAGTGGGCACGAAGACCATCTCATTAGGTTCTTCGATGCCAACTCTGGTATGTTTTGCCAAAACAATGAATTCTGCCCCTGCTAACCAAGAACAGGACAATGTACATATAGCATGCTTGCGCACCCCGCCGCTATTTCTTCGTTATCGCTCAGCAAGGACGGCCGAGAGGCAGTGTCCGCTGGCCATGACGCTTCTATTCGTTTCTGGTCACTCGATAAGCGCATCTGCACGCAAGAGATCACTGCACATCGTATCATGCGCGGTGAAGGTGTATGCAGCGTTGTCTGGAGCCAGGATGGTCGCCTTGTCGTCTCAGCAGGTGGTGACGGCATCGTGAAGGTATTTGCAAGGTAGTATCTTGCAGAGTCGGTAGCTACGACTTCTTCTCGCATTTGCGAGCCTCCACCGTTTCGTGTGAACTATTGGCATTTTTAGCTGGACATACCCCTGGGTTTGAGCGTGCATATGGGCACGTAATTGATCGAATCGGGCAAAGAAAGGCATGATTGATGGATATTCTGATGGCGGACATGGTAATCTCTCATTACTTCTCGACGCGCCGTCTATGGACGGGCGGGCATTGGCTGGCGCGGTGTGTTATGTTCGCTTCCCAGCTTTGTATTATACGATTGGGATGATCGGGTTCAGCGGAAATACGCAAGAGCGAACAAGTCATTTTTTGGCCTATTTTGATCCTTGACAACGTGATTATGTCCTAACCACTGTCGCCAAATTTGCAAACTTCGGAGCACCGACCAAAGTTCCTGCGTTAAGATGCATTAGGTTCGAGCGCGAGGACTAGAATATGAGCATATGTGCTGTGGCTAACACCGGTCGAGATTGAGTTGAAAAAAGAATTGTAGTGATGACGTGCGGAGCTCCTACCGCGGGAGATCTGTGCATCAAGTCGCGTATTGTGCCCCCAAATGGCGGAAAGGCGTAAACATGGGAGTCCTAAACAGAACTCTGCGAGGCCCGAAAGCCTTATTAGCCCCACCTTCTTCAATGTTACCTTCTTCTTCGTGCTCGCGTTAGATTCGTTCTTCGACTTGTTGGGCACGCATGGAGATGTCCGCTGTAATCGGTGTTGTACGTTCCCCCCTTCCGAAGCGCGTCAACAAGCTTCTGCCCAGGGTATCAAGCTAATGCGCATACCACTACTATAGCTGGCCGCCCTGCCACAGAGCATTCAATCTGCGAAAGACCTCTACGACCTGCGTACCAAATACAAAGATGCCTCGGTCCTCATCACCGCGATATACTCCGAGTCCATGGTCATTGCCGCGTCTTTGTCTCAAGTCCAAAACCTTCTACAACATGACGCATTACGAGAGAAGCCTCAACTGGTCGAGACGTTCGATCGCGCGCTCACGGGATGTCGAGTCGTGTACGGATGTCTGGAGGAGGAAGTACGAGAGCTGAGAATAAAAGCGGAAAATGACGACCTCAAGTTCAAGGACCGAGCGAGATTCCTGTGGAAAGAAGATACGTTCAAAGAACTGCTCACACAGATCCGTGGCCAGCAGTCGGCGCTCAGTCTATTGATTCAGGGACTGCAAATGGAGTCGATTGCGGATATTAAGAAGCTGGTTGAAGACAATAGTGTTACACTCGATCAGGTTGTAAAGCGGTCGAGGACTCTACGGCAGTCGCACCCACGCCTAAAAGTACCGGAGTCGCTTTTCAGTCGGCAAAGCCTGGACGGCAAAGAGGCCGATGCGGAATCCATCGCAAAAGCTACAGAGTTCACGTTTGACGATGAGGTCGTCAATTCAAAAGCGTATCGTAGGGCTATGGCAATGGCCTTGTCCACTTCACGCAACGAGATCAATGCACCCGAGGGACCAGATACTGCGGTTGCAGAAGATGACTCCACCGCTCTTGGAACCATGTTCCAGGGCAACAACAAGGATAAGAGAGATGAACCGACAGTCCTTCCTCCACCATGGTCAGAGGCCGAGAATGCTACGACTAGTGTACTGAAGTCTGAAACAGAACAAAATTCTTCATCTCAAGTCACAACCACAGACGAACACGCAGATTTGTTTGATACTCTCGAGCGCGACATACTTTCTTTCATGCCTCAAACGTCATCGACATTTTGCTTGACTCCAAACCATACGGGATCTGAGAACCCCTCTGCGCTACCAAGTCATCCTACTGGCTCATTCACTCCTGCGCCACTGCGATCATTCAGTCAAGACAAAGACACGAACGACTCAGAACTTCCACCCCCGTTACCTCCTCGTCGTCCGAGCGAGCAGCATGTTGTAACGCCCAAAATGCGCTCAGTGTCATCTGATGATAGTATCTTCTCTTCTAACGCGCCATCGATTCTGTCAAAAGTATCGACGGCGTCGTCTTATACTGTGTATGAAGCTTCGACAATGACCCCCAACTCGACCGGTCGACCATTGCGGAAGGCGCTGCCACTTGTGCACAAGTCATCTTACAATGCTTTAGGTAACATTGGGCTTGGTACGAGTGAACCTACAGCACAGGAGGCATCATTGCTCCTGAATAATATCGAAATGAATAGTATCTGGAGGTCATTCGTGGACGCAGAGAGGAAATTTGTTGACCGCATGGTAAAACTCAAACGGATGTTCTACGACAACATCATAAGGCAATGGCCAATCATCGAGAAACATCTGGATGCCATTCTTGTTGGCGAGCAACTTGCAACCCTACACCAACAGTGTTTGTTGCACACAATGGACCAAGAACTTGCTGGCAATGGTAGTGCCCTCTGCAATCCGTACATGTTCGAAGTCTGGGTGGGCAAGACTCAACAACTATATCGAGAATATTGTCGAAAGATGCCGCATGCGTCCTCGTCACTGCGTACAACTCAGATTCTGGACCCGAAGTTCACGCCTTTTGTCAATACACTTGGTCTGAGTATTGCTTATTTTGGCAAGAGCTGGCAAGACTATCTGGAGCTTCCCAATTTACAGTTGCAGACTTATGTTGATACCATACAGAGTCTTATTAACATTGCTGAAACACTCCGTGATCCGGCGGCGAGTAGCGAGGTCATGCGATTGAGACGCGCTCTACAGGCCGTCACTTGGCTCAAAACATCGACATCGGCTTTGCTAGACGAATCACAAGCTCGCGAAGACATACAGAACTTGGAGAAGCGTATTCGAACAGACGCTGGTACGCTTTCGCAGCTACGCTTACATGAGCCGGTCCGCCGTGTCGTACATCAAGGTGGCATGGCGATGAAGTTTAAGAGCCAGGGGCCCTGGATCCCCGTACACGCCATGCTTCTGGATCACTACTTCTTGTGGGGAAAGACCAAGAAGAGCAAGGGCGACGAGATCCTGGTAACGGACGCACCTATTGCGGTTGCCGACATGCAGCTATCTCTTCCAGCAGACGTACACCAATTCCAGAAGACTACAATGCTTGACCAAATAGCAAGGGGTTCAGTCATGTAAGTCTCAAGTCAATATAAACCGCTCCGACAAGCTAACTGGCTGTCAGATATATCATCACAGTCACAAACATAGCCCAAGAGGGCAAGCCAAATCTGCTAGGTCTGTACGGAGTTCAAGAGAGGAAGACCTGGTTCAATTATCTCACCACAGCTAAGACCAAGTTTTGCAAGTGAATCATGCCGTTGTACCGGGCTTCCGGATTCGCGGGCTGTCACAGTTACGTGTGAATGTCTCGGACCTCATGATCTATCTGTGAGTGGGCGGAAGGCTCTGTCGCTGGCGCAAGTACGGAAGGAGGAAGGCGAGCAAGCCTGGCACACGCTTGCTTGCTGATATCCAGAACGCCGAGTCAGTATAACAGTGCGCGCCGACTTCGCTCAATAGTCAACGAAAACCCAATCAGCTCCAGGACCCAACCCGGGCGCTTCCTGAATTACGCACGAAGAGCACCGCGCCAACCAGACTAAACCACACCACTCTCTAACGCGTCGCACGTGCTCTGTCTCGTCAGACTGGCCGCAATCATGGCTGATCTCCTTGGAGACGAATTTACTGAGGCCCGACATCCTCCTATTCCAGATGGACTCTCTGCCGACGACGTCATTGGAATCATCACAGTCCATGACCCTAGAGCTCTTCATGGAAATCGCGACACGGCATATAGAAAGTCGCGCTTGAGAGCTCCGCTGCCCAGTGGTGAGTGCTCCTTAGCCGGCTGCCATGTCTTCCTCCATGTCATTCAGGGCCGGCCGTGCTACACAATGAGCCGTACTGATTCCAAGAGCGCATTGCCACCGACACGCGATGTGTTTCTCCCTGGCACTAGGGTTGGTGTCCATCAGTTTGATCTTGTACCAGTATGGGAGAGCAACAGCTGGCGACTGCAGTCCGCTTCTGAAACCATCGCGGAGGTGAACGGTGCACCCATCCAACTCAGCACCCCTCGTACGCGAAAAGTTCCGAACCAGTTGCCGCAGGCAGTTCATCTGCGACAAAGTTTAGTCAATCACGTTTCGGTCAATGGCTTACGAGTCGATATCTTCATGCTGAAGACGGTACGAGAAGTTCACCCAATTCAGACCTTTCGGCTTGCGGAGCTGCGGCCCCAGTTACAAGAAGTCACCCATCGCCTAGAGGCTTGGGCACACGATCGACATCTACAGCGTCCTGAACAAGTTTCCGTAAATACATACCGGATTCTTGAGCGCTTCACAGGCAAGATCGAGACGGCAAAATTCTTTTGCCATACAGAGAGCAGCCATGAACTTCGGCACGCTGAATTTCTCAAGTTCGGGAAGGCCAAAGTTGATGCATCTCTTGTTCGTTACCTACAATCAGTCGAGATCAATCAGATTCCGGCTGTGATCACTGAGACGCACAAGGGTTTCGAGACATATGCGGCTCTAGAAGAGGGCATCAAGAATCAACATCCACGTGTGCGCTTCATGATCGCTTCGAAACTTCTGCGACGACTCTTCTCTGCTCTGGCATTTTTAAATTTCCACAAGGTTATCCATGGAGGCGTTACCAAAGAGGCTGTTCTACTTCGTCTCGTGGACTTTAAACCTGAAGCTGTGCTTTTAGTCGACTATTCGAAATCTTACTCGTTCCCCGTTGGCGCGGCTGAGCCTTTCAAGAGGATGACTGATGACGGTCGCGCCGCGATGGAGATCGTCGAGAGCTGTTGCGATCTCTGGCAGTTGCGCAAGGCAGCGAGCAAGGATGCATCTAGCGAAGAGTTCATGAGGTCTAAGACTGAGGCTGCGCATAAAGAGTTCGAGCTCATGAAGCGTGTAGTCGCAGACTTCTTTGGACCTAGAGGCATGTCGCGCAAGTCGAAGAAAGGCAAGAAGATGCTCCGCTTACTGAGTATGAAACAACATGGTTGGCACAAGGCCCGCAACGATCAAATACACAACGCAACCCGCCGCGAGGTCGGGCCATGTCGCTCGGAAACAATCAAGGAAATGGAACTTGACTGGACGCGTATGCATCCATCCTCGAAGATTGGTGATGAGCAACATATGCTATTGACTCTAGGGCACTCTTACTTGGACGGCTTGGTATCGATGCTCTACCACAATAGATGGGATCTAAGGCCGAAGGACGTCTGCACCAAGATCCGAAAGCTCGCTGGCGATGTGGAAGAGCCATGGCAGACATTCCAAGTCAAGCGAACAGCGTCATTTACACAGGAAGCTGCTGGCTTTGAAGAGCATTGCATCTTGGACTGGCTAGCAAGTTGTTGCGAGATCTGTCCAGAGTGGCGTCACGCATTCGTTGAGGAATGTGAGCGCCACATCTCACCCCAGAATGGTACAATCAAGTTTGCGGATGTAAAGAGGCTTCGAGATGCTTTGGTAGAATATGGAACTATGCCGGAGTTCATGCGAGCCACATTCGTACTTTTGACTGCCGAAGAGATCAAGAACCAACCAACTACACAGATCGAGGAAGTCCATCAGGTGTGGTACCACAAGCCCTCGCGAATGTTCAACCTGACGCAGTTACATCGGCTGGCAAGTCCGGATCGACTTCTCGCGTGCATCAATGAGGGTAACATTGATTGCAATAATTTCGTCGAGGTACGCGGGGAGCCCAAGATAGAGGGATTGTATGCTACTCTGTCCTTGATAGCCGCCTTTAGTACGCAACTTGGATTGACAGTGAAGGTTCCAAACACCACGCCAGACTTCCCTCTGTATGATCCAGCAGACTTCAGCCAGGTCTTGTACCATATCGTCCTCACTCATACTGGTCTCCTTCCTTGGGCATCGGTCACTCGCCAGGGCGCTCAATTCAACTTCCATGCACCGCTATCTGCCGAAGCGCCCGAGACTGCTGGGAGGTTTTTGCCGACTTACTTTGGCAGTATGAATATACTGCCAACAGTGCTATACGGTAGAACAGAGTACTGGCGCCCCGATCACTGGTCGAAATTCAAGACTGCAAAAGAACTCGATGAGGCGGCGGATTTGGACAAGCGAACGATTCTGCCGGCGAAGCGTCCATTGAAGAAAGCCGCATCGCGACTAGCAAAGTCCCATCAAGTTCCTTCCTCACATCCTGATCAGTCCATACCCGCTCAAACACTAAAGATTCGCAAGCAAGCTTTTAGTGATGCCCAATTTCCAGCAAAACGCAACGATGGCGATCAGTCGTCAGTTGCAGCTATGCCCGCTGCAAAGCGTCTACATGTTATTCCTACCGTCGACAACCCTACTCTAAGCATTGCACCGTCAGCACCTGCACCAAAATTCTCGACCTCGTTCGTAAACCGTCAAGTAGACCATATGATAGCCAACATGGAGCGCCAGTCGCAACCTCCGTCGAATAGAGTACCCCCTGATACCTCAAGCATGACGAACGTGTCTTTTTTCCAGCACAACGGCGGAGTGAACAGAAACATTCTTGTCAGCCCACCCCCAGCTTCTGCGGCTACAAAGGATACGTTCACGATCGTATCTAATGGCGACTTCAACCTAGAGGACGACTACAAGCAAGCGGAGGATTGGCTTAAAGTAATGAACGATGACAATGACCCCCAAGCTGCCGGTATCTTTGGTCTCAATTTCCATCATAGCCTTCGTCAGCAGGGAGATGGATCGGACACTGAGGTGGACGAGTCCTGCGAAGAAGATTTGGATGGAGAAACGCCGGCTTGTGGTGGTGAAAAGGCGAAGCAAACAGATGATCAACGTCTGCCTAACTCGTCGATGTCCAAACTCAAGGAGAGCAGCTCGTTCACACCTGGCCCACAAGTAATGACACCGACGGGTAGGAACAATGAACCGGCAATTTCAAAGTCCTTTCCCGGCCGACAAAGCTTCCAATTGGCGACGCCTAAGATGAGCAGTCCTATCTTCGCACGACCTGCCCTCCCAGCAACCTCCTTGCATAATGGCAGGGGCCATCGCCGCAACGACATCTCCCTCTCGGATCTTGCTAGGGTTAATCTTCATAACCCTCCTGCGCGTTCGAGCCCTCCACCACCGGCAACAGCAATAAATCCACCTCGACCTATTACCTCACCGGATGAGCTAGACTTCTCTAGCCCTGCCTGGATGACGAGGGGGCAGGGCAGCGATGGCGACGACGATGTGCCTGATACAGATCAAGGAGAACAGTGTAGTGATGACTCTGACTAGGCGTTCCTGTAGATAGGGATGACAGGACGACGACGAAACGGCGGAAGGGAAGTATGGGTGTTGCGAGATCGTTTGAAGAAGACGAGGGTTGTACATGTATCATGTGTCCGAGTTGCGACTCGCGAGATAGTCTATGGGCTTACGAAGTAATGGAAACACGATACCCACAATGCAACAACATGACAAAGATGTAATCTTAATTCTTAGTCCTTCTATCGTGAACGAATTGCATGATTGTAAACTGCTAGATCTTACCGTAATCGACAAGCGCAAGCACGCATACGCCAATTGATCAGACTAAGGATAGACTGTCCGAAGCGTCTATGGCGCCCGTTACTGGTTATGATTATATGAATAGGTACGCGGTTGACGAGCGGTATTGCGATCGCGCGACCAGTGGGTGCGTATTGGGCGTTGCGAAAGACAATCTGCACGCGTTAGTGAACACCACGAATTTGTATAACCTTCATCGTCGCGCTACAGTCTCCATCGCAGTCGACATCACGCCAATGCTCTCATTGACTTTGAACGTTGTATCATTGATCTTGGAAGGAATCTTGATTGAATTTGCCATTGTATATGGACTTTCGGAACCAAAAGACACCGTTGCACCAGCCTGAACATTTGCGTGTATGAGAGACTGTGCATGGTGTCTCCCATACTACTGTATGTTCTCTCGCTCCATGCCCGGTATTTGCGCCTAGTCATCCATCACTCCATTGCTTTTCGACCGTTCGTTCCCGTCGCCAAAGATCGTATCGGAACAGCTTATATCGAAGAAGGGTAAAGCATGACGCGGACGGAGGCACCGAAGGACTTGGGAGGGAGGTTGTTCTTGAACTTGGCGCGGACGACGCCGGAGTTGCCGTGAGGGCGGGTGACCTTGCCCTGTTCTGATGTTAGATTTCTGGTCTTTCGGAGACAGTGGCATTGGCGTCTTCATACCCAGATGACACGGATCTTGGAGCCCTGGATCGCCCGTTGTGCGCGGTAGACGTAGGCTACCCTCTTGCCAGCGTCTGTTGAAGGTATGTTAGCTCATCAAAATTCGTGGCCGAAAGGACATCAGGGCGGACGTACACCACTGAGCTGCCTTGACATCGTCGACGCCCTCAAGCTTCAGCAGAGAAGTTCCGGGGTTGGTGTTCCTCTGCCATCTTCGTCAGAACGGTAGCCACAATACGCGAATTCGGTGCGCACAAACCTTGCCGCGCTGGTAGCTGATGTGCTTGCCCTTGACGTAAAGGCGGTGGGACTTGTTGTCGGCAGACATGGCGAATTTTTTGGGCGGCCTCGGGGGGATGAAGGGGACGTCTGGGTCGGGGGGATGCTGTCGTTAGTACAGAGAAGTCGTCGTTGCCAAAGAGAAAGACGAATTGCTTCATGTCCAGTGGGGCGTTCTCGCTTACTAGCGCCACACCAGCCACAGCTTGTCTTGTTGCTGTGGCGCAAATGCTTCGCCTCGCCAGCACCAGTGTGCAGCCTGCGAAGAACACAACAACTTTGAAGTATCAGATTTTGTAGATAATAACATGCTTTCACATCATAATCGCATATTGTTGACTTTGGTGGCGAGCAGACTGATCAAAAGTCCCGGTGCACATCGGACGGAAGTTCTTCATTTCCTGCCTTGGGAGCAACTATCTACCAGCAGAGGCAACTTTGTAGTTGTCAAATCGTCAATCTATCTGGACAACACGAACCTCCAAACTGTGCTCTCAGCATTCTTTTCGTATGTACGGTTATTGGGAGTGAAGGCACAATTTTTCCGAAAATGTTCCGTGACCACAATAGTTATGCTGGCCCCAACCTCCTCTTACCCTTTTGGGCTTCCTCTTGCAGCGAATGTATAAGGCTGACGCTTCACTTTCAATCACTAGCAAACTGCTTGGGCGTGTTCGACCGTCTATCAGACCAGCCGTCGCGTTTCGCACGCCGGCATATGGACGCTGAGTAATCGGTCCGGCCGAGGACGGTTCACTCATCAAGTCAACGGCCTGGGATAACCCAAATAGCCAACGGCAAAATTCTCACGAATCCATCGTGTCCCCCGGTGCTTTCATGTCACGTTCACAACCCATTGTTTGGGGGTCCAGCACGCCAACATAGCTGCTGCAGGTCTTCAATTACGACAGGCCCCACCAAAGCTACTAGCTTACCAGCGCTGTCCGCTCGGTATACTCAAAGAGGGGCCGGAGGGTTTGACAGACCCAAGTACCTACCTGCCCGAGACTCTGAGACGCGCCGATGCTTGTGTATACTCTAATAGAATTTACACATTGTCCGGACTCGGGGAGCCTCGCGGTGGGGTAGCCGTACATGAGATGCGACCTCCTCAGGCGCTGCGACAGTAATGAGACACAACCAAGGTCTTGGGACACAATTATAGAAAAGTAAACAAAGTTTGAGAGCCTCAAAGTCTATTGACTTCCAGCCAAGTGCATACTGTACGAAGCCGTTCCACGCGCAGGGCATGGTGATGGTGGGGTTGTCCGCGCATCCCAGGGTACGGCTTTAGCAAGGTCTCCTCCGGCGGGCTTCAAGGGTTTTGACTGGTGCCGGAGATGCTTTGCAAGACGTGCGGCCGCTTAGTGATGCTTGAGGAATGGCCTAGTTGTTTATTGATGCCCTTTTAAAGACGTCAGACCTCGCTGTGTGTATGTGTGAGCATTCCTGTCTGATACCCTATCACCGGCGTTCGAGCGGCAAATTAAAGCTAACCAACGTCACCACCACGCGAAACCGCTAGAGCAGCTCCGATAACCCCACTACATAGGACTTTTCCTCTCACACCAACGTCCTATCCGTAGCTTCCGCCCTTACATCGAGATCTTTCGTGTAACCTTATTTCCATCACTCACTACAGCCCTTAATTGAGCTGTAACCTTGCGACCGCCCCTCCCGCAAAGCGTTTACATTACATATCAACACAATGGCGGACACGGTTATCCAGCCTAAGCATGAGGAGGTCAATGCCGGGTAGGTAGCCCTCACCGTCTCTAATCGATCTTTCACAGCCTCGGAAGAGCTGTTTGGATATGTAATCAATTTATCCGGCAGTTGTTTTCTGCTGAACTGCATCGCGCTCCTCGGTGGAGGGGTTGCTCGATGCGCGAAACCGACCAACGCGCTTGTGAGATTCTGAGCACCACGGCTAACACGATTTCGGATAGAAACATGGAGCTCAAAGACAACACCATCATTGTTGTTTTGGGTGCCTCCGGTGATCTAGCCAAGAAGAAGACTGTATGTAAAGAAGCAAATATATGAGAAAGCATCAGACTAACGTCATTCCAGTTCCCAGCGCTTTTCGGCCTCGTAGGTTGCACGATAAAGACTCGCATTCGACTTCTGACCACCAATACAGCACCGAAACAACTTTCTCCCAAAGAACATCCACATCGTCGGATATGCACGCACGAAGATGGACCGTGAGGAGTACCTCAAGCGCGTCAAGTCTTACATTAAGACCCCTACAAAGGAATTGGAGAAGCAGTTGGACGAGTTCTGCGAATTCTGCTCGTACGTTTCTGGCCAGTACGACCAGGATGACTCCTTCATCGCACTTGAGAAGCACATGCAAGAGATCGAGAAGGGCCGCAAGGAGAACAACAGGATATTCTACATGGCTCTTCCTCCCAGTGTCTTCATTACAGTCTCTCAGCACTTGAAGCGCAACTGCTATCCCAAGAACGGCATTTCTCGTGTTATCGTAAGTTGCTCGTATGCATCTTCCCGGACGCATGCAGCTAACCGCCGTCACACAGGTCGAGAAGCCCTTTGGCAAGGACCTCCCGAGTTCAAGAGAGCTCCAGCGCGCATTGGCGCCAGACTGGACCGAAGATGAGCTTTACCGAATTGACCACTACCTGGGTAAGGAGATGGTCAAGAACATCCTCATTCTCCGGTTCGGCAACGAGTTCTTCGGCGCAACCTGGAACAGGAACCACATCGACAACGTCCAGATCACCTTCAAGGAGCCTTTCGGAACTGAGGGCCGTGGAGGATACTTTGACGAGTTTGGTATCATCCGTGATGTTATGCAGAACCGTAAGTGGAAGACTCATGGTTAGGAGAACGGATAACTAACGGTTGTAGATTTGCTGCAAGTCCTGACCCTCCTCGCTATGGAGCGACCCATCTCCTTCTCCGCTGAAGACATCCGTGACGAAAAGGTCCGTGTCCTCCGTGGTATGGCCTCGATCGAGCCCAAGAACGTCATTATCGGACAGTACGGAAAGTCGCTGGACGGCCAAAAGCCTGGCTACAAGGAGGACGACACAGTTCCCAAGGACTCGCGATGCCCCACTTTCGCATCCATGGTCGCTTACATCAAGAACGAGCGATGGGACGGTGTGCCTTTCATCCTGAAGGCCGGAAAGGCCTTGAACGAGCAGAAGACCGAGGTTCGCATCCAGTTCAAGGATGTCACCTCTGGTATCTTCAAGGACATTCCACGAAACGAGCTTGTCATCCGAGTGCAGCCCAACGAGAGTGTTTACATTAAGATGAACTCCAAGCTGCCCGGTCTCAGCATGCAGACTGTTGTCACAGAACTCGACCTTACCTACAGACGGCGATTTTCCGATCTGAAGATCCCCGAGGCATACGAATCGCTCATTCTCGACGCACTGAAGGGCGACCACTCCAACTTCGTCCGTGACGATGAACTCGATGCCAGCTGGAGGATCTTCACACCTCTCCTACACTACCTTGATGACAACAAGGAGATCATTCCTATGGAGTACCCATACGGTTCGTATTAGAACGATGAACCAAGCATACATTGGCTAACTATCATCAGGCTCCCGCGGCCCTGCCGTATTGGACGACTTCACTTCTTCTTACGGATACAAGTTCAGCGACGCAGCAGGTAGGGTCTCACTTCTGTAGCGAACTCCGACAAACTTGCTGACAATTTTCTTTTAGGATACCAGTGGCCCATGAACGAGCAGAAGTTGTAAGCGGTTGTTATATATGCAGCAGATGCCTTTGGTGAGGTATGCTCAGGATGACAATGAACACAAGTTTTTCGGGAGGTTTGAGCAGCTTAAGCAGATTCAAGCCAATAGATAATGAATACAACGACGACTCTACGTCGTAAATCAGTGCAGTTCACTATGCATATGTGATGACTGATTATCCGTTACGAAGCACTTGTGCCTGGACCTGCATACCAGACTTCCGAAAGCGGAGGGCTGGTAAGCTAGGTATTCCTGGTGGGGTAAAGGGCCAGAGCGGCATGGCATCATCGGCGGCATGAGAAATTTTTGAGAAGCGTCACGCCAGAAGACGCCGATTGAGTCAACTGTAGGTGTCACTGTAGGGAAAATTAGTTCCACACAGTCATCACGTACTCCTAAATAAGTGGGGGTCAACTCACATGCGTTTGTTGTTGCTGTGCATTGTCGCCGCCAGTCATCCTTCGCCGCAGTTTCCTAGAACCTGCCTTGTAGTTACTCTGTGATTCGTTGAGCTTTTCACAATTTGGTCGCCGTAGTAGAAGAGTCATCCAGCAGTATTAATAGCCTGGATTTTCCATCGTCTTCTGGATCATACAACCAGATTGAGTTGTCGCATCCCTCCTCCGAACCACCTCCGCAATCATCCCCGCGCACACACCATGACTCCCGCACAGGACATCGCCGGCAGCGGCATCAGCCAACTCGCACGTCAAGTGTCGAACAGCCTCAACCTTAGCACCAGCCCAAACCTCTCCTTCCACAGCCCGCCCTCCACATTCCGGCAACCACCGACCCCGGGCAGCGTCAGCAATCAAGCCAACAGCTTGCACGCGCAACAACTCGCCAAGCAGTTGAAGCCGTTCGATACTAAGGACATCAAGGTCCTACTGCTCGAGAATGTCAACGAAGCCGGTGTCGATATCCTCAGGGGCCAGGGATACCAGGTCGAGGCAATCAAGGCCAGTCTGGGAGAGGACCAGCTGATTGAGAAGATTCGCGATGTTCACGTCATTGGTATTCGCTCAAAGACGAAGCTCACCAAGAAGGTGCTGGAGGAGGCAAAGCACCTCATCGTCATCGGCTGCTTCTGTATCGGAACGAACCAGGTCGACCTCCAAACTGCCGCCAGCCAGGGTATCGCCGTCTTCAACTCGCCCTTCAGCAACTCGCGCTCTGTCGCCGAACTCGTCATCTCGGAGATCATCGCGCTCGCCCGTCAGCTCGCTGACCGCTCCATGGAACTACACAATGGCACATGGAACAAGGTCAGCAAAGGCTGCTGGGAGATTCGCGGAAAGACGCTGGGTATAGTCGGTTACGGACACATTGGTAGCCAATTGAGTGTGTTGGCCGAGTCCATGGGCATGAGCGTCATCTACTACGACGTCCTGACCACCATGGGTCTGGGAACTGCGCGACAAGTAGCGACGCTGGACGACCTCCTCGCACAAGCCGACTTTGTTTCCCTTCACGTTCCAGCTACCTCTGAAACTAAGAACCTGATTGGCAAGGCAGAGTTCGCAAAGATGAAGGACGGTAGCTATCTCATCAACAACGCCCGTGGTACTGTTGTCGACATCCCCGCCATGATCGAAGCCAGCCGCTCTGGTAAGCTTGCTGGTGCCGCCATCGACGTCTTCCCCAACGAACCCGCCGGCAACGGCGACTACTTCACCAGCGACCTAAACTCCTGGACCAAGGACCTTGTCGGCCTGAAGAACATCATCCTCACTCCCCACATCGGTGGCAGCACCGAGGAAGCGCAATCCGCCATCGGTGTCGAAGTCAGCACAGCACTCGTCCGCTACGTCAACGAGGGTACTACACTCGGTGCCGTCAACCTACCAGAAGTCAACCTGAGAAGCTTGACTCTCGACCAACCAGACTGCATGCGTGTCATCTACATCCATAAGAACGTACCCGGTGTGTTGAGACAAGTCAACGGTATCCTTCTCCACCACAACATTGAGAAGCAAATGTCCGATTCAAGAGGCGATGTCGCGTACCTCATGGCAGATATCAGTGAAGTCAAGGAGGGTGAAATCAGAGATTTGTTCACGAGCTTGGAGGAGCTTTCTTGTAAGTCTATACCTACATCTTTTCTGACTCGGGTAGAACAGACAGCTAACTTTTTGCAGCATGTATCCGTACCAGGGTCTTGTACTAGGCGGACAGCCCGTTTCAGGATCGCGAAGAAAGAACGGAGGACGTCGAAAAGCGCTCTCCATCCCCTTCTGATCTCGTTAAGCAACACCAAAATGATACGGCTTCTGATATGTTGGGTTCGCTGCCGCATATCCGTGACCTCAAAAGTATGGGTAGGAGACTTTCGCATGGCGTCTGATTGGTTTCGTGCATACATTGGCTAGGAACTGCAAAGAATAGAGTTCGAAAAGTAGAGTTCAACACTGGGTCGTTATTACTGTCATACTAAATGATATACATGAGATACAAAGAGAAGAGAAGCGTCTTGTCTTCATGTCTGTATGTCTGTGTATCTACCGTGAGATTATGACAAGCCCATAACTTTTCAGCGCACACGCACTGCCCTAGCCCTGATACATAGTCATGCCCACAGCCAACCCAATCCAACCCTCACCTACTACGCCCCATCTCACTACCCTCTTTTATCCGCCTCAGCCTCCCATTCTCTTGCACCGTGGATGGCGTGTTTGAGGAGGAGAGGACGGATAGGGCGCAAGGGATTGGTTCCTAGGGGATGGAAGTGACTGATGGAAGAGAGGCAGATTCGGAATTTGACTGCGAAGGTTCCGGAGCTGTTTCTACAAATCCGAGTTAGAAGCAGACGAATTCGGTCACGTTATCGCGTTGAGTTTCCTTGATATCCTCGCCACTTCGGTTGTTCACTCTTTTCTAATCAAAGCCTTCAATAAACTCTCTGCTTCATGGCCTCCTTCCATATCGGTAAGGCGAATTCGTCTCGACGCAGTGCTAACTCCCAAGATACAATCTGAAACTGTGATACGTTCCATGGGGAGAGCATGGTGAGATTCCTCGAGTCCTTGATTCCGGAACGAGATACACTCGAAATGGTGGTGATCAGGCGCGCTTTTCGCGTCCAAATAACAAAGGCAGGTAGAAAGGCGGATTTGAGCTGAGACTTGGAAGGCCCCTTGTATCGGACGTATGTTGCGTGGTCTAGAAGGCCGCTATAATGTGAAGTGGACTGATCGAGGAGGAATCTTAGCCGAGAGTAATGGTCACTTTTCTTGTGCCTCGCAGCCAAGCTAAAGTCTTTGTATCGCTGCTGTGATACCAAGAAGTGTCATGATCTTCGGTAGGGCATACGGTCGGTATGCCATTGGTGGTGGAAGCCAACTCGTCCAACCCTGCTGATTTTGTCATGGACGTGTAATCAAAACCGGCGGGCACCGCAAACCCTGTACGTTCGTAATGAGTTCCGTAGTCTTGTAGTACCATCATCGACAGATGTGCCAGGTCATGATCGTTAATGGCCGCGCATGTGACCCGAGTGCTGTCGTAGTGATCAGGTGGCGCTACATCCCATATAATGTGCATGTAAAAGTTACAGCCTCCATTATTCCCCTTAGCACCGCCGACGGGAAGCACCAGCATCGTTCTCGGGTGGTCTGAAAGTATACCCCCCATTCTTTCCGCACCTGACTGTACTAGATTCACTATAGGAAGATGATGAACACTGACGGTGATTCGTAAGTACTGTGAGGTCTCTCGATGGTTCCAGTCACCGCACCCATCTCGAATGTGACGAGAAATGTCGGCAGCATCCTTCTCCGATGAACGAAATTGATACGGGATATCTGAGAATTCAACACGACCAATCCAGCCAAATGGTGACCAACTAGGATATCCTAGTCGTCTGGTAGTGGGACTTTGGTGCTTCCACTTTATGCATATGATACCCGGGCCGGCCATTGGTATTTGATATGGTAAGCCGCATATGGTACCAATAGACGGGTTCTTTGTATGATGGTAGTTCAGAACGCCCAGTATTGCGTTCAAGACGTCATTTTCGTAGCTGAGTTCACGTCTTGTGTACTGTTCCAGCAATTGCATGATTTCGTTGAGCCCGCGAGATCCGTCATTCCTACCCCCTAAGGCTCGCGGATTCAAGGTACCTTCGAGTAGAGAGAAATCCGATCCAGGTATACTACGCTGGAAGCCTTCGTGTTCTTGTGCCTGGTTGCAAATGAATAAGACCCCACTCTCTGTAAAGTATAGTCTTCTGCGCGGAAGGTAGCCTTCCTGGAATGTCCACCCCCGTGTGAACCACCGAGAATCGGCAACAACACGGTAAACTGCGTCTGGAACAAACGACACGCATACGCTTCCTATAGCAGCATCTCGATACCTCATCTTCCGTGCATTACTTACACCCGGTAGGCCATAGGAGGGGTCATTGCCTGCTGCAGCGATCAGAGTGAGCACCGCTGAGGTGTATATCAAGTCCATCTGTTGGATCTGACGATGCTTGTCCTCTGCGTCATCCTGCTTTATACACTAGTGCTTTGATGAGAAACGCGAACTTGCCAAGAGTGGTACTTACGAAGGCGCTGTGAGTAACATTAGCTCAAACTCCTTAGATAACTAGTGCAGAGAAACTCACTCAATCCAGAGATACCGATAACCTAGAAGTAGGGTAGCCTTGATACTGTCCTCTATAGTACGAGGCAACGTAGTAGGCAGAAGTCCGGATATCGAGTCTGTCTTGAAGACCAAGCCACCCCATACATACGACAAAGCCACATACTGGCAGTCTACAGATGCTAAAACGAGAGCTCTTTCCATGCAATCGATGACTGTTATATTCCGCGGCCCTTCTTGTACACCGAACTTGCACTGAATATGCGACTCGCATTTGTCAAGCCAGCTCTTGATTGTATCAAAATCAACGTGTAGGCGCTCAAGAGTTTCGTGACCTTTCCAACTGTCAGCTCTGGAAGACCCAGAATACCAAACTCTGACGATTCCCGGTCGACCGCTGTCCCCTCTTCTGATGCCGTTCGAATCATGAAAGACAGCCACGCCTGAGTGGCCCAACCGACGTTCCCAACGCAATAGAAAAGGCCATTCCAAGCTCGGCGTTTCATCTTGGTGTACCTGCATCGCCATTCCAAGTATTTGGCATACGTTACAAGCTGATAACAAAAGCTCTTCCGCTTTCTCTTCAATTTTGAAGATATCCGCACTGTATTCGTTGAACAATACTTTTGGCCATACTGCCAAGCATCGATCGCACGTATGGCTCTTTTCCGGATGGAATTGCTCGGGTCTATGATCTAGTTTACCGATCGCTTTGCTCCTGTCGCTCATGACAGGTAATAGGGATAGTCGGGGGATAAAGAAGCTCGCTTTCACTGGTTTATACACAATAAGCAAAATGTACCCTAGAGGTATACATTGTCTTCTGTCTTGCGGTGTTACAGTAGGAACTCGAGTGAATACCTATCGAATGACTTTATCGTATTGGTACGATTTGGAAGTGATGCGGCTATTCGAGGATAACCAGGAAGGCTGCGACTGTCTGGTGGGAGTGTTTCATGGATAAGGGTTATCGCACGTGATTGTCCATTTGCCCCTCTGATCCTCCATTTCAGAACAACCAGGCAATCGCCTGCAGAGCGTCTTAAAGCGCAGGTACGTCCGCGAGTATTTACGAACATCTTCCGACACTTTGACTCAGTTATTCAATCAGGAATTGTTCATATTATGCAACAGCATTTTATTACCAGTAGCAAGCTCGTGGAGTCAGTGACGGACAGGTGTACAAGTGCACAGTCACACTGTAGTGGATACAGTTAAGCCATGACCAGCCAGCCAACTATTTGACAGTTGATCGACCCGTTGAACATTGAAGCTCTAGGTTTCTCAATCTCGAAGTACAGTGAAGTGTTGACGCCCACGTATCATGGTGAGGCGGCACGTTTCAGGAGGCCCAGCCAAGTAAGAACGGATGCGCGAGACCAGAGATTCCCGAGCGGCAAAACGATGACAAGGAGTCTACTTGCATAAATTCTGGGGAAGGACTGACGCTTTAGATGACATGAGTGGAGAACGGGACAGTGCGAGTAAGAATGCTGGCCTGCATTCGACGTGGTACGCAGCACGTAGGAAAGCCGAGCAGCGTCACAGGCTGCTCCAGGTCTGTCGAGGAGGGCCGCAGATCAGACGCAGGCTGATGAGGCTATTTTGTGTGCATTTGTGAGGAGGTGCATATGGTGAGACGCCTGTCTGCGCGGTTCCAAGACGTTGAGCAGTGGTGGTTGGCTCGGCCCCCTGGAGGTGGCTCGTGCGGGCTGGCGGGATGTTGGCGGTGAGAGGCGATTAGCGTGACCAGAGAAAGTCGACAACACGGCGGGCAACAGTTCGCATATCTTCGCCCACACGATTGCACTTCTCTCCTTTAGGGATGCATCGAGCCCTGTGACTGCAGCGATATCCAACGCTGACGACGCCCACGACAACGACTAGGAAGAAGCCAGCGACCGCACCGATTTAGCGAGCTGAGCGTACTGTCCACCACCAGGGAGCCGCCTTTGGACCCTGATTCCGCACCGCCATTTGGAGGGGGAGAAAGAAGGACCGCAACCACCCACCATGGCACACATCTACGACATCGGCACCCGGGCATGGCAGCCCGATACCACCGAGGGCTGGGTTGCCTCCGAGGTGACGGACAAGCAGATTGCGGGAGACAAAGTGAAGCTGGTGTTCACACTGGAGAATGGCGAGGTATGCCCACTAGAGAAGACATGATGTTACTGCGAAACATGGCAACTGACGACGATTCACTGCGCAGACCAAATCCGTCGAGACGACGATACTTGCCATCCAGACGGGCAATGACCCCAATCTCCCTCCGTTGATGAACCCGGCCATGCTCGAGGCCAGCGATGACCTTACGAACCTGTCACATCTAAACGAGCCGGCTGGTACGGACTGCCCAACCCCACACCGAAAGCATGGCATACTGACGATAGTGCAGTGCTCCAGGCCATCAAGCTACGTTACCTGCAGAAGGAGATCTACACATATTCCGGAATTGTCCTGATTGCGACAAATCCCTTTGCGCGAGTCGACTCACTATACGTACCCGGCATGGTACAGGTCTACGCTGGCAAGCAGAGATCCTATGGCGCTCCGCATTTGTTCGCCATTGCTGAAGAA